TTCTCTCTGTGGAACAAAATGTATATTTGACTTATAAATACTAACATATTTTTAATTAAAAGTATAGTAATTAGTTAAAATGTTTATTCAAGTTAACAAATTTTTTACACTGAAAAAAATTGTTAATTTGACTAAACCTTTTAACTATATTTTATTTTGTTAATTGAACATATAAAAATATTTAAATTAAATGTATAACATTAAATCGACATGGAGAGAATTTTCTCTTAGAATTTACCCTGAAAATCACACATGGTAATATTAAACAAATTTTAATAAAAGTTTCCCTGATTAATATTTACCACAATAATAAAAAATATTAATATATACATAATAAAATTAATCGAATATATTTTATATGTGTAAATATCATTGTGTAAATATTAATATTTTTATTGTGGCAAATATTAATTAGAGAAACTCTTATAAAATTCGATTATTATGATTTTCAGGGTAAATTCTAAGAGAAAGTTCTCTCTGTGTAACAAAACGTATATTTGACTTATATAAATACTAATATATGTTCAATTAACAAAATAGTAATTTAATTAAAATGTTTATTCAAGTTAACAAACTTTTTTTACTCTGAAAAAAATTTGTCAATTTGACTAAACTTTTCAACTAATTATTGTTTTATTAATTAAACAAAAAAATATTTAAATTAAATAGAACATATTAAATCTACTCGAAGAGAATTTTTTCTTAGAATTTGCCCTGAAAATCAAGGTATAATTGTGAGACAATAATGATATTGGAAGAATTTTATAAAAGTTTCTTCGATTAATATTTACCACAATAAAAAATATTGATATATACATAATAAATTTTACGTATACTGAAAAAAAATTATTAAATTAATAAACATTTATTTCAATACTGTCTAATAAATCGTTTATTTGAAACAAATATTATCTGTATGAAAAGGAGTTTCTTATATCAAATAAACATTTTTCACATCAAATCAATATTATTAGTTTCAAACAAATAATGTATGAGGCAGTATTGAAATAAATTTTTATTCGAATTCAATAAATTTTTTTCAGTGTAATGAAATTAATCGAACACATTATCTTATTATGTAGATATTAATATTTTTTATTATAGCAAATATTAATTAGAAAAACTTTATAATAATAAATTCTTTCAATACCATATTTTCTCATATAATTACCACGATTTTCAGACTCAATCCTAAGAGAAAATTCTCTCTGTGTAACAATAAAATGTATATTTGACTTAAGTACTAATATTTGTTCAATTAACAAAATAGTAATTTAGTTGAAAAGTTTAATCAAGTTAACAAATTTTCTTACACTGAAAAAAATTGTTTATTTGACTTTCAACTAAATATTATTTGTTAATTGAACCAATAAAAATATTTAATCAAATAAAAAAGTTTGAATCGCCAGTGATGATAAAAATTATTTATTTTTATTCATATACGACCGAACTGGCTATAGTTACATAAAAATAGATCACGACGTTTCGATCATTGATTTCGGTCCTTTTCAAGTACTATAAGCTTATAAATTAAATAGATCACGATCGCCTGAGAACTTCACAACAGAATTCCCTTCACACATATTAAAGATTAGACAATCTTTAATTTAATCTATTTAATTTAAATTAATCTGATCTATTTAATTTATTATAAGCTCACTTGAAAAGGACCGAAATCAATGGTCGAAACATCGTGATCTGCTTTTATATAACCACAGCCAGTTTGGTCGTATATGAATAAAAATAAATAAAAGTATTAAATTAAATGTAACATATTAAATCTACACGGAGAGAATTTTCTCTTAGAATTTACCCTAAAAATCACACATGATAATATTAAAAGAATTTTATAAAAGTTTCTCTGATTAATATTTATCATAATAAAAAATATTATTATGTACATAGTAAAATTAATCGAATATATTTTATATCTTATTGTCAAGTTAACAAATTTGTTTCAGTGTAGAAGAGAAGAGCGATAGAGAGAAAGAGACTATCAAAGTTGCTGTCATCCGTTCCGCCACGCTTTCATTCGCGGCCGGAAGGAAATTACCAGCGTGATATGTGTAATCGGTGGACATATGACTAACCGACGGTTTTACCGCGAAAGGTTCGTCACCTTGCGGAATTATTCCCTCTCGCCGAAGGATGAAATCCGCGCGAGATCTCCCCGTTAATCCCAAACACAGCGAGGTGTACTGTTATGTGTACACAAACCGTGTATATATATATATATATATATATATATATATATATGTATATGTGTGTATAAGAGATACATATGTTTACAGAGATAATGTATGTTTTCTCTAGTTCCTGGAGATTTGTGTTGGACAAATATCACTGTAACAATATCATGTATATATTCAATTAACGCTGTCCGTGTTATATGTTTTTCATTTTTATTTAAATAATTATTGTTTGCGAGAAACAACTAAATAAACGACACTCGAGAGAACACGAACTAAGGAGTATTTGTCATGTACATATAAATAGCTTGTATGTATGTGTGTTATTTTCTTAAATAAACAGTAAATTTTAGAACGCCTAAGAACAGCTGTTTACTCGAATCTTTCGTATATGTGTAAATTTATCAAGTTTTTATTTTTCTTCTTCCTTTATATACCATCAACACGCGATCCAAGGACGTTTTCTTGGTTTAATTAATTTATCACCCTAATCTGATGAAGGTTAATAATTTCGAAGTTAAAGTTCGCGATGTTAAAATAAGGGGCACTTTCATCCCCTCGAACAGATTTTATGGACATTATCAATTCATCAGAACAATTTCATAAACAAATCATATTGAAATTGCGTTTCAATTAAATATTAATTGAAGAATGAGAGTAAAGATTTCATAATTTTTCTTAATTATATAGCTGCTCAATATATGTACAGATAATTAATTAAGATGTTATAAATACGAGTATAAAATAATTTAATTCTGTATTTTATTTCATGTAAACAGAAAAGTCCGAAAAGGTTATCGTTATTTCAAACATAAGAACGAAACACAAATATAAATATGGAATAGACCTTTAGAAATCTTTTATATAGATATCTATACATTTAAGCTAGTCAGCAAGTGTATTTTAAATATATAAAGACACAAAACATAAGCAAATTAGTTTTTCAATTAAAAGACATAATTTAGAGCTTTCGGGAGCACATAATAATAAAACGAAATGATATTTAAATGTAAACGTGTGCGACCTTGATGTAAAAAAGTACACAAGAATTCACGTTCCTCTCGGACAGATTCAAAGTTTCCAAAATGGAATTCTTTGTTTGAGAAACTGTCCCGATAGAATAAACCAGAACAGAACAACTCGTCGATAAATAAGCGATTCCATATTCTTTTCTACCGCGCATTTTTCTTTCTCTTTCATCCCTTTTCACTCTCGAAAAGGACAAACTTTCATTTGGTTCAATCGTACAGAATGTCGCAAAGGAACTTTTCTTGAAAAAAATAAATAAAATAAAAAAATAAATAAACAAATAAAAATAAAAATATCTGCTCTTGTATGAATTTTAGCGAGCACTAAAATTATGCTACATTATTATAGAATGTGTGGTGGCTAAAATTATATACATATAATATATGATCATACTAAAAGTATGTATAATAAAAATTTTGTGATAATAATAATTAACGTCTTGCTTACGCACGATGTGTAATTAACGCGCAATTAACGCCCCGGATTCTGCTTTCAGCTTTTCAAAAGTAGGATATGTTAACGATCGCGCGAGCCGGAAATAGCTGCTTCCAGAAATCGAATGACGTAAAATCTCTACACATTTCCCTACAATTTTTTCTTTCTCTCTCTTTCTTCTCTTTACTCCGCCAAACTTTACTCCATCTAAAATATACATTTATTCGTCTTTTAAACGCAGAAATATATAGCTAAAAAAAGACGGATTTTAAGATTCCACTTCAAGATATACAGCACGATCGCTATTATTATCATATCGTGCAATCCTTCAAGATTCTATCTTCGTCATCGCATTTCTAATCGCCTCTCCAATTTGCACATTCGCATGTTTACCAGAATTTTTTAACAGAATGCGAATTATACATAAATTATCAACAGAGAAAGAGCGGTTCGTATAAAATTCATTTCAATTATAAATTATAAATTTATAAATAATAAATTATAATTTATTTTTGAATATATTTATTTATTATAATTTATTATTCAATTGTAAAATTTTTCTCTTTCAGACTAGAAAGGACGATTCAATCTCCGATGCACGGAAAGCTCGGTTCCACGCGACATTGCGCTCGTCGGAGAATTGATTCTCGTCAAAGAGAATGCCGGGGTTCACGCGAAACGTCAGCGAGGAGGTGTGCGAGTCACCTTCTTCAACGGCAGACAAATGGAAAAGGTGAGCGACTCGCGCGTTCGCTAACTCGCGCGAAACCCCTCTTTAACTTCTCTCTCATTTCGCGCGAGTTCTACCTGCTCTCGCTGCAAGTAGACAGCGGAACGAAACGAACTCGAAATCCTCCGAATCTCGGAGTACATCCTGTCCAAATTACTCATCTTTTCCTCGTCGTGGACCAATTTTTTCTCCTCTTAATACAAACTTTATATTTTTGCACGGAATTTTCTCTTAGAATTTACCCTGAAAATCGTGGCAATCGTTTTTTTTTTTTTCTGGTTAATATTTAGCACAATAAAATTATTAATGTATATATATATATATATATGAAATAAAATATTAAAATATGTACATAATAAAATTAATCAAATATATTTTATATCTCATTGCGGTGAAGAAATATTAATCCGAGAAACTCGAATAAAATTCTTGCAGTGCCATATTGTTGACGATTCTCAGGGTAGCTTCTAAGAGAAAATTCTCTCTGTGTACACATGAGATAAAAAAAAAAAAAAAAAAGAAGAGAATGTCACGGGTCGTATAAATATGAATTAAAATTCGCAATCTCGCAAAGCGATGCGGATATAACTTTCACTCTCTGTCCCTCTTTTACTTACAGTCAAGATGCTTCTTCTTAGGTCCGATCATCTCCTCAGTGGTGGCCTTGCAAACAGACTTGGCGAGGCCCTGGCCGGCGATACTGTGCCTCGCAGCCAACAGCCTGTCGTTGATCGTCTGTCCCGCCATACTGTCCCGCTGTCACACACAGTGAATATATCAGAGCAACGACGTCGGCGATAGCTGTTCGCGAAAATTCAGCAACTTATCCGGACGCGATCGGGTCGCGCCTTCACCTTCGCCTCGTACACAGAGAGCCAGAAACACACAGAAAGAGAGAAAGAAGAAAATGCGCGCGCGGACGAAGAAGGAATCCCGAGACGACGGGGTGAACTCGGCCTCTCGCTGTTTCGACGCGGCACTTTGCAACCGCTGCTAACTTCACTTCGCACACGACGTTGACACTCGGCGTAAACGAGACCTAACCAGGCGCTAACCGCGCGAGGCGCCCGCACAAACACGTCTCGCTCACCCCGATATTATACTTCGGCTCGTCGTGCTTGCTTTTCCGGTCCTCCTCTCCTCTCTTTCTCACTCTCTCTCTCTTTCTCTCGTTCTCCTTCTCTTCCTCTCGCGTTCGCCGCCTCCCCCGCTCCTCTCCTTTTTAGCCGGTTCTCCTCGGTTAGGTTCGCGCGACGCGAACAATAAGCCGCCGCGATTTTCTCCGCGCGTTCACCAGCAGCGGAGCCAGACAGCTCGCGCTCAAGCTTCGACGGCTCAGCTGGACGGTGTAACGTCGGCGGCTGACCTGACTGACGGCGACAGCAGGCTGCTTCTATCTGCCAAGATGGCGGCGGGCGCTCGGTGCCGACCGTGTCGTGCCGACTCGCGCGCCCCCACCCCTATTGGTTGCGCGCCGGCCCGAGCTCGGCCAATCAGGAGCGCCCACCCGTGACACTTGGCGCCCCGCGATGACGTCACGCCGACTGGTCGGCGTGAGCAAGATTTCGGAATCGAAGATACGCCGGAAGGAAAACGCACGCCCTTGCGACTCGATCATGAGTCTTGGCCTTTCGAAGATTCGAGGGATACTTTAATTCATCGACGAGGAGATTTTTTATCTATTCGGCAGTTTCGTCGCGATGTACCAACGCGATATCTATATATGTATAACGTGATCTGTCATCCTATAGCCCGATTCGATCATCGATTGAAAAATGTGACGTGAAGTTAGTATACTTGTCACATTGCTACCAACGTGAGGTGATGCTCCGAAAATTTCTTGCGCGCGAGCGATCATTTTTTTCAGCGGGAAATTTGATTTGACAGATATATGATTTTGTTGGGTAAATTTTTGTGGAAGCGAAGAAAAATAAAGACTGCCTGATAAAGTCTTGTTTGTATTTGACATTGACTGTGGATCATCGCGTTATAACCAATCGGGTCTTCTTGATTCTTTTCATCCTGATTGGTCGATCGAATCTCTAGCGTTTTCTCGACCGCAACATTTATATACGTATCATATGCCAGTCACTTTGTAACACAGAGGGCGTTAGTTCACAGAGAATAATATTCTTCAAGTCAATTCGCAATTCGCATAATAAACGTGGTTTATATCATATGTATATTTGAATTATACTTCTTTTTCTTTTAATCTAACATATATTTTTGTAAGAAAAATTTTACTCGATAATAAAAATAATCTTATAACAATAAATATGATCTTCTTTGAAATAAAAATACAATAAGATTGATAAAAGCTCGGCCCATTTTTAATGATTCTAATATTAATTTGAAAACTTTAGAAAAATGATTTAATTTATCACAATAATATTTTACTTAAATCATCAAATTTTCAGATTATACCGACTGAATAAACTGACAGCAGATTTAAAATAGACATGATCGACAGTATTGTTGTCTCTAAATTTACGAATAAATTATACAATACACATATATATATGCGTCAATAAAATTGGCTTCAGTTCACATATGCAAACTTAAATTCTATCAATTAGAAAATAATTAACACAAACAAAAAAAACAATCTAAAAGAGACTAATAAAAATTGTATTTTTATTATATTTTCCTAACCCCAAATTAAATTATTAATATATCTATCTAAATACTATTACATATATTATATACACATATACGTATAATGTTTTTAAAAAATCTTACGTTACACGCGTCTCCATTATTTTGAAAAATGGAAGGGGCTCGATTTTGGCGAGACTTCTAAATATTCGAAAATGATCGTCGTGTTCGTATATCGGCGCGGCGGCTGGAACGTGACTGGAGCGCCAGGCGAGTTATCGCGGGAAACGCGGCATCGCGGTTCGGAGCGTGGTTCAGTCGGGTCTCCGATGCGGCGAAGTTAGCCGCGCTTGAGTCGCGTGCGTCACGTCAGCGTGTACGTCGAGAGCAGCAGATTCAGTCGGGACGGCGGAAAGCGCGGCAAGATCGCCTCTCCGCTCCCTGTCAGAATCGTCACCACGTGAATCCGCGTGCTTGCTTCGCGCGTCTATTTTAGCGGCTTTCCTGGAAATCCCGGATCGCCTCAAGATTCTGCGACTCACGCTCTTCCGCGCGATCAGGAGGATGACGACGGCGGTCGACAAGGAGGAGGCGAGGAAACGCTTGACGCCGCTGCAGTGGCACGTCACCCAGGAGAAGGGCACCGAGAGGTAAGGACTGAGCGGGAAGAATTTTTCGAGTCGATTCGAAGAAACCAAATATTCATTTTGGTCCATTTTCGCGTACCAATGTCACGGGAAAATAATCCGAACGAAAATTTATATACAAGGGTTTCATCACTTTTCTTTATTATTAACTTGTATAGTAGCTTGTCGATTAAGTTAATGATTTAATTAAGTCAACGTGTTTACGAAATAGTTTCTTATTTTTGCAGCTTGACTTCAGATTCTATATCACGGTCCGGATGCATTTGATTTTCCATAGTAAGAAAGAGAGAGAGAGGAAATTAAGATGATGTCAGCTGATTCTATAATAGTCGAAGTGTAACAGTTGCGCAACAGCGATAACATAATAGAGACTTCGAACTATGCTAATTATATTCACAAACGGATGTTATTTGTCATGATCCATAGTTACATATGTCAGACACAATTTTTGCTCCATCTAATTTTACATTAAAAAACATCTCGTTTAAATTGTAAACAAATATATTCATGTCGAAAAAAATATTTTTTATGTAAAAATTAGATATATTAATACGTATATTTATAGAGTTTGCGAAGAGAAACGCTATAATATTGCACTATATATATATATATATAATGTATATAAAATGTTAACGTAACTATCACGAGACGTGTATTTTTGCAAATAAAATCGCGATATAGCGTAATTTATTACAAGATAAATGTCGTAAAGATGGAAACGCGCAGTCACGTGGCCGCGCGATTAAGTAGTTCAATTCTTATTATTAAACAGATGTGTAAGGAACCGAAATAACTTTTTCAAGACCGTTCCGCTTCAGGGCGGTTCGACTCACGGCCAACAGGTTTAAAAATAAACTATGTGTGTCATGCAAAGTTCGCTCCCCTTTTTCATCTCCCCCTAACAAAGCACTCACCCTTATATATTCTCTATTTCGCAGGCCGTATACCGGTTGCTACAATAAATTCTACGAGAAGGGAACCTACACCTGCGTCGTGTGCGATCAGGAATTATTCTCCTCGGACACCAAGTACGACAGCGGATGCGGTTGGCCCGCATTCAATGAGGTTTTGGATCAAGGACGCATTAAACTGACCAAAGATACTTCTCATGGTAAGCAATTATGGTCGTCGTTTAGTATATCTTTTATAACGCTATCTCGGAATGGCACATTTCTCTAGACAACACACTCACACACAGATATATATTGCACAATTCCTTTAGTCTTAGGCCTGATTGCACCTACGTCATTTTAAGTGCAACTTAAATATATGTTTGTTTTTATTTATTTAAAAAGAAAGATAAAGATAGACACATATTTAAGTTTCGCTTAAAGTCGAAATAATGGTGGTGCAATTGGACCTTAGTTTACAAAGAGTGATTTAAGTTCTAAGTTTTATGATAAAAAACTCCAATTAAATCTCTAAGTCCTAAGAGAGTTGGTCAACTCCCAACTTTTAAAGCTTAGAGTTTAAAAGTTAAACTTAGGATCAAATTTTTTTCTTAAATCTTAAATCATTCTTTCTAGACTAGGATTTAATAGTACGCGAGTACACTCCAAATCATATTTTGATAATTAATAATTAATAAATCCTTGTATACACTTTGATAAAACATTACTGAATCTATATCCCGATCATTTCATCCGTTTATTTTTTCTACTTAAAATAGAAATCTTTTTATACATATATTCTCACATTGTAATTCTCGTGTAAAATTTTAATATTTTCATAATATAAAAATATATTACAAATTTCATGAAAATTAATTATTTTATTTTTATTCTCTCTTGTATCTTTTTGATCTCTTTGTATTTATGAATGTAGAAACTTTCTTGTACATATATTTAATGTATATGTTTAAAAAATATTTGGAAATTTAAGAGAAAAGTAGAATCCACATTTACATGTTTATACATAATTTTATTGCATAGAATGTTGTGTATAATATGTATTGGATGAAAATTCTTGTATTCTCTCTCCCTGAATCCTCGCATGCACTTGCTTAGAGTGTGATGGTGTTAGACTTACATCACTTTCTTATTTTAAACTAATGTGTGCTACATTATATATGAAACGCTCATTGCAGATATATGGATTAAAAGATGGACAAAATTATCTGTCATATATTTATGTTAATTTAGAGTGCTGTACATAGCTGTGTGCTATGAATATAAAGTTTACGATTGTTCAAACAAACAATTTGCATTGCGAATAATGTTTTTTTTCTCAGTTGCAAATCTTTAACGCATTTATTGCTTTTTGCAGCATATCTCTTTGATGCCAATAAAATTCCTTTGCTTTAATGTTATTGATAACACAGTTGAAATAACAATATTTCATCATTTGTATGTTTTAATACTCACAGCTAAATATACAAGTTAACAAATATTTCTGCAAAGTAAGTTCCGCAATATAAATACTTGATATGAAGAAATACATTTGCATATATTATAAAGAAAATAAAATATATATTTTGCAGTTGTTTAATTTTTTGCCAAGTAAGCGTACTATCGAGATTGATAAAAAAAGCTTATATACAAGAATAAAATAGTTTCGTATATATGTACGCACTTTTCCATATTGTTTTTTCTTTAGTACCATATACCTAAATGTTACCTATATTTCTCTCACTATCGAGGCTCTTCTTTAGTTTTGGTCTTCTCTTGTAATCCAATAGCTCTCTTTAGATCACTTCTATTTTCTTCTGAAAAGTGTATCGCAAGAAAGGTGTTGGTCTGCGTCTAATCACACTCTATTGTTCTTTCTCCTTTTGCCTTCCTTGATCACTCCTTGGCTACTACTACTACTACTACTACTACCACCACCACCATCACCACTCTTCACTCTCATCACTGAAAAAAACACCACTGAAAATCGCGCGTCACGTCGAATTAAAACGACGCCAACTAGTCGGTGGCAATCTACTACTGCTGATCGCAAACCCAGATATGGTGCGGACCGAAGTGACCTGTTCAAAGTGCGACGCGCACCTGGGACATGTGTTTAACGACGGGCCGAAGCCGACGAGGAAGCGTTTCTGCATCAATTCCGCCTCCATAAGCTTCCATGCGGCCGGAGAGGAGAAAAAGTCTACATAAAATAAGCTCTCATTGTTTTTTATTTATGAGATTCAAAATGTCAAGTCATATAACACACTATTCATATATAAATATGTATGAATGATGCGTTATAATCATAAAATACCTCTGGTTTATATTTATATGCATTGTAAAGAGATGGAGTAATTTTATTATCGCCAAAATACCAAATAGGCTGTCTCTGTAAAATACAAATTTGTTATTATATATATATTTATTATATATATATACGTAAGAAATATTAATGTTTTATCACTTTTGACGCAATGTGAATACTACTGTATCGCTATTAAACCAATCTTTCTCTATGTCAATTATATATTTCTTTAATTTATATTTCATTATTTAATTATATAAGATTTTTGAATATATTCGCGAATATTCGTCTTTACGTTAAGCTTCTGCGAAAGTTTTACAGAATATCCTATTTATATACAGAGATAAAACGGTTTCCGACCGACTTTTCACACAAGAAACTATAATTCTATGTTATCAGTTTCGAAATCTCTGCATTGTGTTATTCTCTCGATATTACAAATATGTATGTACATATCCGTATTAAAGAGAACAAAGTTTAACACCCACACAAGATATACGCTGCATAAAACGAGAAAACGCTCGATACAGAAAAGAACTATGATAAAAATGATGTCTAATCAAAGAATGTTATTTTTTCAATAAACGCCATATGTAAAATATATATAGCACGTATTTTAATTTAATATGAAATAAGATATATAAAGTATAATTATTTTTCATTTCTCTTAATACTATCAAGTAAGGAGGAGGATATTTTTATACGAGAAAACACATATTTGTTATAAAATGTTTCCTTATATTGTAACGTTTCAAAACAAACTGAAAGGTGTTATAGTACAATATATGCGCAAAATTCTAGGCATTATTTTTACAATTCATTACTCCTTTTCTGTGATTTTTTGCACTCCTTTACTTTGAAACTTTTATATCTCGTCACAAAAATTTCAAATATTCTTCCTGAGAGACCAGATTTCTGCCGAATGTTTTTTTTCCCCGATAAATGCGTTTCTTTCTTATAAAAGTTAAAGTCGAACGAACCTTCCTCTGACCGGAAAGTTTCTTTTTTTTCAATCTCAGCAGTAAAATAGCGACTTTGTTACTATAGGCCTACTACTTCCTTCTTTCATTCAGAGATCACAAAGCATTTTCAAAAACATCGTAAAATGCTACGATAAAACATGCATACACACACTTAACATGATTCGCATATTAGGAACCTATTTTTAAGAACCTAAAAAAGAACAGAGACGATGATACACGTAGTCCACATAGCGATTTATTAAATGCAATTGGAACGATCATCGAAATATTATGTATACGTGGATGCATAATCGGATGCAAAGATGCCCGCATTTTCTTTTTACGTTTAAAAAGATTCGCCTGCTCGTATTTTCTTTTTTTTATCTATCAGAGCTCTAGTACGTTTGCGATTCCGTTAGTCAATGTCAAAAATAATGAGTACTTTCGTGATGCATCACTTATTATTATTTACGATAAGGCATGCTTGGTACAATTTTTGTACTTTTGTTCACGCGATAAAAGGATTCATCCGGTACCATTATCAGCGAACGTCTATCTACATACATGCTAAGATGCGCTTCAATCAGGGTGTGTGCATCGACCGGGTGAGGATGATACTTTATGCAGGCAATTTTGCATCTCGCGCGACCCGATTGGCGTACAAGTGTAAAAGTTAGACATATTAATTATAATATAGCTGCTAATACAATAGCTGTAGTATATACTTGTTAAAATAACTGCCGCAAAAAGAAAAAGAAAAAAAAACGATAAATGGAGAAAAGTCGCGCCGGAAGAGATATTTGTGAAAATGCAGGACCTCGCTCTTCTAAAATGTGTGCTTCTGATCGTCAACTTTAACCCTGGGGGATCGTATCATTCTTTAGTTTTATATATTTTTTTTCACACACTCATTTTTTCTTTCGTTAATACTAAGACGTGCGCACGTTATTTTGTCTCGTGTCGACGATCCGATCGATTTTAAAGACTGACACCGAAGCGGGATTATTATTATTATAATAATTATTATTATTATTATATTATTATGCGAAACGTTTTCGCGATATGTTTCGCGCGGAATACTGAGAAAAGAGGGAGGTGCAAGTTTAATTAATAAATCCTATTTCACATTCAGGTTCTTCGAGTTCCATTAAATTGTATCCCTTCGGTTTCGACTCTAAGTTCGATCGTGAGTGTCGACACAAACTGAGCTGCTTCCGCTCTTTCGCGATCAAGTACAGTCAAACATTATAAAAATCTAATCAGGCTTTTCTTTAAAAGATGATACTACAAAAAAGAAGGGAAGAGAATCAAATAAACTCGTCGAAAAGTGAATACGCTGTATCGTACGATTATCAAATAATACACGAGCTCCTCTCCTTTTCCTTTTTTTCGTCTCATTTCGTATGCAATATAAGTGTATATCGTTAATTTCTTTCTCTTTCTCTCTCTCTTGATTTATAACTATCATAATTATATTTTCACATGATTTCAGTTAATATTAATTTATATACGAGTCCTATACATATATGTATAACGAAAAACCTCGTCGACCGAGAGCCATCTATCCATCGCGCGAAAACCGGAAATCGGGCAAGTACGTGCTACTTTCGAAACTCGAAAGAAGAAAAAAAAAGAAGTAGAATGTCAAGAACTCGCGTTATATCCGGAATGGAACGCGGATGTTTAGTTAGAGAAGATTCGTTTTCTTCTTAGCCTCAACATCCTCTTTCTTTTTTCTTCTTTCCGTAGAGTCAAAAGTTCGCAAATAACTCACAATTCCGGCATTCTCACAAATCGTTCTATGATTGTATGAGTGTTAAAAATTGATAAAAAAATTTATTTGCATCAATACTTGCAAATTGCTACGCTTTCTATCATCGATGTCAACCTCGCCTTTCTTTATTTCATTCTTGGAACTTTCGCGCGATAAATATTTCAGTCGAATTTAATGGACGACGAAAGTAAAAAGAAAATAGAAAAAAAGAAAGATACGAAAATCTAATAGTCACGGTATTACACTAACAATAAGATAACTAAATGTACTTCTAAGATATTCGTTTCTTTCGATGACGCGATGACGCTCGGATGATATATAATACATTAGGAAAGACATATTTCGATAATGTTCGATGCAAATACAACCATACATACAGAACCACAACTCGATCTACACAAAACGTTTACAACTCAACTCCATTATATGTGTGTGTGTGTATTCGATTATTTGTTTCTTCTTCTCTCTTCTCTCTCTCTTTCTCACGATGCTAAAACGAAATATTTACGTATTGTAATACGGTGGTTCATAAGAAATCTAACGCGAGTTTTCTTTTTTTTCTTCACGTCTCTAAACGACAAGACAGGCACTTTATAGTGTCACAAAATGCTTCTACGTCTGAACCTTGTTTTACAGTTTCATATCAATCGTTCGTTCGTTCGTTCCATCATTTTTTCTTTCCCTTTTTTTGTCCTGCAAGACACGTTAAAGACAGATACGTCGGACTTACAGCGAAGAACACACGTGATATGGACAAACATTTTGCCCTCGGAAAGATGTTCTTATCGACTAAGTAGTAAACCTTGGTAAGTTTCCTGTCCTAACGTGTCTTCCTTTCTTCTTCCTTTTTTTAACGGCGCAAATGAGAAAAAGTACTCATCTCTTCGTCGTAAAGCTCTAAGTTAGCGGTCTCAAACGAGATATGCAATTCTTACTCAATCAGCTTCAGAGCACATGTGAACTAATTCTCTACATTGTAAATGTCAACATATAAATTGCGATATTTTTATATAAAATAATTGCTACGATAATTTCTCTCATTAGTATAAGAAAACTGAATCGACGACGAATCAAGTATAATCAATGATCAGTAATATGATAGTTCAATAACGTTGAAAACAAATTTTACTCTACCGCTTACACATTTATTCGTCGTGCTAATCGAATCAAAACACACCAAAAACATATTGCTCTGCTTCACCGCGTAATCTCTGTCGAAAAATACAAGTCCGACACGAAGACCCAATCTTCTTTCTGTCTACGATCTCTCATTAAACAATAATATATTAGAATAGGTCCTATGCACTTGTTCACACATTTGTTTGTGGTATTATCTATTAAGATTCTCGCGCTATAAATAATATGCATTTCTTGCTAACTCTCTTTCTCCGATTTGAATTTTTTCTTCTTTTTTTCTTTTTTTTTTTAGAGAGTTAGTATAATACTAGTTTTATATTTTTAGAAAATAACTGACAATTGCTTGTATTTCCTCGATGACAATCCATCAAAATTGCGGCAAAAGCTCATCTCAGGTAACAACGCACACATGTGAAATAAGTCTTGTTTTCTTATTTCCTTCGAAGACTAAACTAACTAAGATTTCTGTGTGTGAGTCCGGTTTTATATGCCCCAATTGTAATTAGACTTTATCGAGGAAAACAAGATCTCTGCCATCAGATCGCTCATAGCTCTTTCTGATTAATCTTTGTTGTTCGTGCTCGCAACATGCGAGAATCGAGCATTTTTTTATTTTAACTGTGCAATCGCTTTCTCGATACACCATCACGGTATCGAATATGTTCTATCTATCGATCTATATGCATACGTAATGAACATATGCATGCGTATGTGTATACATGTACACGATGCCGCAAATAAAATAATATTCACATACGATATACACATATGTATGCATACATTAGATATATATATGTATATTTATTCATTTTTATATATATATATATATATATTTTACATATATATATATATACGTTTATATTTATTATATATTATTGAATTATTGTGCCGTTTCCGTTTTGGGAGGGTGATTCATTATTTCTTTCTTTCCTTTCTTTTTTTTCCGCGTCACGTTCGCATAACTCTCATGTCTCTTACGACTACAATCTATTCGCACCACTACCTCTTTTAATGACCTTTGGCAGCTTCCTTCGCTGCCATTATTAAAGGTGTTAACGAAGCTAGTGGCCTGGCTAATTTCAGAAAAGGATGCTGCAATTCAATTTAAACACACATTTCCGATTATAAATAAGCTCGAGCAAGAAATATAAAGCAAAAGTTCGCGTTCTGTAACGATATAATAATGATTCTATCTTACCTTCAACAGTTCGGAAGCCGCGGATCGCTTTTCCACCTCAACTTCCAAACACTGATCTAGAAAATCTTGAAATATACTCGACAATTTATCCTTTTCCTTAATTTCCGGTTTGCCGTTCGTCGCGATCAGGTATAACGCTCTCAACGGGTTCTCATTCAGATATGGCGGTTCCCCTTCAATCATCTCGATTGCCATTATTCCCAACGACCATATATCAACCTGGGACGAACCACCAAGGTACGAGTTAATTATACGCTTTTAATCGATTTTCATTATTAATAACAATCGACGTGAGAATCTACCTTAGGTCCGTACTGCTTTCGCGTCACCACTTCCGGTGCCATCCAATACGGCGTGCCAACCATCGTCGTTCGTTTGCTCTGCTCCGGCGAGATTTGCGCGCAAAAGCCAAAGTCTGTCAACTTCACCCCTCCGTCCAGACCCAGGAGGATATTGTCGGACTTAATGTCCCTATGTATAACCTGATTACAATGAAGGAACTCGAGTGCTTGCAATACCTCTCTGCATACCGCGGCAATTTGACCTTCGTCCATACAAGTCTCGGTCACAACATCCGTCAAACTGCCACCTGGTAAATATTCCATGACTACCCACAGTTCTTCCCCGACTAAATAACTATCCAAGTAATTTACAACGTTCGGATGCTTGTTCTCCCGCATCACCAGAATCTCGTTTATTATAAGCTCTTTCTTTGGCTGTTGCGACAGATTCATTTGTTTTATTGCAACCTCCATGCCAGTAGACGTTTCTATCGCTGTATACACTGTTCCCGAAGCACTGCAAATCGTGACCGTTAATTAGTACAATTGTATATACTCTCGATATAATAATTTATCAATCGTTGTTTCCACGTCTTACCCTTGTCCGATCTTTTCCATTTTCGTGTATTTTCTATTGGGGTCTCCTACGCTCACAATTGTTCTAAGCTTTTCTAATATTTCGTCGTCTGACATTTTCTTCTTTCTAGCTTTGTCACCTTGTGCCGGTCGCGTTTGATCGGTCGTTGTTGACGTCGGTGTCGCTTGATTCTTATTTCTATCTAACTGAGACTGGTGTTGTTGTTGTTGTTGCATGCCGTTTCTTTGCGGCGAGCCCAGCGTGGTCGTCAGGGGTGGCGGTGGTTCCTCTTCTATAGGTTTCGTATACTGTGCAATGAAGATAAATCGTTACAAATAGTTACAATAAAACCACAATAATAGACTTAATTAACGCGCATTTCTTAAGACTCCTGGATCCTCGCTGACCAATATGGATTTGTGACGTCAGAAGCGAGAAAGCACACGCTAAAAATTCTTGCGTGCCATTTTTAGATAAAAAGATCAGTTTTCGGACTATTTTAAAAGTGTGCTACAGCTAATCTATCTGAAGTTGTTTCATCAAAATATCTTTTTATCTAAAAATGGCACGCAAGAATTTTCAAGAGTGTATTTTCTCGCCTGTGACGTCACGATCTAACATGTGGCGAGTACCCAGGAGGCTTAATCGCGCTTAAATGCACAAAACTTACGATCGATTTCGTACGTTCCGGCCGGGCAGAGATCGGCGGAGGCGGCGGCTCGTCCTCCTGCTCCGAGCTGGTCGCACACGCGTCCGTCGGCGTGCTACTCGGGCTACTGCTGCTCACCCTGTAACCGTTGCCGTTTCTCAGAAAATATTTAAACGACCGAGAAACAAACGCGTAAAAGTGTAAAAGACTCACCTGCTCAACGAATGCTGAGAGTGAGAGCTTCCGGATGCCTGGGACATTGCTTGGCCGCGAATATTTCCCACACCGGTGCCGATACCGATTCCCATACTTCGGGGACTACTCGCCCTCTCGATTGGAGCTAAATAGGTTTTATCTAACGTTAGTATTATCATTAGTATTGTACTCTTATTAAGATGTAAATTATTTCTCTACAGACAAACCGATATCTCTATGCTTACCTACAACTCCCACCATTTTAGTTGTGGTCATGTACTTGGAGCCCTTTGCCTCTTTACTGCTACTGTCATACCAATTTAATACATCCAACACAGCCTGCGGATTCTTCTTCTGCTCCTGTTTACTAATGTTGCTGGACATAAGTAACCTCGCCCATGCTTCTGGCATACCCTGGGAAAGAAACACACATAATGAGATGACAATTATCGTGTTTACTGTAAAACAGATAGATGGTAAGTAATCCAGTAAGTCTGGCAAATATAACGCTAGTGTCTAGAGTGCACCTAATATTAATCTTTTGAGATTTTGATTTTCAAACATGCAAACTATATGATGTGTTATAGGAATAATTTAATTAAGAAATATTTCTGTGTCATGTATATTTGTAGATACTAATAAATTTGAGTCGTGACATAATTAAAAACCTACAATCGTTTGTTGTTATACACAATTCTAAATTTTTAATATTATTCTTATTTACATAATTTTTATAAAGAGATGGAAATAAAATTCTAAATTTTAAATCTAAATCTAAATATTATATAATGTGCATATGCGGAATTTAAAAAAATATAAAATTTAATAAAACCATTAATTGAATACATGCACAGACAAATGCATCACAATGCATTTCACAATTTTAATAGAAAGAGTTAACGTAAGTTGTAAATAAAATTTACAAAACTGATACAACTTGACTATCCTATTTGCTGTGCCGAAAATCATTCGGTGAGAAAAAAAAACGAATATTGTTGTATGCAACGTCGACTAAAGCTTGTATCAATCTACTGAAGCGACTATGTATCGACGAAACTCTTGACATACTCAATGGAAAGTAAACATCTAATCTCATAAAAACCGCAACGGAAAGAAAGTGTCGAACCATCACGTGGTGTATATGTATGTACAACAGGCACAAACTAAACCGTATTAATTTACTTACTTTTAATGGCAGCTTGGAAAGAAATACGTGTCTTGTTAGTTTAGTTATGTGAAAATAATAAGATATAAGAAGCGTCGGACAAATGACCAAAGTACCGTTCCCGATATGTTCGAATATATATGTATATATTTATATAAACAGGGTGTCTAACATAAAGTATCACACCGTATCAAAATATACAAGTAGATCTTGTTATTTGGAGACGATTTTTCCTCAGCAAAAATGTCGAGGAGGATCATCACTTTTTGCATGTTTCCAATTTTTGCAATCATGTATCTTTATAACTAAACCTTAAATTAAAATTTTATTAAAGTAAACTCTACTTGCAATTAATAATATTTCCACAAGGCTTAGTTTGCGAAAAACTCCTTATTTTTAATCGCTTATAACTCGAAAATTATTGATGCCCCAATATTTTTGCCAAGAAAAATAATTCTCCAAATAACAAGATCTCTAAATAACAAAATCTACCTGTACATTTTTTATGTGACACCTTATATCAAACACCCTGTATATATATACATATATACATATGTGAACCAGTAAACTCATATCTCATTTCGATCAGGTACGGAAAATCCATGTGATTCACATATACACACAAGAGTAATACAATACAGAGATATGGAGAGAGATAGCAAATGCCAATAATATCGAGTAATCTACACGTATAAGAAAACTCTCTATTATTTTTCAATTCTCTCCATCGGCGTCTCTCTCATAGATAATCCGCACCGTGATACGACAGCGAAGCGGTAAGCGAGTGCATTTTGAACAAGAGGGTGTAGAGAGGCGACTTCTTGTGCGAATCGCGGGGAATCCGAGAGAAAAACCTACCGTGAATTCGCCGGTGACAGCGTCAAATCCGACGTGCACAGTGTGCTCGAAATTCGTGGGGTAACTGATATTCGGTTTGTCCTTGTTCTCCTTCATCTTTATTTTGCCCTTCAGCGTCTTCTTCTTGCGTTCATCGGAATCCGGCTCCTTAGGCAGCGGACGCATGTCCACCGGTAAATTAGGCGCTGATTCCCCCCTAAAAATGTAAATAACATTGACACATCTATTACAGTCACAAATTATATATAATAATTATCCAATTATCCTCACATATTAATCTTATATTATTTAATATTAATAATTTACACTCTTATTACAAAAGGCTTAAAGATTTTTTAATATTTTACTGCTGGTATAATTATTGTAAGATATAAATTTAACTGTTATATATATATATATATATTAAGTATGTTAGAGACATAATACTGGGATGACATCTAGACATCTTTTATGATGCTCTCCCACAGAAGAAAGTCAGCAAGAGATATTATTTTTAGCAACCTCTAACTTAATGCCTTTCTATTTTTGGAAAAGACTTTTATGCATATTGCATAAAAGATACGAGAATTATGATAGCATTTACAATTCTGATGTATATGTCAAAAATAAATTATTTTTCTTGCTTTTTTTTTAAATTATCTATTATTATTTTCTGTATTATCATAATTATCTCATAAATTCTTATAATGTTCATATCTATAACATAAAATGACACACACGATTATACAATGATTCATGTGATAGTCATACACTATGATACCCAAATTATACTGATTAAATGATTATTATCTTTCTTCCAATGCAAAACAAAATTTCTAAATAAATGTCACATAAATGTATCTTAGATATAAGAATGAATGCAAGAGCAACTATTATCTTGCGATGTCCAACTGTCTCTTTAATAAATCAATTATCAATATAAATTTATTAAATAGACAACGCAAAGTGTACTTGTTTGATATCAATGATACCCAAAGTATACTAATTAAATGATTATCTTTCTTCCAATGCAAAACAAAATTTCTAAATAAATGTCACATAACTGTATCTTATTGTTAGATATAAGAATGAACGCAAGAGCAACTATTATCTTGCGATGTCTAACTGTCTCTTTAATAAATCAATTATCAATATAAATTTATTAAATAGACAACGCAAAGTGTACTTGATTTGATATCAATGATACCCAAATTATACTAATTAAATGATTATCTTTCTTCCAATGCAAAACAAAATTTCTAAATAAATGTCACATAACTGTATCTTATTGTTAGATATAAGAATGAACGCAAGAGCAACTATTATCTTGCGATGTCTAACTGTCTCTTTAATAAATCAATTATCAATATAAATTTATTAAATAGACAACGCAAAGTGTACTTGTTTGATATCAATGATACCCAAATTATACTGATTAAATGATTATTATCTTTCTTCCAATGCAAAACAAAATTTCTAAATAAATGTCACATAACTGTATCTTAGATATAAGAATGAACGCAAGAGCAACTATTATCTTGCTGTGTCCAACTATCTCTTTAATAAATCAATTATCAATATAAATTTATTAAATAGACAACGCAAAGTGTACTTGTTTGATATCAATGATACCCAAATTATACTGATTAAATGATTATTATCTTTCTTCCAATGCAAAACAAAATTTCTAAATAAATGTCACATAACTGTATCTTAGATATAAGAATGAACGCAAGAGCAACTATTATCTTGCTGTGTCCAACTATCTCTTTAATAAATCAATTATCAATATAAATTTATTAAATAGACAACGCAAAGTGTACTTGTTTGATATCAATGATACCCAAAGTATACTAATTAAATGATTATTATCTTTCTTCCAATGCAAAACAAAATTTCTAAATAAATGTCACATAACTGTATCTTAGATATAAGAATGAACGCAAGAGCAACTATTATCTTGCGGTGTCCAACTGTCTCTTTGACAAATCAATTATCAATACAAATAGATTAAACAGACAACGCAAAGTGTACCTGTTTGATGTCAATCGAACAGGGGGTGCCGGGGGTTTGTCTTCCTCATCTGACATGTTGTATCCGCTTCTGTTCCTTTGTTGCCAGTCTATCCTCCGTTGCTGCGTCTCTGCGCCTTTAATTGAACCCGCGTTCTGTCAACGCGTGCGTGTGTCTATATATACCTGTATAGATATATCACACCTCTCTCTCTCTCTCTCTCTATCTCGTCGTTCTCTCAGAACTTTCACTTTCAGCAGCACAAAAACCTCGAAGAAGAAAAGAACCTTCGAGCTCCGACGACGACGTTGCTGCTACCGAGTCTTCAATCTTCAGGTAAATATCCACTCGATTTCTTCAAAGGCACACCCGGTAGATGGATTTACAGGTGTAAGTGTCCTCCCCTTTCTCTCTCTCTCTCTCTCTTTCTCACCGCGCTGCAACGATACCCTTCATCACAGAACCCTCGGTACCGGTCTCGGAACTTGAAGAAGACGAGTCATGGTGGCCCGGGGACGGGGAGGACCTGGAAGCTTCCTCGGCGCGAGGCAGAGAGAGACGCCGCTCTCCCTCACCTCAGGGTGGCTGCTACTGCCGATGATAATCTTCGTCGGCGTTGGCGTCCGGTGGCGACACACGGGTCAATGTCGCGACGAGCACGGAGGACGCATTCGAGGACGGCGAATGCGAGAGCAGAAGGAGAGACGAGGGAACAAAAAAAGGAGAAAGAGAGAGAGAGAGCGTTTCTGAGGCGTGATTCACGCACGGGTGCAGACACCCCGCCGCATCCACGGATCTTTCGCACGCACGCCTCGCTCTCCCTCTCTCGCTTTATCCGCCTATTCGCCTCCCGCTCGCGCGTTCGCTCACTCTCGCGCGTGCGCCCTTTCCCTTTCTTTCGCTCTCGCCCTCTCCCTCTTTCTCTTCCTCCGTCCTTCTTCGCGCTCCTGACGTCGCGGACACTCGATCCTTGCACTTGCGCCAGCGAAAAAGTACATACAACGAAGGTGCGGAAAACGAACGACCAATCAGAATCGAGTACGACGGAGTGGGAGACGCATATGGCGCCCAATGGCGGATTCAGACAACATCGAACGAACGGCGCTCCCTCTCGATACTAAACATATTCGAGAGGATATCTGTAAACAGCACCTTTTTCGGATTATATATGTATACGTATATATGTTGCAATCCGGCTCCGATGGCGCCACTTCTCGGGATTTATCCTTTTAATCCTTTACTCCAATTTTACGTATTTCCTTTTCTTCTCCAAAATCCACCTTATTCGTTCATTCGTCGACGACGTCGAGTTCGGGGAGGCCTCATCGCGAGTTTGACAGCTCTCTCCGCGAGTTTGACAGTTCTCCGCGAGTTTGACAGCTCTCTCTCTCTCTCTCTCTCTCTCTCTCTCTCTCTCTCTTCGCGTATGTAATACGCGCACGGGAAAGAAAGACACGCGACGAAACGTCAAACGTACCCGCGCATCTTCGTCGTCGTCGCGCGAGATCCTCGGAATCCTCGCGAGGATGGGATTCCTCGGACGACGAAACGGAACCACCGGGCCTCTGACACTCTCGCGATCTTTCGCTCTCCGCGCGCACCGACGACAAGCTCCTCGGCATCGAGTTCTACGGTACATTGAAGAGAGTCTATCCTATATAAAAGTAGAGACCTTAAGGAGGCTATTTTTGATTGGTCCGCCATTTTTCTCGTCGGTTCCCGCTAATATTTGAATCGTGGTAAATTGAATAATTGGAAATTTTGGCGATATAATTAAAAAATGAATAAATAAATATAAAAAATATATAAGAGTATTAAAAAATATAAAAAAAGAAAAATAATAAATATAAAGAAATAATAATAAATTTTCTATAGTAAAAATAAACATTTTGTTTAATTACGACCCACTCATTAAATGTCGGAAAATGTTTTGAAATTGGAAAAATGGCTGTGAATTTTATTGAAAATTTTGGACGAAAATGTGTGGAATTTTGGAAAGAATCTGGATATTTCTCAGCCAATCAGTGACACGCTTTTGTATGCACACATTTGAAGTTTCAAGGTCATGCGATACCGGCTTTACATCGCGCTATGCAAGCGATACCAAAATTAGATAGGTTATGAGTGTAACCGTAATATATTGGTTAACATTGTATATATAATAAATAATATATTTAATAACGTAATTTATTAACGTAATTTTAAGCGTAAGTACGGCATGATAAAGCGCCATATAAAAATACACGATATACAATTCTGTAAATGATATGTAGCTAAAAAGTTTCTTAACCTCTAAAGTATCTCTCTTTTTGTCGGGAGAAATTGTATAATAAAATTATAAAATAAATTGCCTCGATTATCGAAATATCTTATTTAAATTATTATTAACAATAGATTATTTTATTAAGTGATTGTGACACAGAAAAGTTATTACTGCTGTTATTATTAACAAATCTTATTACTGTTATTATATCAACAGATCTTATTACTGTTTTTATATCAACAGATTATGTCGGACTCGGATTTAGGCCTACGCACAGGTCGAAGTTATGAGGAAATACTAAAACAGCGACAAGATGATGAGGGCTATAAAACTGCAACCACAGATGAACAGGTAGGTAGGTCTCTGCACAAAAATATAAACATACACTCACATTTATTTCATTAACATTAAATATATTCTTTTAAATACTGTAATTACACATTATTGTATTAAAATTTGTCGTCGTTATTTGTTGTCATAATGCCACAATTAACTTTTTTAGACTCGTGTCGAAGAGACAGTCTTAAAGTTCTATCGATCTTGCAAGGACACAGATCCCATCTTACTTAGACCGAAGCATATCCAGTTTTTAAAGAAATCAATCGCTTATTTAAATGAAACTTACGAGGTATTTATTTTGTTATTTTCAATATGGAAGCGATGCATGTAAGTGTTGCTCTGTAATTTAAGAGGTCGTTCTTGTAATGACAGAGGATTTATCTAGTGTTTATAACGATGATAGTGCTTAGACTCCAGCAGACCGTGGCTCTGTTTCTGGATATTGCATTCACTTGCGATATTAGGAGAACGCTTGGAAGATGAGGAATATTCCAAGATAGCGAGCTTTCTAGCCAAATGTCAATCACCAACAGGCGGTTTCGGAGGAGGTCCTGGACAATATCCGCATTTAGCATCTACATATGCAGCAGTGAACGCGTTATGCACTATCGGTACACGGGAGGCATATGATATTATAGATAGGTAAAGTATTCTTTATTATATACATTTTTTTATATATAATATTTTTATATGTACTTATTATATACATTTTTATATGTATTTATATATATTATATATTTTTATATATATTTATTATATACATTTTTTATATATAATATTTTTATATGTAATGTTTTTATATATTTTATATATAATATTTTTAAAATTCATTTTATGCATCTTGTGTATTGTATCATTAAGATGATTTGTTTGATAATTTCAGGAAGAACCTGAAACGCTTTCTATCTTCTTTACGCGGAGAGGACGGTTCTTTTTGCATGCACGAAAACGGCGAGATAGACATACGGGGAGCATATTGCGCCCTCGCGTCTGCTAAACTGACGAATGTATATACACCGGATATGTTTAAGGATACCGCCGAATGGATAGTGAAATGTCAGACGTGGGAAGGTGGTTTCGGTGGTTGTCCAGGAATGGAGGCTCACGGCGGATACGCCTATTGCGCTCTGGCGGCACTCGTGATGCTCGGAAAAACAGAATTATGCAATTTACCAGAACTGTTGGTAAGAAGATAAAACACCTCTTTCAATCGCGAGTTCATTTCATTCACATCTTTGTCTCTTCTTCTTCGCAGAGATGGATAGTAAATAAACAAATGCGTCTGGAGGGTGGTTTCCAAGGACGTACGAACAAATTGGTGGACGGTTGCTATTCATTCTGGCAAGGTGGGACGTTCCCATTAATCTCTGCTATCTTGTCAATGCAGGGAAAGGCGTTTATACTTCCGACCACTGGTTGTTCAACAAGAGGCCTTACAAGAATATATATTAACTTGCTGTCAGAACCCGCATGGTGGTCTTTTGGATAAGCCGGGAAAGTACGTAACATTCTATATGTTACTGTATATATATTAAATTGGGATTATGACTGCAAAATATTTTTCTGTTATACACAATTCTATTATGTAACTTAATTATCAATTTTTAGTAAAATTAAGTTTTTATATTTTTTTATATTAAAAAATTTACATATATATATATATATATATGTGTGTATATTAAAATTGTTTATATATAAAATGAATATATGAATAAATAAATAATAAATATAAATAATGCAATAAATGGCTTTTCTTTTCAGAAATCGCGACATATATCACACATGTTATGTTCTTAGTGGATTATCAGTCGCGCAAAATTCACCGACAAAATCGATTATCGGAATGAGACCTGCAAATAAGGTGGAGGTAATCCATCCTGTTTACAACGTGGAGTACTCTGCTGCAAAAAAGCGCAAGAGTATTTTCTTACTCTACCAATACCCGATTGATTGTGTCTTAGCTATTTGGGGGAAAAAAAAAAAAAAAAAAAGAAATATATATATATATATATATATATATATATATAATATATTATAATCATGTTTGTATGTTTTTAAGAAGAAAAAAAAGAAAAAAAAGAAATCCGAAGAAAGACGGAATCTTAAAAAGGTGGAACACTTAAACTGACCAATGGTGTATGTAGAAAGTTATTTGTATATGAAATTCCATAATTTTGTGATAAGGAAACATGTAAAAAGTTATGTCAATCGATACATAGTATTTGACATTAAAAATTCCAAAAGATGCATTTTCCCCTTATCTTAATTTTATGTCAATAAAGTCTATGAAGAAGCTAACATACAATTGTCTGTTTACATTTCTTTAAGTCGAATACTGCAACGCCTTATTTGATTATAAAATTTCTAGTTTTTTTTTTAAATAATTGAATGTGTCATTTTGTGGATAATAATGCGAAACAATTCATGGAGGTAAAAGATTTCTATTGCAACATACAATTTCTTATACATAGATATATATAGATATATACATATATATAGAAAGAGAATATATAATTAATAGAATATAAATATCGCTACTATATATATATATAATTCAATATCTATTTTCGTGAAGAAATACTAAAAATGCAGAAAAATACATCTTTTTACGTTAATATAAAAATTTTATAACTTCTCAGTATTTGATTCAAAACTCCCGACTGAATTACTTCTATCGATTAAATATCTTATCATTTCTTCTTTGTTCTAAACATCAACATAACGTCATGGTGACCATTATTCGACATTTCGCACGACTATAGGCGCGGGCAAGAATAAAAGATATGATAAGCAGAAGTAGAACATAAAATCTATAAAGAATATTTGTGCTCTACTTTGAATTCTCAAGTCTGTCTGTCTGAATCTATGTCTGTCTCTGGTCCTCGTAGATCTGTCCTCTCGAGAGAGCTCTCTCTCTCTCGTCGAGAGAGAGTCTCCTCTCTCTCTCTCTCCTCTTCTCTCTCTCTCTCTCTCTCTCTCTCCTCTCTCTCTCTCTCTCTCTCTCTCTCTCTCTCTCTCTCTCTCTTTGGCACCAATAACTTGCATCAATCAATAATTAACTTCACTGCATGCAGTTAATTATGATTGATGCAAGTTCAAAGCAATATCACTTACATAGCACTGATATTTATATAATTTGAATTCTTTTTGTACACTTGTCAATAAAAATTATTAAATAACGCGTAAAAATACAACAAAATCATATTGTTAACATTTCAATGAGTCTCAAAAAATTGTCTCCTGCATATTCATAATTGCAAATGGATAGAATGATTTGTTGAAAGGAAAAGTGAGATGAACAAGTTTTGTTTGTTTATCATGATGTTGATTAATATAAATGCGATGAGACTAACATGTACATGATGTGTATGATAAATGTCTAAAAATTGCAGTCTTCCGATAATTATTTTGATATATCCAATTATTGCATGGTAGTTATACGCATGTTCGACATAATTACCCGGGAATAATCTGTTATTCCATCCATCACTCCTTCCACCATCCGTCGTCATTCTTCTTGAGCACGTAAATCACAGAACTCTCTTGAAAACTTAGCTCGTCCTCTTTATCCGCATAATAATCATAAATGGCCACCACTACAATTACGATATTTTTATCATAAATAACTGATACATATTACGTATTATATTACACATCAAACAGCCTGATATTGTAACTTAAATAAAATAATATAACTTTAATCATGAATAAGGAATGTAGAAACTCCACCTTTCTCGATATAATTTTTTGGCACCCATCCGGGCAGATCTTCCTCATCCGGTACAATCGGCATTATAGCACCAGAGGACGGCGTCGGTCTTCCAAATTGTGGATGTTCATCCTGTTCCGGTGGTGGAGGCGGTGGCAAAGGCGGACTATTCGCGCCACTGCTACGACTAATCTGATGCGATAGTCTGTGTGGTAGAGTGTGATGTCCAGTGTATTCCGTCATGTCGCCACCTAATCCAACCAAGGGCGAGGGTGGAGCTGATGATGAGAAATTATAATACATTAAACAATGAAACATATGAATTACATAGTATACACATATATTGATATTATGTTATTAATATCAATCGTTATTAATATTATTTGTTACTTACGAGGCATATTATTATGCTGTTCCTGCGCATAGCCGCGTAACACTAGGCGGTGCTGGTGGTGGCGTCTGAGGATGACTCTGCAGAGGATGTACCGTTCCCACTTGTGGTACAGTATGCTGATTGATGGTATTAGTATGCGCGTTATGATTGTTGTGGCTCGCGTGGGAGTTGTGAGCATGCAATGGCAGAGTGCTATATCCTGGGCCGCGATCTCGTCTAGGATGGCCGAGTGGATAGTTGGGCGCGTAATGACTAGGAACTTGTGGTGGGGCTACTGCTGGTGGAGTCCTATACTCGCGCGATCCTTTACTCAACGTCCCTATACAAAGATTTATAATATTATTCACTGTACCTTTAATTCGTACGATATACACTTAACACATTGAATGTAACAAGTAGAATGGTGTAACACTTAGAAGCTGAAAGAAAAAAGACACACATGCGAGCAAAAAGCTGTAAATACCTTAGCGAAATGATTAATTTTTTTATAACCGCAACTGAAAAAGTACCCTTTACAAGTTTGTGTAGCACTCGTACCATTTCTAACACTTATGCAGGGTGTCCCAGAGCGTTCTGGGACACCCTATATATACAGAATGTTTGATAATTTGTAGTGCAATTGCAAATTATCTTTATAAATAATAAGAGGAGAAAAAATCTTATTTTTCTATTGTAGCAGAAATTAAAACTTGTATCATTGTATCAAACATTCTGTACACATTCTGTATATGTATATATGTAATTCTTACCAGTTCTCACTGTCTGAGGTGGTGTAGGTGGTTTAGTGGTAGGAGCAGGTCCTACCATAGCAGCACCTAAGCCTGAACCTGTAGAAGCAGCACCTAAACTTTGAACACTGCCCTGACTACCACCTCTCTGCTTGCTTCGTGGTGTACCGCAGCTACGTACACCATGTCCAATATCATCTAAGATTGTATAATCAATGCTCTTTCTGACATATTTAATTGGGTTTTCAGGATTTGCGGGAGCGATAATTTTGTACTGACGAGTCGTCATTTTGTTGGCTGTCAAGACGCCGATTTCTCTTCTGGCAACCTTTCTTTGTGTATCATAACTGTCTGAGCAATGTGATTCATCTGACTTTCCATTTCAGCAAGTTGTGACGTTTGCAAGTCTAACAGTTGAAGAAAATTGTAAGCCAGAGTATTTATTTGATATGCAACACTGGCTAAAGATTGCGTGGTGTAGTTTTTAGTTTCCTCCAGTGCAATTCTCTTGTTTTCCGCTTGAAAGTAGTTTGCCTCGCAATATTCAGCCACTCTCTCCAAATTGGTATGACTATCGGCCAGATTGTTCCTTCCCTCTGGAATTTCATGTCGCAGAAGTGCCGCCAATTCAGCCATGACTTCAGAATCACTACCAACTCCTGATGATACGCAATAGGAACCTGATCCTTCTTACAAACAATATAAAACAAATTTTATATATACATATGAAAAATTAATACATAATACATACATATAAACTTATATATATGTATATATTCACATGCATGTAGAATATTATTATTTTTAATCATTTATAATAAAGCACGCAGAAATAATAATTTAAATGAAATAAAGACAAGCATACGTATATAAAATAATATTAAAATAATATTTTATCAATATAAATAATTATTCTATGTTTTTATAAAGTAAGATTACTTTCGTTTTTTGAGATGGATGCAAAAGGATATGTTAATTTCTATCAATTAGTATACTTGCCAGTCTCTTCGCACGAAGAAACGAAGAGAATCGAAGCGAAAAATTAGATTATGACAGGGGCGGCGTCTGAAGGGATACGGGAAACAAAATGGAGACCGATAGAGGTGATCAGAGGGATAGAGTAATGGATAGAGTGATGAATATAGAGCTATCTTCTCGCGTGATTTTACGTACAAAATGATTTAGAGAGATAAAGAAAATCAACTAACGGTACTCAGCCATATTGCAACTACCAGCTACTACACAGCCTCATTAATTCATAATTACCGAAACTCCCGAAATTTATTTACACATATAAAAAGAGAGTGAGGAAGAGTAAAATGGCTGCGACGCTTGCGCTTATTGCGATATATCGCGATATCGATAATCGATATCGTCAAGTTTGCCCTTCAATTTCTTAGTTTATATATAACTTCTATAATTAGAGAGATATTATTAATTATTAATAGGAGCCTTTCAGCGAGAAACACATAATGTCACACGATTGTCAAGTAGAGAAATTTTCGGAAATTAAAAACTTGATTATATTTGATCAATTGCATCGCATTGTGTCTATATTTTTATTTTCTCGCTTCCAAAAAAATAAAAAAATAAGTGTTAATAAATTTTAGTTTATTATACATACCTTCAGACATCGCGCCACAGAAAATGACAATCTTTTTTTCGATTATTGATAAAAATATCACTGCTCAATCGCTGATTTTTTCTTCAATTTATAAATATGTATTCTTATTAAAATATTTTCACATACATATGTACATGATACACTGTGCCACACATATTCTTGATAAGAAAATTTTTCGAAAACGTCTTCAGAGAGAGAAAGCAAGAGAGAAAGAGAAAACTTCCCTCTCGCTTCGCCGTGCTGCACACCGTTGGACGGTGGAGGGGAGACTGGCGCGCGCAGCTGTTTCCCCACTTCGCGCCCGCTTACTTGTCACGTGACCCGTGTCACGTGACGCGCCGCATACCAGCGCCGTCTGGAGGTCAAAGTCGATTCAAAGTCGCACGCAGCACGGATTGAGACGCATTTTCTCTCTCTCGCCACATAAGTATTGAAACATTTTTAATTAAAGCAGTATTGTGTGGTAACATTAAACGCATTGAAGCATGCGAAATGCGATTATAAAGCATAACGCGTAGAATACTTTGATCAAAGCAATATTACGACTCGTAAGCAAGAAGCATATGGTTTCGCATCGCGTGCAACGATGAGAGATATTCCGTGTTATATTTTAACTGTATGTACGACGATCCTTTTATATTACATTTCTTTCCGAAGAATGCATTATCAATTTATACATATATATATATATGTATATATAATGCATTTTCACGAAATGATCAATATCGACGTCACAAACTTTTTGCACACACACACACATATATTTCTTTCCGCGATATAAAGAAATAGAAATTATTATTTCAATTGATGTAAATAATATAAAATTATTATAAATAACGTATATACATATATATTTTTATTTAATTAATAATAAATTATGTTTATTATTTTTAATCGCACACACTTTGACATATTTGACACATAACCACTTTTGACATCTGTCAAATGTCAAACAGTATAAAAATAAAAATTAAAAAATTTTTTAATTGAATAAAATAAAATATAAAATAAAAATTCACTATAAAAAATTGAATGTTCCCTCCAAATAATCAACAGTCATGACGTGCGCGAATATGTAGAGTCGGAGCATGCCGGCCGAATGTGCCTGGACACTCGTGCAAGTTCACGTGTGTAAATAAAGCGTTTTCGTTGGCCGAGCATAGACAGACATAATACCTACAATTAATCGTAAATACATCGCAGTTTCGTCTTCGTTACATTTCCGTACGCGAAACTATTTTACGAGAAGTGCGTGAATTTTTCTCTTCCACAATTATTTTTTATTATCCTTCCGATAATCTTAATTCCGCGCATTCGCGTTCGTATCTACCTGCCTGCGTCGCAGAGGCAAGAGGTCCAAGCCCTATATCGTCACGTCGCATATACGCCGTATTTAGGGAAACCAAAGGGACCTAAAAATCGAAGCCGGTGCAACCTCGGTAAGTACGATCTTTCAGGTCGCAGATGCGCTCAAATGCACCTTATTGCGTCGAAATAGAGTCGCAAGTTTCCATCATCGCCTGTTAATCATCGCGAATTATTCTCATTTTTGAAATCCAATCCAACCATCTCGAGAGACTTCAATTTTGGTCTGGTCCACCTGGTAATCAATCATTCGCGATAGCTTTCGATGGCCCTTCTAGCTAGTTAAAAAATAAATTTTTTTACAGATGACAGAATGTCCTCTGAACAGCTGAGCCAGGTAATCGAAGCCGGGAAACAGTTCGCGAAATAATTTCGGCGTCTTAAGATACATCTGGAAGAGACTGCGATTGTGTAAGGACGACGGATTCAGAGATTTGAAGATCGATTGTTAGAAAATCTATATCTTGCGAAAATGGATAATCTGCTGAAGCAGCTGGAGACGTTGAAGATTAGAGGCGATTTCTGCGAGGACAATTCGTGGACACCGTGTATAGATCTGATTCAGAGGAGTTTTGCACCGCAGAGAACAGTAGGGACGGAACGTCCTTGCGAGGAGAAGGACTTCAAGGAGTACAGGCTCGTTGTAGAAAGAAACCTGCGTAACATTAGGTCTATGTTGCAGCACATCTCCAACAGTTGTAGGGAGAAGCATTTACAGCTGTGCAATGCTACAGGGATGGTTAAAACGTTTGGCATGAATTTGTTATTGCTTATCGGTGAGCACAACGAAAGAAATATTTGGAATACAGCTGAATGCGTCTCTATTTCCAAAGAATTACTCGCTGGCTTCTGCGATCTTTACTCCTATCAAAACGTTTCTCAGTTTTTGTTAGAGGATGGGAATTTGGTTAATCTGTTGTTGATGCTAAGACCTAAATTATTAAAGGATACCTGGAAAACTTATCCATCAGCTGTGACATGTTACAGATGGATTTTACAAGAAGCTGAGGTGAGTCTAGCTTTTTTCTATTTTGAAGTTTTGTATATTATTAGATCATTGGTACATTCTGCTTGTTTATATTCTTCCATAGAAACCAACTTTATTTAATCATATCGGAGATGTTTTGCCAACTACACTAATCATTCTTGATGACTACTTTCCTGACAATGTAGTAATAGGTTTGGAATGTATATACCAAATTATACAGCATTCTTACATGGTAATTATTAAAAACAAGAGTTTACTTTTATTCAGCATTTTAATATATACGTGTATTTATTTACTTGATAAAATATTTTAGAAAAAAGGACTTATAGATACTGGCTATGCTAAAGCAGTCTATCACACTTTGGAACTTTTATCCCGTCAGAAAGAAGTAAGATACATTATTCCTTTGTATTCCTGTATGGCTAGTCTTTTAGCTACTATTGAACATTGGGATAATACTATAAATCTATTTGAGGTGAGCTTAACAAGTATTTTATAAGTATATAGTTCATTAGGAATTCAATATAAAGTATCATCGCAACTTTTTTCCACAGTGGACGACACGCGATGACGTTCTTTCCACGTTAATAGACAATATGGAATTTGAGCAGAATATCGAATTACGACATGCATACATGTCGAGTTTACCTCAACTCATTACAAATATAGGCTGTGCCAAATGGTGCGAAGCGCTTACTCGCGTCCTCGCCGAATACTGTGAACATCATACAGATTTAAGGACATTGAAAGCAACGTTGGAGGTATGATACACTTTAAAACATGCTAAAGACCACAGACCAATATTCATCTTCCGATCTTATTTTTAAGATCGTCTTAAGTGTGATGTCTTGGGTCGTCTTAAGATTCCATTCAATTAAGGATGTATGGGAGACATCTAAAAATGGTACAAAATTTATATAAAAATTATATAGATTGCTTCTTAAAGCTACTGTTAACATTTGGCTTTTAATTCACTCATTTAAAAGTTATTGCAATTTAAATTTCTGCTAGTTTTACACATCTTATAAAAATTCGTTACTCTGATTGACTATATTACGTTAAAAATATCGAAAAAATAGTACCATGTATTTTAAATTTTTTACATGTATAATTGGAACTTTGGAACAATGTTGCAAAATTATATTTACATTTACTAAACCATTTAGAAGAAAATAATAATTTTTTGAAATTCAGACTTTTTTCCGATTTCTGAGGATTCGGTTATGTCAACGCTGAAAACAGCTAAAAGTTAGAATATTAAACTATAAAATTCTGTAAAATGAATCAATTTTCTATAAGATGAATAGCGTTGATACTTTTTTGTCTCCGATTATATTTCCCATATATTCTTAATCAAATGGCTACACAGTATCTCAAGATCGTACTTAAGACGATCTTAAATATAAGATCGAACTATGAAGACAATCATAGCATGAAACAAGTAATACACATTTTTCATCCTACTTAGACCGCAAAGACGTTCCTCTTAATGTTTCGTCTGCGAGTGGCAGCCCACTGTACTCCGCTTTACACTGCGTTCTTGAAGCTGCATTTTGATCTGACGGAGACACCGGTGTTCGATCGAGCGATCATGCAGAATCTGGAGGATTGTATCTGCATGCTGTATCATCTGTCGCCGAACGTAGGCTATACAGTAATGAACGACGATCGAATGCGTTCGGTACTCAGCAATAACTTGCCGGTCGTGTGTCAGGAAGGTGATATCAAGTATTTTGAATAATTTAATTGTAACGTGGATGCAATCGCGTATTTGTATATACAGTGTATTCTATCTTATGATGTATGAATGCTTTTCTGATAGAATTATTTTACTCTCTTGTGTAAAACTTACATAATAATAGATGTAAACGCAATAGGTACTTAGATATTTTATTTATGATGTAAAAAAATCAATATATCGATTATTTGTAAACATTTTTGTTACAATATATTCAATTCTTTGCGAGTTATACGTGAACGAAAATCGAATTGGAAAAGACGTGTATATTTTACATGTGTATTTAGCATAAGATAAACAAAAACTTTTCTATACACACATACACATTTCTGTTTTATGTATATTTATTTTATATATATATACACTAGATATATACACATTTTTTTCTGATTTGAATTACAGATTAGTTTTTGAATAACTGAAATATCTGAATAGTATATGTGTTTATATAACAATTTGAATTTAATAACTATTATAATATTGACTCTTTACATTCAGAAAACAATGAAATAATTGGAAGTAATAATATTGTCTCTGTATAGCTGCTATATTATAAATATTATAGAGAAACATAGTATTAAATGGATTATCTTAAAATCTTAAAAAAACAATACAGAATTGATTCATTATTTTTCTTGCATAAATCTTTTTTGTACAAGGAATAAAAAATGTAATTTTTTATTTTAAAGACTTATACGTTACATTCATGTTTCAAATCTTTGTATGCTATGCCAATATATGCATTGTATTGTGTATATTAAAAATATCCATTTCAAAAGTTTCCTGAATGTAAGTCAAGTCAAAGGTCAAGAAAGATATAAGTATCGAGTAAAATACAGATAATTGTTGTTTTCAATTCCACTTTATACATTATTATTTCATGAAACAGAGAAAAATTTTTGGAAATTATTCTTCATTAGTAATTTGCATCAAATATTTCATAATAACACTTATCAATGCGTTAAATATATAAGAAATAAAAATGATTATCAATTTAAAGCAGATGAAAACATGTTATTATGGTTTGAGTACTAAGTAAAATTTATAGTATTAACTTCGAATACGAGAAGATAAAACTACGTAAAAATATCTGGCGGTCATTATCTGCTTGCGTTTAAAGGAGGAGATATCAAGTCGAGGTCCTTGGCATCTCATAATCTCTATTTTCCGGTTGTGTTGAATTTTATATCTCGAGTATATGTGAATATATACAAACAGACTGGTAAGTTTTGCTTTATTCAGTATCTATCACTCGTTCGACCATGTCGCCGCTTCTGCTTGTGATATTTGTGTTACTTGCAGTGTATAAATTATACAGATTCGTTTACGACAAGCCACCAAATTCACCTCCAGGTAAGCTAAAGATGTTAAATTTACATTTGTTTCATACTTAATTATAATATTTGTCAGTCACAAAATTAAAATCGAATAATGGATACTTTTTAATTTCTTTTGTTATATTTACATTTAACGAATATTTTTATAATACAAATAGAATATTGTTCAACGATATCTATTATATTTATCAGATATGTAGGTACATATTATGATATAGATTTTTATTTATAATAATGTTCTCTGATATAAGGTCTCATCAGGATTCCAATAGGAGGATCTTATTGGCTGTTCTTATGGAGAAACTACAAATACGTACATTTAGCTATGGAGTATTACGCGAAAAAGCTAAATTCAAAGCTTTACAGCTGCTATATGGGCGATTATTTTGCAGTGATTGCGAATGATTATGTTAACGTAAAGGAGATACTCTCGAAGGAGGAGTACGACGGTCGAATCACAGACGCGGATTTTATAAAAGATCGAGCTTTCAAAAAGAAGCTAGGTAATACTAGTTATTCATTCATTTGTTTATTTTCTAAATTAAGACATTTATGGCATAAAGAAAATTTTCTTTTCTTCTATTCTCTTTTCTTTCAATATACCGGAAACACTTAGATAATTAAAACGTTAATATATGTTAATATATATTGTATAATATATATATATGTATATATTAAATTGAAAAAAATATATATTATACATATAGTTAATATATTATATATATTAAATAGATTTGTTTTATATATAAAAGCGTGTCAGGTCATATATAAATAATACTGTAAAATTTTGTAGGTGTATTTTTCATCGATGGCCCACAATGGCAAGAACAGAGGAGATTTGCTCTCCGTCATATGCGCGATTTTGGATTTGGTCGACGTCAGGAGAAACTCGAGAGCGAAATCATGGATGAGATGACCCTATTCATGGACATCCTGAAAAACGGACCCATTTATGACGGAGAAAAAGTACGATATCGTTCTAAGAGATGAAATTATAATCATAAAAATCATTATTCCAATTAAGAGAATTTTGATTTGGCAGGAAATAATAAAGGGAAATCTGGCTCTCTTCCCGGACGTTTTGTACGCGTCATCAGCAAATAATATATGGAACGTGATGTTCGGTCACAGATTCGATAGAAGCGAGCACGATATTTCACGGCATCTCTGTCGTTCTGCCTTAATATTTCAAAGAGCAAACGATCCGTCTGGCGGGGCACTTTTTCAACGACCGTTCTTGAAATACTTCGGCAATATGTTCGGCTATAAGAATCATATAAAAGGAAATTACGCGATAGTAGATGTTATCAAGGTATAGATGAGTCTTTTATTAAACAAATATAATTATATGAAGTTTAATCTTTATTTAAATAAGCAATTAAATTTCGTTATATAATCTAACAGACCTCAGAACTTTTTGTATTAAACTGAAAAAACAATGTGAGGGAAATTATATATATTTATTTAATCTGAAATTTATTATCTAATCATGCTATATTAGCATTTATTAGATATGAGATAGTTATAAAACATATATCTAGCAATTTTATTAAACTTAAACTGTTTCGATATTACTAAAATAGTTACATATACAATTTATATAAACTGCGTATAAAACAAATAGAAAAATATCTGTATCGTTTTAATACGATCACATATTTTATAACTTTATAGGAAGGTCTGGAGCGTCAAAAAGCTACTCTCAGCGAAAACGTCGATCGAGGATTCATCGATATATATTTGAAAAAATTAAATGAAGATGATAAGTCACCTTATTTTACGGAAGAGCAACTGATCATTTTACTGGTCGATGTTATGTTTCCTGCTTTCTCCGCAGTACCAAGTGTTATTACCCACGCTATTAAGCACTTGATGCACAATCCCAAAGTTATGAAGAAAGTCCAGGATGAAATAGATAACGTCGTTGGAACCGGCCGACTCGTTTCATGGGAGGATAGAGCAAAGTGAGTCAATGCTTTTACGCACAAAGATCATTTATCTTCATTCTCGAATAGATTACATTTTGATAATTAGCCAATCTTTTATCACAACTCTTATCACATATACTGAACTAATTTCTAGACAATTTATCACATGTAACTGAAAATATATGACACGGATTTGATATGATAAAAAGTAACTATATACAAGTGTGTTTATCGCTAAATTATAATGTAGTTTTCTTCCTTTGGTCAATAAGAGAAAGACGTAATACAATTTATCAATTTTTTTACTAAAATAAGAGAAGCACAACTTGTTTCAAAATTAACCAAATATAATAATTAAATTAAATAAAAGAAAAGGAATATATTCTTTGTACAAGATAAAAATAAAAGATATTAAATATAATAGAATACGCCGTTTCAATTTATATGACAATTTTCATGATAAAATTATTATTGTTATTTACAGAGATTTTATATTAGTAGGTGGTTTTGATTCTGATTAAGCTCCTCGCAAATATATGATATATTTTCTTTTGTTTCAGTCTACCCTACACGGAAGCGACAATTCGAGAATCTATGAGAATCGAGACACTTGCTCCGCTTGGCGTAATTCACAGATCCGTGAAAAAAACCACATTAGGAGGGTACGAAATACCGGCGAACATACCGGTTGTCACCAATTTAGCGGCGATGAATAATGATCCTGACATGTGGGGCGATCCCGAAAATTTTAGGCCAGAAAGATTTTTGAAAGAAGATGGGCAATTAGGCAAAGATTTATCGCTCCCCTTTGGGTTTGGTGAGTCGATATGTGATATCTTGAAAAAAATTCAACTGAGTTTTCTATGTAAAAAGTACATTATTTTGAATTTTTAAAGATAATAATACTAATATAAAATTTTAAAGATAATACTAATAAAAAATAATTAAATCTGCTTCTGGTGTTTATAGGCCGTCGATTATGCGCGGGAGAAACTTATGCTAGATTTAATATCTTCCAATCGATAGCTCTCTTGATGCAAAACTTCAACTTCTTTTTCGTTGAGGGTGAACCGTCGAGTCTCGAAGACAAGGTACCTGGTTTAATCATCAGTCCTAAAGAGTTATGGATACGCTTAGAATTACGTTAATTTCCGTTTTTCCAATATTCAAAATAGATAAAGTGCAAGTATGTATAAAAGTATCTTCATATTTCGCGTAAAAATTGGGATAAAACTTTTGAACACAATTAACGACTAGCTTTATATTCTAAATCATGTCCGTATTTGTGTGACGTATGTATGTATTAGTCTTAACGTAATTCTAGCGTATCTATATGTGTGTGTGCGTTTCTGCGCGCGCTTATAACAATTTGAAGATTATTATGTGTGTATGATATTAGTTGCTTTAGGAAGAAATTATATAAAATATAAAATATATTATTATATAATCTTATTATTAAATAATCTTATTATTATATAATATATAAAATATTGTCTGTGTAAAGCTACTATACATACAAATATATAAAGAGATGAATATTGAATGGAATAATTTATCTTAGAAGAAAAAATGTCGAATTTTATTACCTTTTTTGTGCAACTCTTATCTCTGTTTTTTTTGTATAATTCTGCATTAGTAAAAAGGTGCATTTTATATTGTACACATTTCATATAATTATTTATACTACATATATGTATATTTAATATCATTTTCTTGGATATTACAAAGTTAAAGTTCAATTAAGATAAGTATTAAACGTCTAGAAAAAATTGTTACATCACTTATTTACAACTTCACTTACAAGAGACGAAGTACAGAGAGTTAGTGCTCGCGTTTTTATCTAACAACAGTGTTTATTCGTACTTTCAACTATATATACTTCGAAGATTACGGACAACTATCTGATACTTCCACCTGGTATTTAAAGAAAAAATAATGAATTAAGGACAATTTGTACATTTGACAGCCTATAATCTTTCATTTTCCGCTTTGCAATTTCAACCGCATTTTTTAAAAAATAGATAAAGAATTTAGTATCTGTCGCTCGTTCAACTATGTCTCCATTCTTGATTGTGATACTTGCGCTTCTCGTCGTATACAAATTATATAGATTTGCTTACGATAAACCGCCCAATACACCTCCAGGTAAGCTAATATTAAATTTGCATATATTTGATAAACTTAATCATTCAATAATTTCGATTTTTTTCAATAAAGTCTCCAATAATAAATACTGGGTACTATTTTCTCTTATAAATATTATACATATATATTGATCATTAATATAAATTATTTACTATTAGATAAAAAACCTTCATATACTATATTATAAATATATATATTTCATATTACATTTACATTTAACAATCACTACCTTTATTGTACAAATAGAATTCTGCATAACGAGATCTATCTCTATAATTATTGTTTTGACCTTTGACCATACTCCTTTTACGACGTAGGTCTTATCAGAATTCCAATAGGAGGATCTTATTGGCTGTTCTTATGGAGAAACTACAAATACGTACATTTAGCTATGGAGTATTACGCGAAAAAGCTAAATTCAAAGCTTTACAGCTGCTATATGGGCGATTATTTTGCAGTGATTGCGAATGATTATGCTAACGTAAAGGAGATACTCTCGAAGGAGGAGTACGACGGTCGAATCACAGACGCGGATTTTATAAAAGATCGAGCTTTCAAAAAGAAGCTAGGTAATACTAGTTATTCATTCATTTGTTTATTTTCTAAATTAAGACATTTATGGCATAAAGAAAATTTTCTTTTCTTCTATTCTCTTTTCTTTCAATATACCGGAAACACTTAGATAATTAAAACGTTAATATATGTTAATATATATTGTATAATATATATATGTATATATTAAATTGAAAAAAATATATATTATACATATAGTTAATATATTATATATATTAAATAGATTTGTTTTATATATAAAAGCGTGTCAGGTCATATATAAATAATACTGTAAAATTTTGTAGGTGTATTTTTCATCGATGGCCCACAATGGCAAGAACAGAGGAGATTTGCTCTCCGTCATATGCGCGACTTTGGATTCGGTCGACGCCAGGAGAAGTTCGAGAGGGAAATTATGGATGAGATGACCCTATTCATGGACATCCTGAAAAACGGACCCATTTATGACGGAGAAAAGGTACGATCGTTGTAAGAGATGAAATCATAATCATAAAAATCATTATTCCAATTAAGAGAATTTTGATTTGGCAGGAAATAATAAAGGGAAATCTGGCTCTCTTCCCGGACGTTTTGTACGCGTCATCAGCAAATAATATATGGAACGTGATGTTCGGTCACAGATTCGATAGAAGCGAGCACGATATTTCACGGCATCTCTGTCGTTCTGCCTTAATGTTTCAAAGAGCAAATGATCCATCTGGTGGGGCACTTTTTCAACGACCGTTCTTGAAATACTTCGGCAATATGTTCGGTTATAAGAATCATATAAAAGGAAATTACGCGATAGTAGATGTTGTCAAGGTAAGAATCTTTTATGAAACGAATACAATTACACATAACATAAAATCCAAATTAACTGAAAAAGATCCGCTTAAAATGTTATATACATTTTCAAAGTTTCATGCTTAAAATAATTATACTCAGAACTTTTTTTATATTAAATTAAAAAAGTAAAGGTATATGTGTGAGTCAACTTACTTTTTTCTATTTAGTAAAGTTAATTTATTCTATATTTAATATAGAATAAATCTTATATCTACTTCTTGTAGCAACTTCAGTAATACATTTAAATTATACATTTTGATTTTATAGAAAGGTCTGGAGCGTCAAAGAGCTACTCTTAGCGAAAACGTTGATCGAGGATTCGCCGATAAGTATCTGAAAAAACTAAACGAAGATGATAAGTCACCTTATTTTACGGAGGAGCAAATGATCATTTTGATAGTCGATATGATATTCCCCGCTTTGTCCGCATTACCAACTACTATTACCCACGCTATTAAGCACTTGATGCACAATCCCAAAGTTATGAAAAAAGTCCAGGATGAAATAGACAGTGTTGTTGGAACTGGCCGATTCGTCACATGGGAGGACAGAATAAAGTGAGTGTACTGTAATACACAAGGTCATGGATCTTCATTCTCGAATATATTACATTTTGATAATTAGCCAATCTTTTATCACAATTCTTATCACATAGACTAAACTAATTTTTAAACAACTTATCATATGTAACTAAATATGTATGTCACGGATTTGATATGATAAAAAGTATAAATACACAAGTGTGTTTATTGCTAAATTATAATGTAGTTTTTTTCCTTTGGTCAATAAAAGAAAGATGTAATACAATTTGTCAATTTTTTTACTAAAATAAGAGAAGCACAACTTGTTTCATAATTAACCAAATCTAATCATTAAATTAAATAAAAGAAAAGTAATATATTCTTCATACAAGATAAAAATAAAAGATATTAAATATAATAAAACACATTAACCGTTTCAATTTATATGACAATTTTCATGATAAAATTATTATTGTCATTTACAGAGATTTTATATTAGTAGGTAATTTTGATTGTGATTAAGCTGCTCGCAACTATATGATATTCTCCTTTTATTTCAGTCTGCCCTACATGGAAGCGACAATCCGAGAATCTATGAGATTCGAGACACTTGCTCCGCTTAGCGTAATTCACAGATCCGTGAAGAAAACCATATTAGGAGGATACGAGATACCGGCGAACACACCGGTTGTCACCAATTTAGCGGCGATGCATAATGATCCTGACATGTGGGGCGATCCCGAAAACTTTAGGCCGGAAAGATTTTTGAAAGAAGATGGACAATTAGGCAAAGATTTATCGCTCCCCTTCGGTTTTGGTGAGTCGATGTGATATCTTGAAAAAAATTCAACTGAGTTTCCTATGTAAAAAGTACATCATTTTGAATTTTTAAAGATAATAATACTAATATAAAATTTTAAAGATAATACTAATAAAAAATAATTAAATCTGCTTCTGGTGTTTATAGGCCGTCGATTATGCGCGGGAGAAACTTATGCTAGATTTAATATCTTCCAATCGATAGCTCTCTTGGTACAGAATTTTAACTTCTTTTTTGTTGAGGGTGAGCCATCAGAGCTCGAGGACAAGGTAAATGGTTTCATCATTTCTCCCAAAGAATTATGGATACGCTTAGAATTACGTTGATTTTTATTTTAATATTCGATTTAGATGAAAATATATATATGCAAGTATAGATGTATATATATATATATATATATATGTGTGTGTGTGTGTGTATACACACACATCCATACTTGCATATATATATTTTTATCTAAATCAAATATTAAAATAAAAATCAACGTAATTTGATGATTTTTATTTTGATATTTTTATCTAAATCATATATTAAAATAAAATCATATATATATATATATATATATATTTATATATATATATATATATAATAATAATTAAAAGTGCAAATTTTTGGTGGAGGAATTTTATAACAAAGATTGTATAAACAAAACTAAAAGAGAACAAAACTAAGAATACTAAAATATAAGATAGTAGAATATAGGATGTAACAGTAAAGTGTAGAAAATGGAAAACTGTATAAAACAATATATGTCATGTTGGATTCAAGTATTACAAATTTATTTCACATGTGAGACAAAAATAATTACAGTGTGCCTTGCTCAAAGCAATCAATGTACGCTCGTAAAGATGCGTATGTTGGAACATTTAGAATACTAGCCATCCTTAGCTCTCACAGAACTTTTCTTTTTCCTCTTGTAATTATAACAAAACTTTGTTTTACATTAAGATTTTATAAACATATATGTTTAAGAACAATGATCATATACAACTAGTGTTACTTTTATGAATTGTGATTCTAAAAAATGTTGAGTCTTGTAAACGTTTCTATCGCATAAAGAAAATATATAATCGGTTTTCGAGATCTCGAAAGTTCGCAATTGCAGTCCAGATTATCGGAAGCATTAAAGTAGATATCTTTTGTGTAGATAATTCACAATGATATAGACTATAGACATTAAATTTCATTGTTAGTAGTAACAGTTCTTGAAATAATTGCTTTCATATATCGTTAATCACGATCAAGAAAAAAAAATAAGATCATATACTTCTTTTATGATTGAACGATCAAATGCAAAACCCGAAATTATTAGCTTTTTATTTGCAGCGTCAATGTTTCGTAAACAGAACAAATGTAGTCCCTTTATTTAATAATTTCGAATGTGACTAATGGCCAGCCAGCTTCACACTTTGCATTGTATGTGTATTTATATAACTAATATGGTATTAATTGCATAGCAATTTTATTATAAAGACAGAATATATATGTATTGTACACAGCTTTTTAAATTGGAACTACATATTGTAATTAATTACAAACATGATACATGTTGTATCGATTGTTCACATAAACAAATCTCACATCTTGATATAAAAATCAAGATGCCGTGAGTATAAATCTATTCGCGATAATTCGGGCAACGTTTTTAAATTCACTTTCGGATTGTTCATTCGAATGTGTAAATATATGTACAGAGAAATGCATTTAGACCTGAATGTCTCTATAATTCATAATTAAAATTCAATAATGTATGTATGAATATTTTCTTATCATACATAGCTCTTGCATGTGTATGTATATATATATATATATATATATATATATATATATATATATATATATATATATATATATACACACAATCAAATCACGTATTTTCCTGGACATTCATGATTTGCCACAACATAACATTTCAACTTATCGAGAGCATAACTTTATTCTCTATGTACCAAAACGTATAATCCAAGACATGCTAATACTGCATATTTAAACTTAGGATATTCGTTCATATATATAGTGACCATGCCAACATACGGTAGAAAGCCTCTTGCTCGACCGACCACATCTTTATGTGTCAACCAGAGTTGACCAGGCGCGTACAAGCCTCGGTCGTCCACAGAATTGTTGTCACCTTTTGTGAGGAACTTGACTGTATTATTTTGGTCGCCCCTGGAAATTTGACGTTTTTTATTTTCACATTACATTACCGATATATTTGTATTTCACATATAAAGCTTACTTTTCATGAAGCTTAAGTACTCTGTGTACAATAGGTATATCCCTCCCCTCGACTTTGAAAACAACGATCTCGCCCACTCTTACCGGTTCATCTTGATAATTAGTGAGGAAGAGCAAATCGCCTCTGTGAAACGCAGGCTCCATGCTACCACTGTTAAAAATTAATACATATCAAATATTAGATTTTATCCTACAGATATTCTCTTTACAAGTTTATGTAATCACCCTAATAATCCTCATAATTATCTTAATACAACATAATGTTTGCTGCTATTATACCAATCATTTCTACATAAAAACTTAAAATATTTCTACATGATAAAACACATGTATTATGCTGTTAATGGAAGTAAACAAGTAGTAGATTACAAATCAGTAAATTTTCAGCGATAAAAGACAAATTAAAAATTAATGTCAGATGTTCTCTTTACAAGTTTATGTAATCATCCTAATACGCAGTATAACGTTTGCTGCTATCGTACCAATCATTTCTACATAGAAACTTAAAATATTTTTCTACACGATAAGACACATGTATTATGCTGCTAATGGAAGTAAACAAGTAGTCGATTACAAATTGGCAAATTTTCAGCGATAAAAGACAAATTAAAAATTAATGTCAGATGTTCTCTTTACAAGTTTATGTAATCATCCTAATACGCAGTATAAAGTTTGCTGCTATCGTACCAATCATTTCTACATAGAAACTTAAAATATTTTTCTACACGATAAGACACATGAATTATGCTGTTAACGGAAGTAAACAAGTAGTCGATTACAAATCAGCAAATTTTCAGCGATAAAAGACACATTAAAAATTAATATCAGATACAATATATAGGAAAGCTCTAGGTTAAATCAGTCCATTCTTATACCTCAGTACCACCACGATAGGACTCTCGCTACCGGTGACGACCATCAGACCCTTCCATATCATCAGGGCGGACGAGACTATCATCCCAAAGCTCAGTACTTGATACAGAAACTAAAAATTAAAGAGCATTGATATATAGCCACCATATGCGAGCTCCGGACGAGCGCGGTAACGAAGGTGTCGTCGAAGGAAAAAACTTACCTGGCGTTTATTCATACGCCGCACATCGTCGAATATCGATTGCAACATGATGACGAGAGGGATTTCCGGGGGCTCGACGACGACAGAAGAGAGTATTTCTCCAGTTTCGTTGATTCGAACACAACCGGCAACCAAGTCGTCTATCGCAGATTACATGTAAATGTGTCTACCATTGGCACCAAGTTTCGCTGTCGCCGCTATTACCACGTCACGTAAACAATGAACGGAGGGAACTGGAACAGAGAATCGATAGAATCCGCGGAACGGCCGGAGTGGATCAAACTTTGGGTCATAGAAAACGAAACGTGGACATAGAGGAGCCTAGTCGACCAGAAATTTGACAAATCACTGGCCTAGGGTTTTTTAGTTCGACCAATCAGGGACAATTATGACGTCACGATTAAATGTCACTTCTAGGTGCTCGTATGTACCAAATCACAAGTGGAAAAACATTTGTTTATAAATGTTTACAAATGGCTGCGATATATATATATATATATATATATATATATATATATATATATATATATTGCGGTGACAGGTGACGGCGTCTCGTAAGTTGATTTGACAGCTGATTGACGTATGGCTTTTCGGACAACGTGACGATTCTCGTATGTATAAAGGAAAAAAATCGCGTTGTATTTCACGCAAAAAATAGATCACTCAACATTAGACGAACACCTTGTTTTGGCTTCTTGGTACCGCATCTAATTCTCCCATTAAAATTCAAGTTAATAGTTCAAGGATGTGGAGAAAGAAAGATTTTTACATTCTGTTCATGCGATTTAAATATTTATTTAAAACCGTGCCATTTGTGCATTATAATAGTACAATAATATGAAATTTTCTACTGTCAGCTATTGGTTCTTAAATTAACGAGCAACTGAAAGATTTTCGAGTACAATATGGAAACACCGGGTCGACGAATACGTAGTAATTTCCTTCCCGGAGTTTCTCGCTTGGCTTTATAGTGAAAATCTCCTTGGTTAGAAGAATACAGTCAGTTGTGTTAGGAGCAGGATAAACCGGTCTACAAGAATGACAAGTTGTAACAAACAAAACAATAATCAAGAAACAGAAATAAATTATAAACAAATGATCCTGAGCAATGGCTGATTCATTACCTTGACATGAATATGTCCAAAAATCTGAAAAAATAATCAGGTAATGTAACTTCCTTTTTTTTTCACTTTTATATATAAATGTATGTAATTTACTATATACTAAGATTTTTTTTATTTGAAAAAGATTTCTCATTAGACTTAATTAAACATGTTGATTATAAAATGACTTACGATGGCTTCATTGAAAGACCAGGATATGCACAATCACTCAATGTAATAGGATATTCGAATGCTCTGCTATGTGAACACACAACGTTTAAATCCCCTAAGCCTAAAACATAAATTTCACTCATAATATTGTTGTTTTCTGTCACATTCTAGTAACTTTCAACATCTAATTCGTTAATTAAATATAACGATTCTTTCTTCTAAATATAATAATTAATTTTACCACAGCCTGGTTGCATCAGTCCACCATTAAATTGAAGATCTAAGTGACCTATAGGTTTCGATATTCCCAGAGTTGATGTATGAAAAATTATTACATGTGTAGCGTCTGACTTGCACAATCTATTTATGCATCTGTTTAATCCAAATAGTGGGTCCGCGGGATCGAGGCCGATGAGACGCGGAATTTTGCCCAAGCCCAAGCTCTGGATATGTTTCGCAGCAAAAGCACTCACATGTGCACCAAGACTATGACCGATAAACGTGATGTTATCCAACAAGATGTTGCACTTCTTGACCAGAGATTCTACGTATCTGAAGAAAAAAATTCGCACATGAATCAAGGACATCGTGTCTTCTTCATTTTACAAAACAGTAATTTTATTATTGAATATTATCCTAATGTTGTACATTAGTTATTAATATTACGTATACATATAATATGACGTCGAATGACGTCAGATTGCTATTTGGGATCAATTAATATATGACTCTGTTTATTATATCTCAATATTTTACATATATAAAAAATAAGTACATACTCTGCCATAAGTTGACCTATCTCACGAGTGTTCTGCACTGCTTGAGGATATTCCATTAATCTCAATATGGGTATTCCATTTCTGCATGCTGCTTCAGACCAATCTAACGAAAATACTGTATAGCCTTGCTATAAAAACAAAAAAAAATATTGAATTTTTTATCTTTACATTATTTTTTCATATGATATATAAGAATAAAATATACAAAATTGTAGATATGTAAAATATCTAAAGCATTGTATAAGTTATTTCACTGATGAGGTATTATTATCTCATCGGTAGTTATTTGTATATTAATAAGTACCTCTATTAATATATTATGCATTTTCTATTTTTTTTGAGATATGTAATATTCATGTAATTTATAGGTATAATATTCACCTGTACAAATCGCTTGGCCAAATTATAACCGCTAGTTGTATTTGCATAGCTAATAAAACCATGGACCAAAAAAACAATGGGCTTCAAAGGATCAAAATTACAGCTTTCTTGTGCGCCGATATCTTCGCCTTCAAGATTAACACTGGAAGAGAAATATGGAAATATATAAACAGCGTGCGGAGAAATGAATTAACGGGACACTTATTGCGCTTTACCTGTTGTATAAAATGATCGACATGTATTTAGGGCCGAAGATACAGGAATCGTTGAATACATTGTTGATAGAGATATCGTTAAAAGAAAACAAGTCTGAAGGATATAAATACACGCATCGTATGAAGAAAGTTACAAATATCGCAGCAACGATTCTCATTATGATAGGAGAAAAGGTATTGCTGAATTTTAAAAAGAAACTGAATCAAGTAATGGATTTCGCGGTATTTTATAGCAAAGTTACTTTCATATATACATATATATATATATATATTCATATATACATATATATATATATATATATATCAATTTTACAAAAATATTGACACTCGCAACATTATTGGCAACTGTGTAAACTGTTTGGCGAGTGCAGAAACTTCTATGAAAGTGTGTTTTACAATACTGGAATATAGAATGTCAAATAATCAATAAATATTGCCATCGCGTATATATTTCTTCTCTTTGTAATTCGCTTTTATTTTTGACATTATCCGGCAATAAAAATGACGTAGTGCCGCAAATATTTTATAATGATGATCTTGCCCTTGGTATTATATTGCGTGTATTATCGGCCCATTATGCAACACGTGTTACATATTTATACATTTCGTTTACATTAATTTAAGAATCAGATTTTATCGAAAAAGTTTTTATTAGCCATGTTTCGGGGATCATATATATTTTTTACGAAGCCGTAAAATTGTGTCAAGATATGCAGAAATCGTGCGCGACGAAACCTTGTAAGATTTATTGAAATATAGGATGAAACAGTTTGACAGAAATTTATGTTCGTGTAAACATTTATGGAAATAACTATATATAAATTTTCGAATATTTTTTTTTTGTTTTTAAATTTGCGGAGTAATCATTAAAAGTAAATTTAATGTGTAATTCATCATTTCCACTACATGTATTGCAAGAATTATTTTCCCAAAATAATGTATTGATGAATGTATTTTGAATTTTTTTTAGTATAAATATCAATATTAATTCTTGATTTTTTAAGTATTTCTTGATTATTACAATATCGTAAAGAATAATATTAAATATTTTTATATATCTTCATAAATTAAGTAACAATATAAACGGAAAATTTATAAAAAATTTTGAATAGAATGTTTCTGATTCTTCGATTTTATTGTCAAGTGTAGGTATAATTCATTTATTTCCGGTTAGTAAAAATTGTGATGACATTACACAGTTATAATCTAATGACATTACGTAGTTTAAATTTAATTATTTAAATTTTAAATGTAGACAGTTAAATATTTCAATAATATAAACATAATAAAAATAAGTTATGTGTAAAATTGATTACAGAGAGTAGTAAATAAAAGTAGAAATATTTTACGCGCGAGAATTTAAATCTTGTATGTAATGAAACGCATGTTAAAGTCCGTATTAGATTAGACATTAAATATTAAAGATTGGAATTCAACCCATTAGGATAAAAAAATCTTTATTTCAATTTATTCAGTCGATGCTTTTATAACATCAAGAATTTGAGCACAGTCAATTATTACTTTTAATTGATTTATAATTAATTAATTTTATCTTAATGTTCCTTTTAATATTCATGATTCTTTTTATACTTTTTTCTTAGTATTTATTTCTATATTTTAATTAATTATTTTTTAAAAAATTATTTTGCTTGTCACGTGATTGTGTGTGACCATTCGCAAGGATCGCTGCTTAGGGTTTTTTATTAGAATCGTCAATTTTTTAGGAAGGAAGTGAGCAATCGGGTGTCACTTCTATGTACTCATATATTATGGTTGTTCGAATTTAATAGAACAGTGATTACTCATGATTGTGTACATGGCGATGGTATGTAGTATGTGCGCGGTAACACCAAGTAATGATAACTTGACTTAACAGCTGATCGACTGTTTTTTTTATGATGTTATTTTAAGAGGAATAGAAATTAATTTTACAAACTTTGAAATTTTTAATTTCGAAATTATGCGAATGCTTATATTAGCGCATATGGATACATCGCAAAAAATATATCGTGATAACCTGTACGAATTACAAGTGTCTTAATATCACTAAATTTTTTAATTTTTTACAGATTTTTTAAAATTAAAAATTTGAATTTTTTCTTTTTTTTTTACTGAAATTATCTATAATTAAGAATTGGATTTTTTGCGAATCTAAACTCTTTAGGGAGGAGAATGGATAATAGATTTCGAAATTTTTCGAGTAATTTAAAATAAATTTTAATTTTGAATTTAAATGATGCAAAACTTCTTGCAACAAGGATAAAAGACAGCGATAATAACATTTTTCTTTCTTGACATTTGAAAATTATTTTTAAATATATTTTGCAAAAATATTCAATGTTCTAAAATTGCTCTGTTTATATTTGAATATTCCTTGCGTACGTATACACACTTGTGTATGTAGGGCATTACGTCAGTTTATCTATATCGACGAAAAAAAAAACAGATTTTTTGTTATATTGATTATTTTATCATACAAAAATGGTAATTTCGACTTGTATAAATATATTTATGAACTGAATTTAGTTATAATAAATAAATATAATTACAATATACAGTGATTAAAATATTATAATTATTTCTATATTTAGATCCAGAATATCTCAAGAAGATTACATTATTCAAGTGTTGGTGTAACAGCTACACGTACTGCTGTTAGATGGCTATCGACAACAGGTTCCGTCAAAGGTGAGAATAATGTAGCTTTTGTATCTGAAGATGAAAGAGCAAAAGCTGAAAATAATTTTATTTCTTTCTCAAATATATTAAAACTATTAATACATATTATAAAAATATAAGTTTTGCATTATAAAAACATTTTCTTCATTTTCAATTACTGACTTGAACATATTAGTTTGTGCTGCAAAATAGCAAAAATTAAAGAATCTTGTAAATCCTAGATATGTTACACTATCATTTCTTTAAAACAAGAACACAAATTCTGTATAATTTTTTAAAGGATCTTCTAAAGGAACGGGCAACATGGATGATGAAGTCCTTTTAAAAGATGTATGTTTACACACATTATTTTCTTCAGGAGTTTTAATTCTTTATTATTCTATTAGAATTAATTAAAATAATTAATTTTTTACATAAATAGGTTGGAGATTGCGGCGTAATAGTCTTAAATCGGCCTAAGGTGTTGAATGCCTTAAATATGCACATGGTTCAAAAGATTTATCTAACTCTTAAAGAATGGGAATCTTCAAAGAAACTTGTAATAATAGAAGGTGCGGGTGAAAAAGCGTTTTGCGCAGGTGGCGATATCAAATCGCTCGTCATACCATTGAATGAACCAAAAGGAGAAACCCTGGGTGCAGAATTTTTCAAAAAGGAATACACGTAAGTTGTCGTTGTAAAGAACTGTCTACTTAAATACAAGCCAACATTATTTTATATAATGGTGAGCAAATTATAAGACATTTTTTCTCTTTTTTATAGCACAAATTATTTGATTGGAACATACAACAAGCCTTATATAGCTATAATTAATGGGATAACAATGGGAGGTGGCGTTGGATTATCTGTACACGGCAAATACAGAGTCGCCACGGAAAAAACGCTTTTTGCGATGCCCGAAACGGCAATAGGATTATTCCCTGATGTCGGCGGAAGTTACTTTTTACCCAGATTGAAAGGAAAATTGGGCCTCTATTTGGGACTGACAGGACACAGATTGAAAGGTAAATGATTATCATTTTGGAACAGTTGTATAAAACATGTATATACAGAGTACATACATGTATATACAGAGTGACATAAGATATCACATCGAAAATATATAATTAAGTAGATCTTGTTATTTGGAGACAATTTTTTCTCAGCAAAAATATTTAGGCATCAATAATTTTCAAGTTGTAAGCTATTGAAAATAAAGGGTTTTTCGCAAACTATACATTGTGGAAAATAAAATATTAACAAAACCAGATTTTCTAATTAATTTCAAGTAGAGTTTACTTTAATAATATTTTAATTTAAGGTTTAGTTATAAAGATACATGATGGCAAAAATTGATTGGGAACATGTTAAAAATAATGGCTTCCCTCGATATTTTTGCTGAGGAAAAATCGTCTTCAAATAACGAGATCCACTTGTATATTTTCGATGTGTCAGACATCCTATATAAATATACATATTTTATTAAGGTATTGACGTACTTCTCGCTGGAATTGCGACACATTTTGTTCCATCGGAAAAAATAGCGGATTTGAAACGCGACTTGTTAGCATTGAAAAACACTGATGACATAGTTGAGATTTTAAATAAATATCAACCAAAATTAAATCATGAATTCAGTTTGGCGCCTTACATGTCTCAAATAGAAAATTGTTTCTCTGCTCCTTCCGTTGAAGAGATAATTGAAAGGTAAAGTGTAAGACATGTGTATCGATTAAAAATTTGCATTTTTTAAAATTTATAATTCAGGAATGCAATTTTTTCTAAAGGCTAAAGAAAGATAATTCAGAATGGGCGCAGAAGAACGTAAAAATATTGCTCAAGATGTCGCCATCCTCTCTCAAAATTAGTAAGAAAGCAATTGATGAAGGAAATGGAAAATCTTTGGCAGAGTGTTTAGAGATCGAATACAGATTGGCATACACTTCTCTGATCAGAGACGGTGATTTCTATGAAGGTAATTAGAGTTTAATTCGCATCTATTTTCTTTTTATTTTTAAATTAATATCTCATTTTAGGTGTCAGAGCTCTTTTGCTCGACAAAGATCAAAAACCGATGTGGAAGCCGCCGTCCTTGACCGATGTTACTGATGAATATGTAAATAAGCGATTTGCAACACTTCCTGCAGAAAAAGAATTAAAATTACGCGCTAGCAAACTATAAGGAAAAAGCTTTATTATGAATATTGTTACGAAAAAATAAATCCTTAGAAAATTGTTTATATTTAATTTTGTACAGAAATTATAAGATTTATAATAAATATTATTATCTTTAATTTCTTTAGATATTCAATTATATATATATCTATATTTTTCATAATATATTGTATAAATTTATCAGAAATTTCCTAGTCACAAATGGCATAATATACAACTTTGTAAAATATAAAACAACATTTTATTCGTGTAAAATAATGAAGGAAACATTATAAGTACTTTTACAACTAAGTACTATTATGTAAAAAATATGTATCTTTTCTTAATTTTTATTCTGGAAGCAATTCTTTTAAATTTGTCTATATAAATTCATCAGCCAAATTAACAAAATTTACTATTTACATATTTGTAAAATTTCAATTTTTTTACAATAAATAAATTTACAGACAACATAATTGAAGATTGTTCCGTAACATGTAGCATAATTTGTGTATATATATGTATATATATATATATATATATATATATACACATATATATATATATATATATACATAGATATATATACACACACCGACGTTAATTTTTAACTAATATATCTCGACTATAATTGAAATATGCAACTTGATTATTTCCTATCTAAAAAACAATATAATTAAACAATTTAACAATTTTTATTATTTTAATGGACTTTTATAACTATTGCGAAAAATTCTGATAATCACATGTATTCTTCATGCATTTTCTGAACAATGGATTTCCAAAATCATACAAAATATTGGCACAAATACATGACTATATAAGTAAAAATTCAAATATAAAGGTAAACGCCAGTGATTAAATATAAAATAACATTCAGTGATGTCACATATTGATTGATTTCATACTATAATATACTATTAATTTTATAAATTATTCACACAAAAAACAAAATGGGAATATTAGCAATCTTTCATAAATTATTACGTATTACATTTCTTCAACTTTTTAGAAATCATAAAACACATGAAATTATTGACCGTTAAATATATCGCTGACCAAAAAGAAAAAATAAATCTACAAACCTGGAATTCTTAAATAATTTATTAGTTTTATTTATCAAAACGTTTTTATTTCATTTTTCAGCACGTATTAATGATTATTCTTCTAGTGACTCGCAAAATGATAGGATTCCATAAAATCTATGATGAAATTCAAAGAATTCAGAAAAAGGTACGACACTTTCCCCGAGTTTTTTTGCACGTCAATGTCAAATAAGGAAAATTAAAGTCCTATCATTCGCGTGTACATTATTTTCGAGAAAATTTGTCTCTATTTGTGAAAAATCTTCTCGAATTTCGTTTACTGCTTGGATTCTCTATCTCTTTTGAGATCGATGAAATGGTACTCCTTTCCTATGCTGCTGATTTCATGTGAAGATATTACAATTCCAGTATCGATACCGTTATCAGAGGAAAGAGAAATGTATGATGAAACTGTTGAGAGAGAATCTGTCTGTCATGTGTGTACAATAATAGATACGTTCAATCGATATACTGTGCAAGCCAACGGAAGCCTTCCCCATATCCCTGTCGCTTCAAAACTGAGCACATAAATAGTTCCAGTGGACGGCCGGGTATCTCATTACGAGCGACTTTGCCCTAAAAGTAAAAAATCACTATTGCATATAAAAATTTTTAAGTACAACGCATTTCTTCGGCTACTTAACTTTAAAATAGGTTCTCGTAACCATTCTAATTTATATAACTATACCTTTCCTGTTGTTTGCCCATACAGATTGAAGAAATTCCTAAGTTCATCCTCCGAAGCTGCTGATGGTTTGTCAATTTTATTGCCTAACACAAGAACCGGACACGCGCTGAGTTGTTCATCAGTTAATAATGCATCTAGCTCGGCTTTTGATTCTGGTAATCTTGTTCTATCACTCGCGTCAACGAGGAATACTATCGCGTCCACGGCCGGAAAGTAATCCTTCCATACACGACGTGCTGGAAAAATTCAATTCACACCAATATAAGTAATTGTACAATTGTAAAAAGCATTTTGTAAGGTGTAGATTTTGTATGTATACCTTGAGTATGGCCTCCCAGATCAAAAGTTGTAAATCTCATATTTCCAATAGACAGTTCTTCGGATGCTAAAACATGAAAAAGACTATTGATAACTCAGCAATACAAGTTTAAATTTCATAATTTGTTAACTGTAATATAACAGAAATATACATATATATATATATAATCTATATTTTGTAGTTTGAAACAGAAGAAATATATGTAGAGGCTTCATTATGTAAATATATATAATATAGAAATTACAATGAACAAAAGCTATTTATTATAAAATAATAAAATGTATTAGAATAGATTGTCATTTATAATAATATGTATTTTTAGGAATTGCTGATGATATAAGTAAAATATAAGTAGGATTGCAATATAAATAGGACACAGGAGAAACAAATAAATTAGTTAAAAATTAATTACTTGGATGCAATGTGGGTACATGTTGAGCTAAACGATCATCCTTGAGCATATGAAGCAGCGTTGTTTTGCCTGCATTATCCAAACCTAAGAAGAGAAGTTTGCCACTCTTCTTCCATAGTCCTGAAAATAACAGAGGAGAATCATGCAGATCAAAATCACTAACAGATTTACAAGGAAACAGAATTTCTATCTAATAAACATATAGATAACAGAATTAGTATTGTCTCTTAAATAATGAACAAAACGCTTTTTAAAAAATGGTCTTTAATTAAAGAGTAAGAATTAGTGTAAGATTGTTCCAATCCGACAATTATCCGTGTGACAGAATTCTTTAAAATAAACATGCACAGACAATCTCTGAACTATTCTATATTATCACAATGACAAAATCACAGCATTGTACATGAAATTATTCCAACGTTCTTGACCTTTGATACAATTCTTCCATGTCAATTACAGAGGGACACATTGATGCGAGAGAAAATCTACTCACCAAGATAATTCAGCACTCCGGCAAACCAGTCCCAAATAAACATATTTGTAGCTACGACTGTGTCTCGTCTAGTTCCGGATATATGTTATGTGTGTTAACTAATGAATGACTCTGCAACAATAAGTAAGACAAGTTAACGAGATCATTGTCTGCCAACGTAATCGCGTCGATTCTTTTAAAACCCGTCCTTGAAACCTCGGTTATTATTCTACGAAAGGATGCAGGAAGTACACGCGATGAACCTAGTGCGTCGTCGTCAACACGATAGCCCGTTCCTGTGATTTTATTCCTCTTTTAGTTGCACCCACCTTTGATCCTTAATCTACCGTCTCTCTCTCCCTCTCTTTCTCTTTCTAATTATATATGCTCGTTTCAATCTTACACGCGAAAAAAGTGCAGGAAGAGCTGAATGGAATCACGATGCGTGCAATTTTTTTTTTTTTTTGACATTTGATATAATATTGATGCACGATTTATAAATCGAGGACGACGACTCACCGGAGATCTTTCTCTCTTCTCTCCCTCTCTCTCTCTCTTCTCTCTTTCGTTCACTGACACTTTAGTTTCTCGTGCAAAGACTTTTAACTTGACACGCGGAGACGTAAAATCGAGGAGCGATCGTTCGGAGATTTTCGCGCGCACAAGACGTTAAAGGCCGAACAGCTGTTAGCTCTCAACTGTCAACTAATATATGTTTGACGTACCCACTGTGAAAAAAGCGTACGGAGGCCGCGGGGACGGAGAAAAGTACTTTTCCTCCCATAGAAAGAGCAACCCGACCGCAGAGAGCCCCGTTGGCTGGCAGTTGGCACTGGATGACGTCTACTTCCGTCCACCATGATGCTTGCGCAATAGGATTATATCGTGGGCGCGAAATTTAAAAAACGCCAATTTCTCTTCCTCTACTCATTTTTTCTGCATTTATTTTAATAGAGATTTCCTCTTATAAATAAATAGAGAAAAAATGAATAATATACATATATTTAATATTAAGTTGTATATTGAAATATTGAAAAAATTATACATATAATATATAAATGTTAACTAAATTTTTTTCATAGATTTTATACTCTGCTACGTGACATTGCAAGAGAAGAAAATGATTTGCAAAGTCATGCTTCTGCTGACAAAGTTACAAGTCATTATCTGATAATATATATTGAGAAAATTATCTTTGAAAGATAGAATTAAAAAAATGTAAACAGACTAATGTCTTATCAATTAATGAAGAAGTGGAAGGGAAAAGATTATAGTACATGTTCCACTGTATCTTTGCTTAATAGTTTTTATTATTAAACGCGTTGTGTGAGATATTTTTTCAAGTAGAACTTTATGAAATTATTTCTACAAATTTTACACGCGTCAAATGTTGCTTAACGAAAAAAATAAAATTTTTATAATTGCTTATTATAACTTTATACACATACGCATACGAGAGAATTTTGATTTAATTTTATGACAAAAGTGCATTTATGCATCATAAAGTTTAAAAAAATAATCTTCATCCTCTTATTTGCGTTTCAAAAATGCATATAGAGAAACAGAGGAACAAAAAATACACACAAAGAACATTACTTCAATACGAATGAATTATTACTGTATCAATGCTTAAACCACTACATGTGTAATTACTTATATCGCAAGAAGCCAGCCTATCTGTCTAAGGATACTCAACACTTTCTTATCTCATATCATCTTTTCGTAATCGCTACACATCTACATCTTCTCTAGATGGAGTAACTATCTAATTAAATATTATTCAATACTAACGAATTAAATTAAAGTGCACAGTTTATTACAAAACTTAATTAATGAGATGTGTATAACATTATATTCAAGTCTTTTGTAACTTAATGTATCAAGAGTATTGATGTGTTGAAAATTGCACGATATTATTAATTATTATAATTATTTACATTTGCAGAATTAAAAATGTCTTTTTCAAGAAGAGAAATGAATTACGTACACGCCTATTGCGTGTGATCTCGAATTATAAAGAATAAACGTTTGGATTTAAGTTTTGTATCAAAACCTGCTGGTGTTTGTAATGTCGCAACATTGTAAACTTAAACTAAAACTTTATTGTACAATTACTATCGAATCGATTATCGATCACAAATAAATCGTGATTTGTCTAAACTATATCCTGCCTAGTTTTATTTTTAAGAGACGAAGCAGGCCACGATGACGGAATCCCGCTCATTTTGCTGGGTGGTAAAGCATACACCCTGCCCGCAGGGTCGTGCGTCATGGTCTTACTGCTCTGAAAAGTAAAGAACGCTGCTAAACTATTGCAGCACAATCAGTCGAAAAAGTAACGCATCTTTAATCGCATCGTAGAGATCCATTTTGAAGCGTCCAGAGCATCAATAGTGTAAGTCAGGTTGTAAAAATCGAACTTCAACAGGGAAAAACCAATAAACCGATTTGTTGTACCAATAAATATACAGACATTTTTTTCCCTCATAGCTACATAGATCTATTATTATTTTACTTGTTTCATCACAATTTTCTTACGTCATAGATTCACAAGGTTATTAAGCACAGTGCTTTCTATAGTCCAATTTGCATAAACTTAAATAAAGGGTTTGTTCTCTATTTTGCTACATTGGTGCAGTAAAGTTGGAGGTTGGAGCAAAACAAGTTTAATCTTTTCAGCTGAACTGACTGCACTAGTTCAGAATTTATCTCTCTTTTCCTCCAATATGGAGTAAAAAAGATGAATTAGTGCAGCCAGTTCAGCTAAGAAGAAGACCTAAAATATTTGTCTCGCTTAACTTATTGCACTAGCTCACCAATGCAGCAATAGATAACCCAAACTGAGCAAGAGAACTTGTAACGACATAAATTACAGATTAATAGGTTTCTTTTACGGTATTCTCGAGTTATCGAACTTCCTGTTTAAATCGCCGGGACTTACACCGATCCACTCTAGGCTCTCCGTGCGCTCGAGGTTGCTTGATGTGTGCTTAACACGAGTCTGGGCATCACCTGCTGCGCGCTCGAATTCGCGCCTGGACTGGCGACGAGGGTGGTATAGGGGGGTTGTTGGGAACAAGTTCGCATGTGAACCGACCAGTGTGACTGCTGACACGGGTAATCGCAATAAGCGGTGTTCCAGCAACAGTAAAACATCGCTTCCCGTCCGCATTTGGCGCACCACTGTTTCCGCTTTATCTCTTCAATACAGCGAACCCTCTCCTCTTCGGCCTCTTTGCGAACTTCCTCGACCGATCGCAACTTCTCTGCCTCTAGACTCGCGCGCATCTCACGCATGGTACGATCTGGAATTCAATCATGTTCTCTATAGTGTTTTTCTTTTACAGTGAAAAATTTCAAAGGGAAAAAGAAAAAGAGATGAACATACCAGTGTTGTGTTTCAATTCGGCCAGCTGCTGTTGATGCTTCCACTTCAAGTGTTCGATCTGCATCTTTAGATAGAATATCCCCTGACAATTGTCGGCAATACCGTTTTCACCGTTAATGTAGGTTTGAGCCGCCTCCTTATACGCTTCTTCCATCAACTGGCCCATTCTTCTTGCCAGTTCGTTCACATTTTGATGTAGACGCGCGCTGATCGGTCCGGCCTGCGGAGGCGGCAGTTGATAACCGGAGGAGGATGTTTCTCGCTTACTCGGGGAAACCTGGACAAACTCGTCTGGATCGAACAACGGGCGAGAGGATGTAATTTGTGGATTACGTGATTTGTTAGGGAAGGTCTTCTTAGCTTTGCTCTCCTTCTTCGCGAGTTCTTTGAACGAATTGTGCTCTTTTGTCATATCCTTGTTGCTCTCGGCTGTCGACGAAGCTTGCTTCGCAGCCTCTGTCTTCCCACTGTTATTCAGCACAAAGAGCACAACGGATTTATCTGCTACGGGATTAATCACAACGGGTTTATCGGAATTTACCGACGACGACGAAATATGAGGGATTTTCGCAGTCGTAGAAGGTGGTGACAATGTTATGTCGATCTCGGGTATCTTTTGAGTACCCGACGATTCCTTGTTGTTTAACAGCGTAGCCTTGTGTACTATCGTCGCGCCTGGCAAACTCGGCGACGACAGTCTCTCGTTTTCCTTGCTCGTGATAATAGATTTCAGCGCCTTCTCCGCGTTCAGTTTGTCGACCATCCTCGTTTTCGGTTTGTACACTTTGGTGATCTTCGCGACACTTTTCGTCGTATTTTCTGTTTGCGAGAGCACCAACTTAGGATTGATGATATTTTTCAAGAGGTTTCTCTTCTGTCCACGCGACGTGCTGGATGATGATGATGATGATTCATTAGTTGGTGTCGTAGACTTAGGCGAATTCTCCGTAGAGGATTTTAATTCGTTTTTCGATTTCGGCGAACTATTTTTTTCCGTGATATGTTTGTAAACATTAGAAGTTGACGTATTGCTATTTTCAGCGACATTATTGATGACGACAGTATCTAATCGAGACAACATTGTTTTTGCGGTTTTCGATTTCTCATTTTTTACCGTTTTGTTTTGAGCAACCGTTTCAACTTTTTTTCTTAATTTACTATTATCCTCTAGATTCGTCTGCGAGTTTGGAGTATCCTTACCGTCTGCTTTTTGTACTTTTGGTGGCGTAGCTTCGCTCTCCTTTTCATGCTTATCAGACTCTTTCGAGCTAACGTTTAGCTCGTCATTATCAATCGACTCGTCATTCTGCGAATTGCCTTTAATCGGGAGATTCCGTCTTCTCACGGGCGTCTTTTTCTTCGGGGTCATGGAGGGTTCGGAATTGGAAAAATGATTGTTGGGTTCGAGCGGATCGTAATTCGGCAGCATCAGCTTAATCTGCATCGGGTCGTTCGGGTTGTACTGCACTTTGGGCGGCGCAAACTTGAACTGACCGTAAATAAGCGCGAGTTTTCTACAGTGACGAGTGATTTCGCGCACGCATTCGTCCATGTCGGACTTTCGTTTACGCGGAGACGGCGCGGGCGGCTCCTCGGAGTATAGATAAAGATCCTTCAGCGGTACCCAGGCGCGATCGTGCTCGCCGAAGAAGCGCACGTCCACGAATCCTTGGGAGTTCACCCGTGGCATCGCTTTCGCTGGCCAGAACGGGAAACCCTTTAGTTTGGCCCACACAAGCGGATGTGGTCGACGACAAGGCTCGATGAACCACGACGGCTGAGGCCTCGGCAGATTTCTGCCGTGTGCGTAACAATCGGGACAGCCTTCGATCTCCGAAACTTCTTGGCGCGCCATTTTGATGATCTGCTTCGCTGTATTTGTCAGCTTCAATGTGTCCGCATAAACACCACCACCTATCAAGTAAAGATATGTAACTTACTTGTTTACTCATCTTATTTACAGATTTAGATTAATTATATATAATATATATGTAATATAATATATATGTAATATAATATATATAATTGTATATAGATTAATTATATATAATAGCTATGAATATGACGGCTCAATGGTTACATACACGTGTTGAACACAATGCAATTGTGTTGGATCCATTTCGCGTCGGCCATAAACGCGTCAGTGCTGCCGTAGAGCTTGGCTCGCACATTTGACTCCAAGAGACTCAAGTCCATCGGCTTGATGACGTAATCCAAATAGTTTGGCACTTCTGTGAGGTCTACCGGTTTGCAGAATGGTTCAGACTGTGGAGCAGAAAGAAAAGTTATTTAGCAATAAATATCTATGTAATGTAATAATATTCGCATATTCGATGAAAAGTGATATACGTACGCCAGGATAGTCGCGTAATCTCTCGACCACATGCTTGAGTAACATGCACAATTGATCCACGGACAATTGCGCCATCGCCACGGAACGCGTTTCCGCATTCTCGGCCTTCAAAATGGTCACGCATTCCCCGCATATCCATTTCTCCAAGGAGGACGGCATGCCGCCTATACACTTGCGATGCCATGAACGAGGACATGCGGTGCAATGAGCATCGATGTTTTCCTTATGACATCGCCAGCAGAACTGGTCGTGAGTGCTCTTCAATCTCTTCCTCTTGCTCCTAGTGCTGCTTTCCTCGACAGAAGATTCCGTTGCTGTCAAAGTACTGGAAATATATTAACATCTTTCTTCAAGACAATTTTATAATACAATTTCATTTGTTTTATATAGTTGAAACAAAAATCATTTGTTTTATACATTTAAATGCAAATTTTCCATGGAGATGTTACACTAACCTTAAAGATTTTCGCTTTCGTTTTAAAACAGATTCCACTTTTGCAGAATCTTTATCATCTTCATTTTTAATATCCTTCTTTTCATCCGTATTTTGAGAATCTGCATTTGGTGTCTCCTGCTTTATATCCATATTTGGTGCCTCTTGCTTCTTATCTATCTCACTGTCGTCCAATTGTTTCTTAACAGTTACCAATGAATTTGAATCGTGTTTGCTTTCGTTTTTTACTTTATCAGCATCCTTTTCCTCTACATTTGTATGTTCATCGCTTACATCTAGCGTTAAGCTCTTCTTTTCCTCTGTATTAACAGCATTCTTCGATTCATTATTCTGATTGACTGACGAAACAATCGATGGTTCCTTATCATCAGCTTTAGACGATGCAGCTGCATTTATTTTTATTGCGGCAGAAGATTTCACAGAATTTTCATTGTTTTCATGGGATGCCATTTTGGTTATTATCTTCGGTACAAAGAATCTGATTGGAGAAAAGTATCAGCATAGATACATATGTCTACACATATTATCTATTTATGTAATCATAATCACATTATCAGTCTACCATATAGTTAACTGGTAACGATTACTGCGATAAACCACTAGAATAGGTTTGCACGCTAACATAAGATACATTTACTGCAACAATGTCCAAATATAAGAACAAGCAGTAACAATATTATCCATCACAAATGCTGAAAAAGCTACATTTCCTACAGTGCTAACAAATGCTGCTGTTAATAGCAGCAATTTAAGGATAGGCAACAGTAAATATCTGGCTTGAACACACTATGTAGGCATTCTCGCGATAATTATCACTTTCGTAGACCCATCCAAAGTGCTGCTATTTGCAGAAGCACGCGAGTACAAGTGAGAGAGAGAGAGCTGCTCGAGTATAAACAGAATCTTTACCTTGTAAGGTGCTCCTCCAGGTAATACAATGCTCTATCCGCACGTGTTACCGCTCTATTATCGCTCTCAAAACATTCTCGCAGCCGCGAGCTGCGCTTTACGGACTTCTAACGTTAGTAAATAGCGATGTGATGAAAAATCGTCGTTCGCTGCTTTATTCACTCGGCCCTCATATCGAGGGAGAATTCGCCTTCGTACGATGCCCAATGTCTCGAGTCTCGACCGCCCTCGGTGGCGCCATCTCTCGGCGATCCTCCGTTTTCACGACGCTGACCACGTGACACGTCCCTCGTCCCGCTTCTTATTTGGCTGAGCGTCTCTGTGACAGAAAGAAACTGTACATAAAGCTGTCAATCTCTATTGCAACTGTCCTCCTCTCCTTTTTTTTTTTATATATTTCAGGATATATTTAAAGATATCTTTTATATATTTAAAGATGTTATATCTTTAATATATTTATTATAGATATTGAAAATATATAAATATAATATATTTAAGGATAAATCGTATATTTAAAATATTTAAAATATATAAATAATATATTTATATATTTAAAAATGTTATATCTTTAATATATTTATTATAGATATTTAAAATATGTAAATATAAATATTTATATATATAAATCGTATATTTAAAAATCTTTAAAATATATAAATAATATATTTAAAGATATTTAAAATATAAAATTATATATTTAAAAATTTAAAGATAAAGAGAATATATTTAATATATTTAAATTTTATTTAAAGAGCGGAGGAAGAGTTTCTTCGACGTAAGATTGTAAGCAATCTAAATGAATTTATCGCTTACCGTTTTTTTTTTAAATAATAACGATGACGATGACGATGTTGCCTCGAGCTTTTTTCGGACGCTGCGATAAGAATTCCTGGGACACGACGTCGCATCGTCGACGATGGCGAAAAATGAGGTTAGACGTTGTTGCATGATCGCGTCTACGAGGAAAAAGACTCGACTAATTTTTTGCTATACGTACTGTTTATCCGTCTCTCCCGGGAAGCGCTAAATAATGATCCTCGCTAATGAGTTTGATGAGAAATTTCGTCGCGAACGAGATGATCTTCTGTGTTATTCGTCGAGCCGAAACGTCAGAAGCGATGAAGAATGTGTTGCGCATGAATAAATCACGACGTTACATAAACGTTACGTTAATCAAACAATTTGCGTCAATTCCTTGCGATGGAACCAGTTTTTCTTCATCCATGGATAAGACACAATTGATTGAAATTGTACGATTATATCATCCTCGCCGATGTTCAAATAGGTTATGTGACGCGCAGTCACGTGGTTCACGCGTCATCCCCTCCCCCTCTCAGCTGTCAAACTTTCTCTCTCTCTCTCGCTTCCGACTGCGGCGAAGCGATATCGCGACCGAGATGTCAAAACGAACGGCGGTGACGGATTACGATTATGGATCGCGTAGATAGTAAACAGTCGGAAGTACAACAGCTGTAAACCTTAATCTAGTCAATTGCAGATAAACGTGGAACGCGGTGAGGCAGATCGCTACGATGAAGATCGCTCGTTGAAACGTCAATTAATCGCGAGGAGAGCTCGAGATTGGCGGAAAGGAATTATGCCTCGGAAATTCTGTCGATGAAGAAGTAGCCTTAGGTTATGCCGTTTCCTTGTCCAAGTGTTCGTAGCCTGTTATCAACGAAGGACTCGTCGGCCGCCACGTAGAGAGGACGAGATTTATTTTTTTTTTATTTTTTTTTTTTTTTGTGATAAAAATGGGCGACCACATCGGCGATAACATATTGATCCCGCAGGTCGACAATGTCGTGTTGATCGACAGGAGCGATGGCAGTAACAAGTGTATGGATGGGACCCTGTGCATCAGCGGTCATCATCTTATCTTATCTTCCAGACAGGACGACGGTCAGGAACTGTGGGTAGGTGTATATCGTCGATATTGTCCAAATAATAATATACTGATTAGGGTTTCTTATTGTCGCTGATCAAAAAATTGAAGGAATCAACACTTCTCGACCAATACTGGTAATTTATTTAATGAATCTCGACGTTTCGACCAGAATTTTGGTCCTTTTCAAGTGTACTATTTAAATGTTAGAGAGAAAGTTAAACTAATTTAATATAATTAAGTGATAAAATGTCATATCGACACAACAGTAGTCTTCTCTTTCTCTCTTTTTTAATATTTATAACAGAGATTGTGAGATTTAGCAAATAAATAATTGCTAGTATTGGTCGAGGAATATTTATTTCTTTAATAATAATACAATTTATAATAATATAAATTAATGTCATCAATTTGATCAAGTTCTCTGTTTTTGCCAGTTGATGAATCGCAATATCGATGTCGTGGAGAAGAAACTGAACACCCAGAGCCCAGGAGGTAGCATAATATTGAAATGCAAAGACTTTCAGATCCTTCAGTTAGATATCGGCTCCACCAATGATTTAATCAATGCCATATTATCCATAGAAAAGCTGATATCGTTAGGTAATTTAATTGTATTTATTGTATTTACATTGTTCGTGAAAATGGGATGTAATTCTGATTCATTTACTTTTACAGATCAGACTCTGCAATATCCATTCTTCTATCGACCACAGACAACCAACAACGCCATGCAAATAGAGGATGGATGGACAGCATTCGCGCCTGTCTCCGAGTGGTCCAGATTATTGGCGGCTCACGGAGACGAGTGGCGGATTAGTTACTTGAATAGAGATTACAAAGTGTGCAATTCGTATCCATCGGCAGTCATAGTGCCACGCCAGATGGACGACAAAGTTGTTATAGCCTCCGCTGGCTTCAGGGATGGTGGAAGATTCCCTGTTTTATGTTACAGGCATGAGGGAGGGGTAAGTAATAAATTCTACTTTTGAAAAATCAAAATATGAATATGCACTCGAGTGTGAATGATTCATTGTAGAGCATATTATTGAGAAGCAGTCAGCCGTTATGTGGTGCTACTGGTAAGAGATGTAAAGAAGATGAAAAGCTGTTGAACGCGGTTTTAGGTCCTGGAAGACGCGGGTAGGTATACTATTTAAAAATCAGAACTATTACTTTCTCATAATTGTTACAAATCATCGAATCTTTTTTACAGTTATATAGTGGACATGAGATCCATTAGTCAGGCGCAGAGTGCTAGGGCCAGAGGTGGAGGTACAGAAATGGACACTGCTTATCCACAGTGGCGAAAAGTACATAAACCAGTTCCTCGACCGCACGATTTAGCGGATAGTTTCTACAAGTTAATAGAAGCTTGCAACGAAGTGAATAGTTCCACTTCGCAGTGGCTGTCGAGGTTGGACAGCAGCGGGTGGCTAACCGCCGTACAAAGTGCTTTAAACGCAGCTTGCGTCACCGCGCAATGTCTGCATCAAGAAGTCGCTGCTGTGTTAGTGCATGGTGTGTGTGTATTAATATAATATTTAATATATCATGAAAGTTTATACATATTCGTATGATTCGCATGTTTAAAAAACCATCTAATTATCATCTCATTCAAAGCATATATTAATCGTAATAATTTTAATATTTACAGGCAGTACAGGTAGAGACTCTACGTTAGTAGTAACTAGTTTAGCCCAGGCAATACTGAATCCCGATTGTCGGACGGTACGAGGACTTCAGGCGCTTATAGAACGCGAATGGTTGCAAGCGGGCCATCAGTTTTTCAGTCGAACTCGTTCCGGAGCCTATCAATCCTCGAGCTCGCAAAATCCAACGCACGCGCCGACCTTCTTGCTCTTTCTCGATTGTCTTTATCAATTACATCATCAATTCCAATTTAGTTTCGAGTACACGGTAGATCTACTTATCAGACTGTACAAGCACGCTTATTCCTCAAACTATGGTACATTTTTAGGTCTGTATGTCAAAGCATTAAATTAATTGTACATTTCTCTTGTTTTAATTCTACATTATTTTAAAAATATAATGTTTATGCGTTTCTACAGGTGATTCGGAAGCAGAGAGGATAAAGTTACGGTTATCAGAACGAACTTACAGCTTGTGGTCGTACATGAATCAACCGGACGTCCTAGAACAGTGGATAAATCCGTTGTACGAGCCGAATCCGGGGGTGATCTGGCCCAGCGTCGCCCCTATCAGTATTAAACTATGGAGAGAACTGTATGTCGCGCATACGAACGCCGCTTCATGGGATGGTATGCTTTCCTATGCGAAGCAGATCAAGCAGAATCACACGGCGGTGCGCAAAGTGGCCGGACAGTTGCACGCGCAGATCAAGCAAGCGTTGGAGGAGATCCGTTCGGACCCGGACATGTCGCGAGGGGATGCGGACGGTCAGGAGGAACATCCTTGTATCGCGCAATTGAGCCTAGAGTCTCAGAGTACTTGATATAGATTTGTAGAAACCGAGAAGGTCTAAAGTCCGCGCTGCTGTTCAACGATCTTGTCAATATGCCTTCGATTATACAATACCACGTTAGTTCGTAAGGATCAACGGGCGAATAATTGCCACGAATGCCGAAATCCTGCGTAATAATGAGTTCTCGGTCAACTCTTCTTTCTGATCTCTAAGATTTAAAAAGAAATATCTATTCGTCTAAAAAAAAAAAACACAGAAAATGGCTCTATCGGTTTTATAAAACGGATTATCTTTGTTGATATAAAAGTGAATCTTGTATATATCTATGTGTAAAAGATATTTCGGATAATCGGCGTTACATACATTACATTATTACTACGATCTTCGCCTGTAAAATTCGCACCACTAAAAAAAAAAACACGTGTTCTATGCAAAGCGATTCAAACAAGACAGAGATGAATTTGTGATATTTTTTTATTTTACAAATCTCATAACTTGTATCATACCCACGTAATAGTAATTTTAGCGGCGTTGTATTATGCAACGTACACATATATATCACATGTAATAATTTATCGAAATTATTATATGTAATATATATATATATATAAATTTTCCCCCTCTATATACATGTATAATTTATTTATCCAAAGGTAATATAATAACCAAATAAAAAATGGACTCTATATTAAAAATTCACCACGGAGGAGCGTAATTGCGAGGGTAAAAACTGGCGAAAATTTTTCATTCGAGCGTACAGAGAGAGAGAGAGAGAGAGTGTAGAGGAAATCTCGCTTGTTCGGGGGTACGGACGAGTTTTTACCGTTATTCGGGAAGGATGGCGGATCAAAGAGAGAGGAAGAGAGAGCAAGTTAAGGGCGGGATTGTTGCCGCTGCCGAGGCAAAAGGGGGAGAAGGCTGGAGGGGAAAGCGCGGCAGGTGTTCACACACAAAGAAACTGAAAGGGAATCCCACGGCCATTGGCTCCGCACTCAGGAATGCATCGAGTTTCGTCGGCACATTCGCATTTCGCGATCAAATATACGTACACACATGCACGTATTATCTTAATACAGTCATAAGACGAACAGAGAAGAGGGATGGGGAGAGAGAAGAAGAATATATATGTATGTGTAGATATATGTATGTTTAATGTGTGTCGAGTTGCGTAAAAATTCATCTTGGGAAGAATGATATAAAAAGATAAATCGGCGTAAATTTTTTTTAAGTATAAATAAAGGCGAAGAGAATCTGTATATAGAATCGTTTGACGCTATAGTTAAAAAAAGGGTCTATTTTGTAAAAATGCTCTCTAAGCTATTATATAGAGCTCTGTAAAAAAGCTATAGAACATTTTCTTACAGAATATACGACCTAATCTCGGAGCGTAAAATCCTCACTGGAGTAACAACGAGTAACTTTTTTAAGAGACATGAAACAACAAAAAGTGGTTTGTTGTTGCTCCAGAGGACACAATTCGAAACTTTCGGCAACAACGAGCAACTTTTTGTTGATGTTCCACGTTCTTAAAAAAGTTTCCAAAAGTTTTCAAGTTACGGTCCTCACTGGAGCAACAATAAACAATTTTTTGTTGTTGTTCCATATCTTAAAAAAGTTACTAATTGTTGCTCCGGTGAGGACGCAGTTTCTATGTCCTTACTGGAGCAACAACGGACAACTTTTTTAAGAAACATGGAACATCAACAAAAAGTTGCTCGTGAAAAAATGGATCAATTTTTTGTTGCTGTTCCATATCTTAAAAAAGTTACTAATTGTTGCTCCGGTGAGGACGCAGTTTCTATGTCCTTACTGGAGCAACAACGGACAACTTTTTTAAGAAACATGGAACATCAACAAAAAGTTGCTTGTGAAAAAATGGATCAATTTTTTGTTGCTGTTCCATGTCTTAAAAAAGTTACTAACTGTTGCTCCGGTGAGGACGCAGATTCTATGTCCTTACTGGAGCAACAACGGACAACTTTTTTAAGAAACATGGAACATCAACAAAAAGTTGCTTGTGGAAAAATGGATCAATTTTTTTGTTGCTGTTCCATGTCTCTTAAACAAGTTACTATAGTTATTGCTCCAGTGAGGACGTAGCTTAACGAATCGAATTTGCGCGGGTGGCGAAGGAAGGAGCCTCATCTCGAGGATCCTTGAGAATAAATAAAAAAAAAATCTAGATTTCGATCTTACGCCGCGTTTCCACCGTTCGCGTCGTCCGAACAAACGTGGAGGTGCTTTCTCCCGCGTTTTATATCGCGCGTGGAAATCCCAAACTTGCGGATGACGCGAAGACGCAGATAGAACGTTTTTTACGTATTTATAGTGTATTAAAATTAAAACAAACATATATATATATATATATATATTCGTTCGCGGAGTCTACATCTCCCAAGGACTAGAACGTCCTTCGACGCGTTCACGACGCCATTGTGTCTCGACAACGCGCGCGCGCGCGCGCGCACAAACGAGCGAGAGCGCGCGGAGAAGATTATTATACCGGTTTCGAATCCGCGCGACGGAGATCCGTGAGAAATCGCGATCCCGCGCGACCGTTACACCTCGTGGTAAGGATATATAACGTATAAGGTACCACTATATATACGCGCGGGAAAAATGTCTTTCTTCACTTTTTTCCTCGAAAAAGAGCGACTCTTCCAAAAGAACGAACGGAGACCAAAATATTTCAAGTGGTGTCCGGCACACGCACGCTTATTCCGTTCTCGCACCAGGTCCAGTATCCTTGGATGAGTGTGGATCTAGTCACGGATATTGTTTGGGAACGTGGACTCAATCCAAACTCATCCAGGGCCGCTGGACGGGCGGACGTTCATCTTCTTCTCTTCTTCTTCTTCTTCTTCTCTTATTCGCGTCCACGGGATGAAGTATCTTGGCGGAAATTTCCTCTTCTTCAACGTGCAGGTTCCAGAAGGGGCCGAAACGACGTCGACGGGGCCGAAAAGCAAAGTGCGATGCGTTCTTCGAGAATGGCATTAGCGGCCTCAACTCTCTCGAAGGTGGGGGCATTCTCGGAGAAGGGGGCCCACGCCGCTCTCCGGGTTCCCCGTTCCAGCTCCATCATCGTGTCGGTCCCTTTTCTTCGGTCTCTTTCTCTATCTCTCTCTCTCTCTCTCTTCCACTCTTCTTCGTCCTCGCCCCGACACGATATCGTCTTTCTCCCTTTCCTATCTCTTTTCTCGGTGCAGGCAGGCACTTATGCCGCCGTGGCGAGGGGCCCTTAAGAAGGGGAGAGAAGGGTCGCTTTTTCCCAAGGCGTCCGGGGATCACAACAAAGAAAGATGCGATTTTCGAAGCGAACAGCGGAGAACGAAGCGACCGCCGAGAGACGTTTCTGGACAGCAGCCTCTCTTGCTATATACATGTTTGTGTGTGTGTGAGAGAGAGAGCGATGGTATATAGAGGGTCCGTCTCTCTCTTCTTCTCGTTATTATAGAGAGAAGACTTATACCGGAAGGCGAGGCCGTTTTCTCGAATAAAACGCGCTCGTTCGCTTCCGCGAATCAGGGAGATGAATGCCGGATTCTCTTTTTTATCAGCTCGAGAAGAAAGCAGCATATTATGGTCATCATTATCGTATTATAGTGATTTCCCAGGTAGCTTAAGCAAGTACGTCATTTTTGACGTCATTAGACGACATTTTAATGTTTAATGACGTCGTTTTAATGTTTAACGACGTCAGATTGCTACCTAGGTATTTTATCATTATTACTATACCAAGCGTACGTCATTTTGACGTCGAATGACGTCATAGATGTCAAAATGACGTCGTTTTAATATTTAATGACGGTACGTCATTTTAATGTTTAATGACGTCAGTATGCTACTTATTGGGTTACGTAGCGTCGAAATATATGTAAAAAGAAGCCCAAATGTAATTTTAAATTCAAATTTTGAAAAAAAATATAAACACTCGAGATGAGCACCACTGTCGAGAACAAAACTGCTATAAAGCCAGCTCCGAGAACGTTTTCTGCTTCTTACCTGAAATGAAAATTCGAAGAATTTTAATCACTTTGGTTCCATTTTATTGTTGAAATGGAAAATGTGGCAGGTAGTATACCTTTTTCAACTTACAATAGTGTATCCCTCGAAAAATTAAAATCTCGTGAATGTTTAACAATGAAGTAAAGAAGTAACATTTTCCTGATGTAATATTTGTAAGCGACAAAAAATTCGTGGTCGCGACAATATAATGACAGATTACTGTATCTTTCCGACTTTCTTAAAATTTACGTCGAACGTTATTTGTTGTCACGCTCTACAAATGAAAATTATAAAAGCAAAAAACACGTTTAGTAAAAATATTCAAAATTTTAAAATAGAGATGAGAGTGTTGGAAATTTTAGTTTTTATTTCAGTTGAAAGATATTGTAATAAATTCGTCAGGGATGAGAACAGAGAGCAAAATATAAAATGTAAAATTTGAAATAAGCGTGTATCTTTATATCTTTTTCGCTCTAAAAGATTTAAGTTTATATAATGTCGATTTTTTAATAAGCTATATATATATTATATCTTACTTTATCGCGAACGTTCAAATATGACGTTTTATATTGGCGAATCCTCAGGTATAGGATGTTGATTGTGTTGCGCAATAGCGAGCGTGACCTTGAACTTCATCTTCTTTTATCTTTCTCCCACAGCATCCTGAGAGAAAAGCTACCGCAGCGGTAGTTCGTGCAAGGAGATTTCGTCATTCTCTCTTTCTTCCTCCCCCCTTTCACCCCCTCTCAAATAACGCAGAGTACCTTTATTATTTTTTAGCCAGAAATTCAAATAATAATATATATAATTTCAGTTTCAATTAATTTTTAATCTTAAAAATATGAACAAAATGTACAACTCTTGCCTTTCTAATTTAAATTTTTATTTCCAATTATTCTTTTTTTTTTTTTTTTTAAATTACCTCGTTATGATTTCTCGTGCATCCTTCAAAAACACTTTGCATCTTGAATATTTTATTTTATTATCACATAGGTCTTCAGATCCGGTTGCGAACCGCTTGAGGCTCTAGAGGGGGCCCGCTAGAATCCGAGAAAATTCTCGTGATAAAAGGAAGAGGGAAAAGGAAACGACACAGGTAGCCAAGAGTCAGGTAGAAGCCAGGAAAATTTTATAAATCATAAAGTGACGTATGTACAACTGCTAACGGCAATTTTTCGAAAATTAAAACTTATTCTCTCGAGAGAAAGAATATTGAATTTCAAACATTTGAGAAATGTGTATGAGAAATATTATTTACAAATTTTTACAAAAAGTGCATAAAAAACACGTGGTCAATGAAAAATAATATTTGACATTTGAGAAGAAATATTTAATTTAATATATTTATTTTTTTTAGATGAAATTAAAATCGATATCTTTGAATTAAAATCTTTTCTAGAGAGAGTGATATCGATTATAACATCGCGGGAATATCGTGACTTCGAGACTCGAGTTTGACAGGAAAAATCGGAGCACCGCTGTCGAGAGGTAAGATTCTAAAGACGGTTGCGAATAGAGAAGAAGAGGGAGAGCGAAAGAGAGAGAGAGAGAGAGAGAGGGAGTGAGAGAAAGAGAGCGCTAGGTCATGGAAAGCGAAGGGGAAGAAGCGAGGAGAAGCCCGCAAATTGTCGTTTCCATAGTGATTTATACGCCGAGCTCGACCTGAAGGATCTTGGAGCAAAAAATCAGTGCAAACCCGATCTAAAATTTCGATTGAAGCGCGCTCTATCGATCGCAAAGCGAACCACTAGAATATATATTTACGATAACTCGAATTTAAAATTTCAAGAAAATAGGTGCAGCGACATCTAACGAGAAAAGATGGTACTTGATCGAGTTATTCTCGCCTGAAGGTAAGTCAATTTAACCTGCGAGTTGCAAAGAATCCCGACAGATGGCTCTAGCATTAACATTTTGAAGACGCGGGAGTTGAAATTTTTAATGTTTTAACATTTTTATATAAATATGTTTAGGATTGAAATTTTATGTTTGATCTTATTTATCTTCATTAAATAACTTGTCATCTATTTATCTGTGATTAGTTTTAAATTTTTATTTGTTTTTTGTTTCATCTAAAATTTAATTGACTTTCTAAAGTTTGATTTAATCATTTTATATACTATTTTTTTAGAAAATCGCAATAAAGAAAGAGAATTTTAAAGAATATCTTTTTTTGTACAAATAAACGATATGTATAAACTTTTTTCCATTTGCCTTTAGAGACGAAAAATAGAGGACGTAACCACACATGTATGAAGCAGCGCGTTTGTTGCATCGATAAACTGGTATTTTGCCAACACCGGTAATCGTGCGAAACGATGCTCCAATAATTCAATGCCATTCGGAGCTAACGGAATGCCGTTATCGTCTCCAATCGCGATCGACAAGTAAGTATACGCCGCATTACTTAATAATTAATTGATAATTAGCAGTTCCATTTGGCAAAAATAACGATATTATTTATTGTAATGTTTAGAGAAAACGAAGAAACTATATACAGTTGCTAAAAGCATCATTAGCTGATCCAATATGGCGCGACTTTTGCGTCTCCGAATTCTAAAAAAAGCGTCAGCATTTATGCGTTGGGTATTCGTTTTCAAAAGCGAAAGACGCAGCGACGAAAGGCTCCAGGAGCATCTCGTCGGCGCCTGCAAAAGCGAGAAAATTCAGTGAAAGAGTCACTTGTGCAGTGACAGTGCTTTCCAGGTTAGTAGACCGCGTGCGGCGAGTCTCGCTGTAAACTTTAAATCGCCATATTTATATACGACCGTCTCTCTCCCAACGACTTTTTGTAAATACAAGCGCTCAACGGCGTAGTGACTGACTTTTTCCCAAAGAGCGAAAATAATCCATGAATTTAAGAAAGTTCACGTGAAACTATCTCGATGAAGCCTTTTCATGTTGATTCTTCACATATTCCAAAATTATTTTAAAATAACTTCCTTCGCGCGCGAATTACCGGACACCCTGTATATATATCCACGATTTTACCCCCGGTAGCAAGCAATACGTCATGTTGACGTCGAATGACGCCATTAAACGTCAAAACGACGTTCAATGGCGTTATAAACGTCATAATGACGCCAGTTTGCTACTTGGGACGGAACTGGAATTTCTAAATAAAGGTATCGGGCAAGGAAAAATATATCGGAGACGGGTGGTTCTGCCTTCCGGGTAAGAAACACGCATCAGCATCTTAGGCTTTTCTTCGTTTTCAGGAGTTACCACGTCGCAATACCCAGGCTACGTCACTGGCGGGGTCCTCGTGACACAGATCAACGGCGGCAACTATAACGGTATCCGTTGGTGACCTACTCTCGGCGAAGTCGCGCTCTCTCGGTCCTCCACCTTCGTCCTCTCTTCGTTTCGCGTCTTTCTCCTGGTTCTCTCCTTTCGTTCCAGGGCCGAGTATCCAACCGGGTCTCTACGCTGGGACTGAAATATCATATTTGTCAATTACGCAAAGATGTGTACTGTGAGCTCCTTCAAAGAGACGATTCTCCGTACTCTATACGCTAATTCAACGGTACGAAAAAATGCATCATCTTCCGCAGGAATTTGTCAAATACACGCGAGATAGTATATGCTGAACGACAGAGATGTATAATACATTTTAATAGCCAATTTGGTTTTTGCAGTTATCTAAATTAGAGAGTGTCGGATACCTTCGGCCGTTTTAATTGCCACTACCTCGTCCACTTTTGCTCGAGCGGAAACCATCAGCCGGGAATCAGGACGTGGGCGAGGCGAGATGGTCGGCCGCCACTGTGTGCCGTATAGCATCTTCTCTCCCGTACGTGGCTACACTTTTTCTTCCACGTGAGAAGCATCGGTACGGGTCGCGTATGGGCGGACGAGACCGGACCGCGGCTGATTACGGACAGACAGTAATGAAAGCGGCCTGCTTGTAGTAGGTAGGTAGGTGCGCGTCCGCCGTCTGTCATGTAGCCGCGCCGAAGCCGTCAATGAGACCGACAGCCGCCGCCGTTGCTGTTGTTGTTGTTGTTGTTGTTCCTCGAGCGTAACAGGGTGACGCAGACCCTGCGAGAGAGAGAGATTATTCAGAGTAGTTAAGATTGTCAAACGGTTCCACCGCGGGTCCAGCCGCTGGACCAGCGAGTTATGAGAGCGATCGCGCTCCTCGTTCTTCAGGTGAGCCTCTCTGCGACAACTCTTTATTTTTTCCCTTTTTTTTGTCTATGAAGATGAGTGAACCAAGTGTCGAATTTGCCTCTTGTAAGAGACAGATGAATCCAAAGAAGATGAGATGTATTTTGTGGGATTGTCTCTATAATTTTAGAGTTGCTTAGTTTCATATATTCTATCTCTACCATATCATTTTCTAATTAATTTCGTTTAGTAATTTATATAATCTGTGTCAAGTCTGTGTGAAAAATTTAAACATGTTTTCTAAGACAAATCAATTTTTTAAATTTTCTTGATTTTGACTTTTTTTTCTTGAAAATTAAAGTAGAACAGGTAGAGATAAAGAAACTAGAAGAGATTCAATGAACTTAGTATCGATCTTCTCTGGCTCGACAGTTGAATTTGCTTATTAATTAATTAACAGATTTAATTTTATTTTAATCGATTATAATTTTTATTGAGAAAAAATTAAAATAAAATTGTTTAATAAGAGTCAATTGTATACAATAATTAATAAGATATTGGACAATCCATGTTGCGGATTTGACATCTATGACATCATTCAACGTCAAAATGACGTACTTGCTACCTGGTTGAATTGCAGTTGCCGATGAAATGTCGCTGATTATTAACTATAACTTAATGATTGAATTTTATTATTCGATTAGTTTTTGTTAAGAAAATAATTAAAATAGTTAATCGCGCAAAGGAAATCATCGTTAATAAGAAAATAAGATTCATATTCGTGTTGCAGGCAGTGTTTGCTCTCATCTAAATGAAATTTTGGCGTCATCTTCTGTATCTTTTTACATATAGATAATAAAAATATGTATTATCTATATATATAATTTACTTTAATCTAGATATATATCAAATAAAATCATCATTTTATTATCTAAAATGAATTTACATCTATTTTTATCTCACCTTTATATCTAGTCTAGCTATGATTTTTAAATCGTCTAAGCATAACACTGATTGCAGGTGACCATCGCATCGCAGTTGACGAAATGTCAAGGCAGCAGTGGCGGGCCGAGCACGTTCGGATACGACGCGTCCTCGGCCTGCAGCAAGCCGTACTCGCGCGCAGGACGCGCGCACCACGAGGACCTGCCCTGTGACTTTCGCCGACAGAATTGGTGCACGATCGCCGGTAGCACGTATCCTTGGTACACCACGTCCATTTGCGTACACGTCTCTTCCGCGTTCCTAATTGATCGATATTTATATATTCTTTGAACTTTCGCCCGTGTTCGACATTCGTACGCGGTGTGGCGAAAGTTTCAGCATCGCGCATCGTCGTCCAAAAGTAAAACCAAAATCTGATTCGGAATTGAAAGAGTCGCGAGGAACGCAATTAATTTTGAAATCTTTGAATCGTCTCTTCTTTTTTTGCATGATACATTCCATATTCTGAATATGAGATGTAGTTTTAACATATTTTATTAATTTCAAATAATTAATTCTGATTTTATTCCACTTGTCTCGTATAAATTAAAATACAGAAATAATAAGAAAGAGAAAGAGGAATGAGGAAAATTTTGTACACGCGGAAGTATAAAAAAGTATCTGACCTTATAAAAAAAATTAGAACGTTTCATGAAATGCATTACTTGAAATAAGAAATATACAATTCTCACATTAGTTATGTGAGAAAAATTTTGAATCGTTTGATCATCTTCGTCAGTACAAGATTATGTTCTGTTGCTCGTTTCTAGGCACGCAGTACGTCGATTCGTACAGGAGAATCAGGGATTGATGAGACGCATGTACGGCGATGAGAGTTACATTAATATTCTGCGCGCGGAATTCGAGAAGAATGATATCGAATTAAAATACGATGAGTATCATCATCATTTCGCCGACGATCTTAGGTATGTCTCCTTTCTCTTGCAATTTCCCTCGACAATATCCAAGTAGCAATTATACATCATTTTGACGTCGAATGACATCATTAGATGATGTCATTTTGATGTTGAATGACGTCAATTTACTACTTCAGTTAGTTGCTTTCTTTTGAACTTCAATATATTTTTATTTCTTTTATTAATTTATCTCGTAAACGAATGGGTGTAAATTGTCATCTCACGTGTCGTGATTTTCAGACATTTCCAATATGACGACGATTACGAGTTGATCGGCAACGATCAGAAGCTGAACGCTGGCGAGAGTCGCGGATTCGTCAGTCGCTCCTTCAACGATCCCATCGCCAAACGACTAAACAAATTTCCGAAGCTCAGCGAGTACACCAGGCCGCACTTTAGACCCACCGAACGGACCACTAGTTCGACTACCTCGAGCACGAAGCTTCCCTCTTCGACTTTGTCTTCCACGTCGACCAGTGCCACGACTTTCAGTACGCCATTCTCGACCATGTCTAATACTACTGTAATAAACGTGGAACAGAAGCAGGAAGAAGAGATGAAGACTCAATCTCTCGTAACGTCAACTTCCACAAAGATTTCAAACATCACTACTGAGATTACTGAAGGTGTTGATGATGCTGCGGCGAATAATACAACGACAGCTTCGCCGAGCGTCACTGTGGCTCAAATCGTGAGAGAACAAAATTTTAGCATCAACGAGATCCCCGGGCAGAATGACAGGATCGACGAGGACCTAGATGAACTTGTTGAAGTGGCGCATTCGGAAGAAACAACCCTCAGAGAGGATACGACTTTGGAATCGGCCGGAATGACGTCGTCGACGACGACGACGACGACCACGACGAATGTCGTCAGTCTCACGGAGTCGTTAGTCGAGCGAGATGAGGAAGCGGAGGTCCTTGACGCTGCTACAAAGACAACCGTACATGAGGAAATAGTAGCTGCAGCAAGCAACGAGCAACAACAGTTCAGACCGCGTCCGGAGTATCGGCCGTCGAGCGTGGCCGAGTCAAGTGCTCCGGCAAGTGTCAGTGGACAACTTTATCAGGACGTCGCGGCGAAGGATCATCACGAGCAACCGGTGCTGAAGCTTAGAGGCGTGTAAGTATGATGATAGTCTTCATTTCATAGTCTTTATCCTTATAATAAAACTTGTTTATTAAACCAAAAATTAAAATATTTTTCTTTTATTTACACAAATTTTAATTCTTATAAAATATGTTCATTTGAAGATTAAAAAAAATATATGTAAAGCAATTTAACAAAGCTTTTTAGAGAAGTATGAAGAAAAAGAGAAAAATAAAAACTACAGAAGAAATATATAAAAAATTGATATAAAATTAATGTTAAATATGAGAGAACGAAGAACAAATTCACCGCAATTTTTAATATCTAGGAACGCCTGCCCGGTCAAAGAGGAAGTCGTTGCACCATTCTGGGCCAACAACACTCGCGGCGAGGTCTTGGCTCTCCTCAATCTCTATCCCTTCGAGCAGTACGTACATTGGGAGAAATGCACGTAAGTGTCATCGTTAAAGGAGAAATATAATTAAAGTGAAAAATATTACTTGTTAGATACTTAAAATTATTCTAAATTGCCTAAAATTGCAACAAAAAAGATGTCTTTGATTAAGGAAAAGTCTACATTTAGAGCAACCAAAATAAACATAGTTTTGAACAAAACGCTTAAAATTAAAATATTTAAAATTAAGATTGAATTAAGATTAGATTTTGTTCTTATTTATTTTTCTGTTTCTTGATTTTTTCGATTCTCGGTTGCAGGCACGAGAACAAGCAAATGTACTGTCGTGACGGATGCAGATGCGAGCAGCAGTATCGGCTGCATCGGCTGCTGGCTTACGATCCCAACAACGAGTGTCGCGGAATTTTCAGCGATTGGTTCAAGTTTCCCAGCTGCTGCGTCTGTCGCTGTTACGATCTGCCATTAGAATTTCGAGTGACATCACGTTCACCACGCACTTCGCGCAAGCGACGAATCAAGGTGCAACCACCAATGCGGGACCGTTATCCGTGATTTAATTGTTTTCTTCTTGGCGAATTGCCAAATGACACGACGTGTGAAGAACGTCCCGCTAGATATAATCGTTCACAAAATTTCAAAAAAGGCAATCAATTAGTAACATCGTCTTTCTATTCAATTCAATTTAGAGATATTTATTATTGTTAACATTTATTCCTTTGTTAACAAATTTTCATATTTTTTCTATATGTATATATCAAATATTTTTTATATATTGAAGTTTTATACACATAAAGTATATGTTTGTAGATTTTTTGCATATTTATAAATATTTATGAAAAAAATATTTACGTAGTATCGTTAATGTTATTTAATATTTTATAAATTAAGCTAGAACAATGATATTTGTGAACGAAAGAATGTCATCCGAGAAAAGTATGATTAAATTCGAACAATAGAAAGTTTATGCCGTTATGACAGATAAAAAAAATATTTTTTAATACATTTTTGCTTATACTATATAATCTATCGAAGCGATTTGTAAAAGATCCGATAAATTTGGCAAAATTATTTTTGCAAGCATAATAAAAAAATAAAATAAAGTTAAAATCATTCTTATTTAAAGAAACTTATTTTTTTACTTGCAATATAATTATTCATACAAATTTAATAATTTCATGGTTCATGATAAGATGGCGAAATAAATTTAAAATCAATGGAATATATTCGCTAGTTTGAAAGTACTTATAGGCTTTCTCTCTTAACACGATTATCGTATTTAGAATCATAACAATGAGAAAAGCGCACATATAAATATTAAAACAATTTAACGAATATAATAATACTGACTTATATGAATAATATATTGTTATATACTCTTTGGCAAATGTTATACTAATCAATATACTTTATCGAGATTTTAAGATCATGTATATATATATTTATTCTATGTATGCGCTCAAAGCTAAAAACTTTATGTAATAATAATATATATTTGATATAATTATTGTGTAGTACAAATAAGGCTCGTGAATAAAATACGCCATTTTTATACCATTCATATACTCTTCTGTTTTTTCGTAAATTGCGCATATAATTTATTGTATATTCTCGTAATTTAAATTATTTAATATAATTATAATTCTTATTAAACTTAAAATTAAGTTCATGCGCATTGGTGTGTGGATTATCCCGAAATAAAATAAGTCTGCGTGCTCGTTTCGTTATATGTCTGACTTTATTTTTCTTATTTCCTTTACATATCATCTCCGAAACAACGTTGCGTGTCTTACAAAGAAGAAGGTTCACAAACAGTAACGATCCTGAAAACGTTAATACTTTTTTTTGTCTGTTTCGGACATTAGCGGGTGGCGCGGTGAATACAAGTCACAATAATACCGATTATATATATATAATATATGTGTATATCTTGTCGTACACATTCATTACTTGGTATTACAAACGTCATATTATTCGTATCCCATTGTAATATATATATATATATATATATATATATATATATATATATATAATATGTACATGTTATATATAGTACATATACAGGATATTTTCGTATTCAGTCTGTACGCGACACTCTGTAATATTTAGTATAGAATATACGCGTTTTTTTTACGTATTCTCGTGTAACAACGTGTTATATAGGTAGTAAGAGACGTTGTAGGTGTGTATATTTGTAAATACCAGCTAAAAACATTTGGTATCAAAACTATTGCAGGAAGAAGAAAATAAAACGTCTTCAAAAATCTCACATGCCTTTCTCACATTACAGAGTTCAATCGCAGAATATCCGTATTAATTAATTATTACGTTAATGTAAAAAGGAAGCGATTCAAGCCTCTACTTTTTATTTCATTTATATCGAAAGTTGCTCATCTGACTCTCCTTTAAAGAAATTAAATCTAAATTGTAATAAACTAAGAATCAATTAAATTTACAAAAATCATTGCTACATTGTATGTAAAAATAAAATTCATAAACAGATTTAATTTGACATTTTTAGCGTCTGAGCTTTAATTTTCACGCTTAACAATACTTAAGGAAATTTTTCTTCTTTTTTTTTAATTAGAAGTATGACAGAAAAGAAGAGAGAGAAAGAGAGGGGAAGACGCGATTCTATGATTCTAATGACGCAGAAAGACGTTTCATTTTCGACGTGCAGAGTAACACTTAAACGGGACTTAAAATATCCCGTGGATTATCTCGAGTACGTCCAATTTTTCTACGAACCAGCGCGCGAAATAGTTCACTTTTTATAGTCAGATTGTCTACGCACTAATTTCGCGTTCCGTCTAATAGCCGTACAAAGCTACCCTGCGGAAGACTATATACCCAATTTGTATAAAAAATATCTCTATTTCTTGGCACAATCACAAATCTCTTGTTCGTACTCGTATGATGCGTCGATCGAGCATTGCACTTTTTTATTTTTTTTTATTTTGACGAGTTCTATAAATTCCTATTTTATCGAGCTGCCTCATCATTTGACGTCTTTTTTTTTACTCCTTTATTTATCCGATAGAATTGGAACGGTGAAAAGCTATATATATATTGCATAGATCACTTTGGCGGATGTAAAAAAATCGCTTTGATAAATATATGATCGCAAAATTGAATAATCGTTCTGCTCAGATTTCTCTTTGAAAGGCCAAAAGGAACGCGCGATAAAATATTTTTTAAAGAAAAATTTAAGTATTGTCACACTATACGTCAAGTGTATTCTTATACAAAAGTTTTAAATATCCGATCGATATGTATTGCTCCATTTGAGATCCATTACAACGTATAATGTGTATACATGTCTTTAATAATTCAATCTTTTCCAATAATGTAAACATTAATTTTAATTTTACCCTCAACCGTAAAAATATATGAACGAATTAGATAATAAGAAAAATTGGATCTGAAAACTATTCTCAATACAAATGCAAGAAGCATTTTTCAATTATATTACACATTTTTATACGTGATATAAAGTTTATCAAAATTATATAATTAAAAAATTTATACATTAACACATAAATTTAAAATTACCTTGTTTTTGAAAGATAGAAGTTCATGTCTAAATAGATCACTTATTATTAAAAAGCAAAAACTCTCAACATTCTTATACATGTATAAACGAATTATGCAAATGCTTATATACTTTGATATTATTCTTGTTATCATAATTATATAATTTATATGCTAATTTATATCTGTTTCCAGAAAAATGCGCAATTTTTTTTAAATATAACATTTACCGGAAAAAGTGAAACTTTCCAATATCATCATCATAATAATGTCAAATTCTAATGAATAGTAACTCGCGTTATATATGTCGATTATTTATAAAATCTCATAACTGTGAATATATACGTTTGCTATCAACTATGCTATCATATATCTGTGAAACACGCGTCGAGAACAATTGGATAATTTATAAACATTAGCAGGAACGATTACAATTCGTCGATAATTTCGACGATATATATTTATGTATATATGTGTGTGTGTGTGTGAGCAGTTGTTCAAAATTTTATATTATATATATGCTTTCATCTAGTCAATAATAATAAGGTCGGCAAAAACATGTGACATCTCGTCATCCGAGATCCCTCACGGCAGCGGTTTCACTCTTATTGTTATCAACGTTCCTCGAAACTACCGATCGCTTAATTATTAATTATCAATAACGTGATGATGCTTTACGTAGCACGAACCTCCTCGGGGCTTCTCCCCATCGTATCAAGTTAATTGGAGCGGAACATTTTTGCAAAAAGTCCGGAGTTAATAGACCGCACTTTTTTCCTTCTCTCTATAACTTGCGACGACATTTAACGGATATGGAAAAGAAGTTAAATTCTCGGTTTTTTTCTGCTTGAAAAAAGGGATAGAGACGGAAATGCGTACATATTTGAGATTCTGAATTACTAGGAATAACATAAGATGATTATGCTTTAGAAAAATGTTGAAAAAATTTCCAGTTACGTTATTGCTTTTTGCGGGTAAACAATCACATTTTCCTGTCACTAAGTAAACTTCTGCTTCAAATTTGTTTCTTTGCGCGTTTAATTAGAAAAGCGTCTCTCGTTACTTTCGCCTGCAAAAGTAATGACATACCTAGATAATTGCATAACATTCACATGTCTCCTCTTCATTAAGCGAGTAGTATCTCGATTTATTCCCGATCTAAGGAACACGTATCTTTTATATCGAGAGAAGTGAACGCACCCTGCATATCCGCTTAATAATTGAGTTAATATTGTAGAAACTTTTCACGTACAGCGTAATTCGGATAACTTTGGTATTCCTAATCGAGCTTAGTTTATTTCCCCTCCCAAGTAGCAAACTGACGTCATAAACATCAAAATGACGCCAGTTATTCGACGTCAAAATGACGTACATTTGCTACCTGGGCTATTTTTTCCACGTATTTTCACCAATATCTAAATATCGTGCCTTCATCACTATCATAATAGACAGAACACATGATGGTGAACTTAATCTCGCATGCTTGAGCGTAAACGCAAGTGCAAATTGAGCAATCTCGTACGTGGCAGGGGTATAAATATTCTTTCCTCAGAAATGTTCGTTCTTCACTGTCAAACTTATCCGGATTCTGCTGTAAACGGCGAAGTTTCATGCGATGATTAGTATTTCATGCTTATAATAATATGTGTCAATCTTCGGATTATGCATTAATTAATATCACACTTCAAACTACGAACAAGTATTCTCATCACTTAGCAGTAAAAATCCGTCAACTGGCAAAATAATACACCACTTTCGTATAAAAACAGCGACATTTCTTTACGTCTCTTCCTAATTTGCTAATTCCATAAATTACAAATCGAAAAATAATGTTTCATTCTTTTGATTGTTACGATAACATTCGGTGTAAACAAAAATACTCCGTTTCTCTCGGATTTGATGATTAATATAGTTTAGTATGTCTATACGCATTTTACATTCTTACCAAATTATATATATACGTATATATACATATATGTGTATATGTATCTATGTACACGTGTACATTTAATAAGAATATTAATTATGACGATATATATGTTCGTTATATAATGTGAAAAATGTACAATAAGTTTCAGATTATAACGAAAGAAAAATTAATAATTTGGATATATCTCGTATTTTCAATCACTAATTAATAATATCTGCGCCATAAATATTTCCTGCAGCATTACAATATATAACGAACATCATTAAGACACTTGAATAATTTTCTTTTTGCGACCTCCCATGCTCTTCATGTATCCCAAGACGCAATGACATGGAAAAAAGAAAGTTGCGTGTATCATTTTGCCCGTTTTTACGGTAATATGTGTAGAAGATATAAAGTCAATATAAATTGGACAGGACGAAGATAGACAGTACGGCGAGGAGATAGTGACGTCGTTAGAACGAACGGCGATAGACAGCACTGATTATTATTTATCGTATATATATATATATATCGGTTGATTCGAGTGCGATCTTGGCAGGTGGCAGGTCATAAGAATACTAACAATAAGATCAGTCGTGATCTGTACGAAAATCGCAAAGTCGCATTAAGAGTAATTCCAGATAGCAAGCGTACGTCATTAGACGGCAAAGTGATATCATTTTGACGTTTAATGACGTCATAGATGGCAAAGTGACGTCATTTTGCTACTTGAGGTACAACGAAATAGCGAATAACGCAACTTGACGATTTCTTGCTCTTGGCGTGAACGAGGGCGAGGAATAAATCGAACTCTATGAGATAATACTCATGGAACAATTTTGTGCAATTCTTACTGCGAAGAAGGACTAATTGAATGATTGCTGCATTGGTTCTCGATTCGATTAAGTAAGTCACAACCGATCAATTCCGAGCCAAGTGCAACCTACCTAATATGACATATTCGTGCTGGATTTGACTTCTCCCTCAAAGTCGCTGATATCGATATCACTGTTATATATATAATTTATATTATAATTAACTTTTTTGCTTCGAAAAACCACGTGCTTATACGATGAAAAATATTGAAAGTGCATTGTTATACACATTTGTGTATAACGTATATACTCTATATGTATAAGTATTGCCCAAAATATGTATGTTTTATATCGCGTATATGTATAATATATATTTATATATGTAAAAGGATTGTTAAGTTGATATGTCATCGAAGGAGTAATATGCTACGTGTATCACAGTGCTGTGTGATTGAGAGAGATTAATCATAGCAGCGCTAAGTTTCTGTTTTTTCATTTTTTGTTTGTCGTTCTCCTCGTTCCCCTGCTTTGATCCACATCGAACGAGTGTTTCCGATTATTTCTCGAGCTTTACATACTCAAAATTTCCCTATACGATCAACATTATTCGAAAAGAGAGCAATTCAATCCCCCGGTTAAAAAGAGACAACTTTTTACGTATATTATATGTCATATTTTACTCTCAAACTCGTAAACAAAGAAAAAACATGTTCATTCTTCTCCAGAAATATATTTCTTTAGAAATCGTTCGTTGGTATATAAATTTTTTTACGGCCACCATCTCTGAGTTTCCATATTCGCGCGGTAAAGTGTGATTGCTTTTTTCTATTTTTTTTCATTAAAGACACCAACCAAATATCTTGGTCCCTATACACATTTAAATACACATTTGAAGAAAAAAACATTGATTGCACAGGACATTTACTCTCCCTGATTATATCAAAAAGTATATATCTATTGCTTCTCTGTATTAAATGCGCCACACACGCTATTATAATGCAATACCAGTAAATTTAATCACAATCCTTACGAGTTAGCGTTAGTATCCCTTTAGTTTTTGGTCTCGCTTCTAACTTATATGTCTAGATATTGTCTCGTTGGAAAACAAAATGTCCTCGCGTGAAAACCAACAAGCTCGCTTTTCGCGTTTCTTCAGCATTTTTTCTTTTTACTATTCGTTATACGATCAGTGACAGATATATGTATATATATATCTAGATCCTCGTTCACGTACATGATTATTATATCGTATTATCACAAGTACTGAACTGCTTCTAATTGCTTCATAGAAGATGATGATTCGCAATGAGAGAAGCTGATTTCTCATAGTGTCGAAAAGGTTTCGAACAAAGAAGAAAAAGTTTCGTCTCTTTCGTATCGTATATATATAATTTTTACGGATACACCTACTCGTGTATATTCTTATTCTTGTATTCCGTAAAAAAATTACGCCCGAATTACTATCCTCGAAGTAATCGGATGCATCTATCAAATTATGAAAAAAAAGAAAAAAAATAACAGTTCAGGTACAGATACGGTTAACTCATACGTACTAAACAATCGTAAATTATAAAATTACAATGATTTAAAAAATATTCCTAAATCATATATATATATATATATATATATATATATATATATATATATATATATATATTTCTCTCTTCTTTGTAGAAAAATCGTATTTACAAATAATATTATGTAAGAACGTACAAAGATATATGTATCCACATTTTCGCGTCTTTCTCGATCTACATTTTTTTAAGGATATATATAAATCAAACTCGCTTATATATAAGCTCGTTTTCAAGAATAATGTAGTGTGAATTCGCGAAAACTTCAATCTCAAGAAAGCAATCGTGTGTATTGTTACGAGAAATTATTCGTTATTAAGTAGTAATAAGTGTTAGTTTTTCAATTTCATCGACTTCGCGTTTGACTATTGCAGATATTGCAAATCGATATTTAAAGTTTTTACAATTGCAAAAGAATAACTATTGAGCGTGCGTCAATTCCATTTTTACACGTTGACATTTTACACTCTTTCAATTCCTTAATTTAATAATTCTCTTAACCCCTCAAACACTTCATTAATAAGTGTCTCTCTTTCTCAATTATTACATAATTAAAAAAAAAGCAATGTACAAAGCATACACTAAAAATTAATATTACAAACTTGCATAGATTATCAATTACAAATAAGTAGCGCTTTCTTTTCTTTATACACACATATATATATATTTTTCTTATATGCTACTTTTATGTAAATTACTAAAATATATATATATATATATATATATATATATATATCTTTATACATATAGCAATTTACATAATGTAAGCAATTTTCCGTCAACTTTGTGCTTTCTTTTTTCTTTGTACATCAGTTTTGGTTTGAGGGGTTAATTAATAATATACAATCGAGCCATCGCGAAACGGCTGTATAATTTATTTTCTAATCGATAAACGGTTCGTCAATGTTAATCCACCAATTTTCTAACGGGCCATAATACGACGAGTGTTTTTATACCGATCCACTTATGGTCTCGTATGAATTATTGGTTTCCTGAACCATTAGCTGCATTTCCCGTTGCATTGCTTGATTATGCGATCAAAGATCGAAAAGCAAATTGGCTATTGAATTGTTTGGTATTATTTATCTAATAGTAACAACGAGCGAGTATTTAAAAACAAAAAATCAAGCACCAATCATCTAATATGTCACTGGTTATTTCTCAAGAAAGTCAATTCCGAAAGAACGCGAAGGAAAAATAATTTCCTTCAATATAAATTCATATACTTTAAGAATAGATCTGATAATCACACATATACAGATGAACTATATATTATATACTGATATAGCGATGCGGACAGCGTAAAATAAATCCACATAACTAAAACACGAGATGATGATTAGCGTTTGAAGTAGCAACTTAAAGAAATGCGACAAAGAACTGAAATATACGCGTATGTACCTGTTTTATATTGCGATAATGTAACGAGCTAAATGCGCTAAAGCAAAATGGAGAGATTGGTAGAAACTCGAATTATCACAACCAAATTGAGCGATCAGCATAATTAAAAGTGGCGGTTTTTCGTTAAGCGGAAGATGCTTGGATCGCATCGCATCCTCCTTTGGAAAATCAAGAGACCATAAATAATAATTGATTTTGCATAGCAAACTTTTTGCATACGTGTACGACGTAAGGGCCCCCTGGTGGAATTTAGATTGACTTCCACTGCGGCTTGTGGGGACCCCCCCTTTTATGTCAGGGACCCCCTCTAGGAACCCACAGCGCTTTGCTCTGCTCGTCATCTACCGCGGCTTTCACCTGCGTGCATATATACGCCACGCTCACGCCTGCCGGAATCACGGCTGAAATATTTTTAATTGAGTAAATATCCGCAATATATTCATGTTAATATGTTATAATAAATATTAATCATCATTTGCTTTTAATTATATACAATCTCTATTAATCTATATCATAATATTAACATTTTATTTTCATAAAATTGTGCTGCAATAAACCGATATTTGAAATCAAAATTAAAAGAAAAAAAAGGAAAAAATTGCGAATAATCGAACATAAAACATGTTTATTAAACTAATCTGTTCTAATACTGCGCAATAAGAGCAAGCAGGTATATATAAACTGTGTATATTTCTCTTATACATATAAATAAAACTAGAAAATATGATTTGCTTACCAGAAATATGCTGCTTATACTCTCCTTCTATCTTAAGCGATTGCTCAAACATCTCCTTCGCGGCTTTTGTACTGATTTTGTCGCTCGGATATCTGGAATCTTTTACCTCCTTAATTTGCGTCCTATCCTTGAATTTTATCAACAAAACGATAGGATAAATTTGATGTTTGTGCAGCCTGTCGATGGAAGCCATCGACACTTCCAAAATACAATGTGTATTCTACAACAAATATAAATATACATTTATATATTATTAATTTTATCATTATTATAATTATATATAATAACACAGTACACACGCACACACACACACAAATATCATTTATAATATTACTTTACCTTCTCGCATATATCTTTAACGGCTTGTACAGTCGTGCATTCAAAGTAGCTACCCTTTTTCCTGTAATCTATATAGAGCGAATCGCGCAAGCCTTGTTCCAGAGTCGACTGCGAACAATGCATTGCCTCCGCTAGACATCTAGTAAACTGTCCCGGATAGTCCTGCAGAAGTTTCGTTATCACGCATTCGCTAAGCGGACCGATTATCAGCACAGGTCTCAAAGTTGGATCTGTTAACAGTAAGAAATCTTTTATTAGTAATAAATCAGCCATATATAAGTCTAAAAGATGTATTGCACAAACAATATCGTGAAATTATTGTTATAATTAAGAATTGTAAGATTGTAAGCACGTACAATCGAGCCTTTCAACGCGCTGATAACTCGCCGGGAGAGTATCTTCGTTCAACGTTCCGCTATCGCTGTACCATCCCAAGTTGACTCCGGTGAGATGCGACAGTTCCTTGGTGCTGTCTCTACTGGTGCTTCCTGCCGAACGGGGTTGCTTTTTCCGCCGGAAGAAGCTTCTCCTCGCGCTTGTGTTGCTACGTTTGCCGGCATCCTGTTCTAAATCGCCCAGAGAGCGCCGCAAGAGCAACTCTTCCTCGACTCTGTTAATGACAATAATAATCTGTTAATAACAATAATAAATTATACATACAACTCCCTCACAATCAGTTTAAGTTGCGTATTGATTGAAATAAATTATTGACCATCCTTTTTTTCTCTCTTTGCTTTTTAAATGTTAATACAGGGTGTTGTTAAAAGATCTTATAAAACTTTAATCGCATATATTTTCCTCCTTCTGAGATGACACAAAGTGAAGTACCTTCATAAACTTAATAATAATTGTTTGTATCAGATAAGGTGTTTATCATTACTATAGTTCAAATTATTACTACAGTGATTGAACTAAATAGGCCTATGAAGATACATAAAGTCATTCTGTTTGGTCTTTTTTCAATACCATGTATAATATAGATTCTATAAGAATGCAACTTACTTAAATTTGCTGGGGATTATCCCGCAAGTTTGTCTACGGCCGGTCTGATCGACTATCCAAGCACGCCAGTGGCCTGGGGTGCCATTAAACATGGTATTATCCACATACAAAACGTCGTCCTTGTTGAAACGTAGCTGCAGGCTGTCGCCCACCTCACCGGTTCGATCGAACAATGCCTTGACGTAGAAACTATCGCCCGGTTTGTCCTTGACTTCGTTATATCGCTCGATCATGTACTGAGCGACCATCGTCACCTTATCCGCTGGTCGTGCCAACTCGAGGGCGGCTTGCTCGGCGGTCGCTTGTCTCAGATCCACGCCGTTGTACTCTAGAATTCGGTCGCCGGCGAATAGGCCGGCCTCCTCGGCGAGACAACCCGGTTGTACGGAATGCACGAAGATCCCGACGCCGTTTCCGCCCACCAGCGATATACCGAGATTCGAGCACTTTCTGGTCTCGATCAGCAGATACCTAGGCTCGCCGCTGGGCGGTGGCGGTTTTCGGTTCAGCTCTTCCTGCGTCGGGCTTCTCATCGCATTCTGCCGCAACATTTGCGCGCGATTGAAACGATCCAACGTGGCGGCGCTGCTAAGTCCCGGCTTGCGGATGTTGATGTCCAGGGAAGCGGAAGGTCGCATTTCGCGCTGTCGCTCCACAGTACTTCTCACATCCAAGGAGGCGGACGGTCGCATGTCCCGCTCGACGCGCAGGCTGCTCATGACAGGGGCGGCGGTGGTGACGGCGGTGGCGGTGGCGGCAGCGGAAGTGGTGGTGATGGTGATAGTAGTGGTGTCGCGTTCCGGCTCCTCCCGCTCCAAGGTCTCCAGCTTGCGCGGCGCTTCCGGACTGTTGCACGGTGTCGGGGAGCCGCTGCGACTTCCGGCCGCAACCCCGTCAGCGGCTTCCGACGAACTCGAGGACGAACCCGCTTCTAATTCGGTGTATTCTTGCAAAGAAAAATGCAAGAGAAAAAATGAGATATGTGTTTTGATTAACGCTAAAGCTACATTAGACAAATATCCTGTAAAATTCGAATTCTCCGGGTAGTAAATTGGAATTGTATCGACGAGAAAAAGAGGAAGAGAGAAAGTGCGTAAAACATGCTAAAGATTCTTCAAGTGCCGTCTTTTTTCACGAGGATTATATATCCTATACTATTAATGCTTCGGCGCGGAAAAAGACAATACTCACTCTCCGGACTATACTGCACCAGCATTGTAATCGAGTTACCGCACTGACGTAGAACGTTGGCGGCCAGTTGATAGGTCGCGCTTCGCATGTTGATGCCACAAACCTCCAGCAACTGGTCGCCGATCTGCAGGCCGACCTGGGCCGCCAGGCTGTGCTCGTGCACGGTGGAGACGAACACTCCACCGCTCTTCAGACATTGAATCTGAATGCCCAGTGGTTCCACTGACTTGTCTATGTGCACCATACGTAGTTCACCGGGTGCCGGGCGCGACTGCGAGTAATAGTAATCCGGCATACTCGCGCGTTTATGCTGACTGCTACCTCTTACGGTCCCGCTGCTGCTCTCGGTCCCGCTGGTGCCCGGGCTCAACACTTCCACGTGGAACGTCGGCATCGGACTGCCTCGCTCAGATGTTCTCTCTATGCTACCGGTAGACAACTTGCCAACGCTGCTCTTGGACGTGACGCTGGTGTTGGACGGTATCCGGATACGCTGGTCCTCCTTGCGACCCGGCAGAGTACCGCCTTCGTATCCGTGTAGGTAGGTAGGCGTGTCGCAGGATGTACCGAGCGGCAATGCGCGTGACTTGTGATAGTGCAGATCTACGGAGGGGGTGTGCAGGTGATTGAAGGCGGTATACGGGATGACCCCGGTCTGCGAACTCGGTCCGGGACTGTACGGGGGCTCGAAACAGTAGGTACGTGCGTCAGGCAGGCCTATCGATTCGCCGGACTGCGCGGACGGCAGCGACGGCGGCGATGGATAACGCGAGGGTAAGGAGTGATTCTGGTGCGTAGAATGCGGATGGGAGTGCGACGACGTGACGTACGGATGATGCGTGGAAACGGAAAGTTACCAGGTGCCAGTTGCTGGCGCGACGCCGGACCGCTGGTGGTCGACGTCGCGGACGTGGTCGAGCCGCCGATACCGGACGAGTAGAGCTGCGAGTGTACGCGGTTATGCTGCAGCGTGTCCGTGGTCATTTGGGTGTCGCTGCTGCCGCCGGTCGTGTACTTCTGCGGCCGTTTGTTTCCGTAGTACGTGTCGATGTCGCGACCGACGCCGCCGGACTTGACCGAGAAGTCGATGCTGGTCTCGGACGGCGCCAGCGCAGAACCGAGTCGTCCGGTCTCCGACGTGCTGCTCTCGAATTCCGTCGACGGTGGCTTCTTGCCGCCGTCGATCGGGATCTCCTTGAACTGCACCGCCGGAGTGAACGACGATGGCTTCTGGTTAAACAGCTGCTGTCCGTTCTTGCTGAAGTTTGGTAGCGGCGTCTCCACTGCTTTGTAAACGGTATGACGATTATTGACATTGGAAAAGTTGGTGAGGGATACGGGATTGGAGATACGATTATAATTGTAATTCTCGTATTTGGGTAAGAGAACACTGAGAGGAAAACGTTCTTTCGATTTGCGTGGGTGCAATATAGTACCGGTCCCATTCTGTATGAGGGGCACGCCTCGTGCCTTCGGCCACGTGCCGCCGTTCTTCTCGATCTTCTCCGCGGCCCGTCGCTTGCTGCGCTTCAGCACGCCGTTGTTGTTGGTGTTGCTCGCCTTTTTGTGGTAGCTGTCGATCACCGAGTCGAGTTCCGCTATCGCGTCCTGCTCCTGCTCGAATGTATTCGGACTAGAATTGCGGTGGCCCTTCTTCTTGTTGTTATCGTCGCGCTCCTTGCTGTGCTTGCGTCCGCGTACTATGTCGATTTTCTCCCGGAAGTTGTCCCAAGCGTTGCTGATGCCACTCGACTTTTCGCCGCTCAAAGATTTCGCGGCCTTATACGCGTTTCGGTCGGCGAAATTCGTCGACAGGTATCGCCTGTCATAATCGTCCGATGAAGCTTTCAGCATCATTCTTTCTTGTTCGGTTTGTGAACAGCTGTTCACCATCTTTTGCTTCTCCGCAAAGCTGCCGCCTATCGCCATCGTTTCCGAACTGGCGGCAGACGCTATTGAAATACCCTTCAGGGTCGTGATGGTTAACACGTCCACGGTGTCGTCGTTTAAGATTGCCATCGCTTCGTGCGCCGTAGTAACGGTATCCATCGGTTTACTATTAATCTAAAAATACATTTTTAAATCTAGCGTTAAATAGACGTCACATTTTAGACATCATGAATGTATATATGGAATATTTCCACCACACAGTCATAGAGAGATTATTTCTTTATCTTTTTTTAAATTAAGGTAAGTCAAATTGATTTTTCATTCAGAGAAATCAAAATTTAAGCTTTATTTATTTTATCTGGTCTATTTTAAGTCAAGAGATAAAAGAATAAAGTATTTGTATGGCAGGACAGTTTATGAGATTAAATCTATTAATTTACACATACTAAAATGAGACATATAATAGATTTGGAGCAAACTGTTCTTCTACGTTACTTACGTTTAATACTCTATCTCCTACGGCGAGGTTTCCATCCTTTGCGGCCAAACTGCCGGGTGAAATCTTGGAGATGTAAATTCCGAGTTCCAGAGTTATGCCGTGCGGCACCGAACCGATGGACAACTGCGTGGTTCTCAACGGACGTCTGGTTTATTCGGCGCCTCTTCACGATCAGAGTTACCGGATTCATGGAAGACGAACGCAAAGTCTCCAAGATCACGCGCGTCGACACGGACGTGCAATCGACGTTGTTCACTCGCACGATGCAATCGTTGAGTCGCAGCTTGCCGTCGAGGGCGCTACCCTGCGTCACTTGCGCGATGTAGACACCGGTGTCGTTCGGATAGTACGGACTGTCGCGGCCGCCAACCAGGATCAATCCCAGATCGTCGTGATCCGAGTCCATGCAAATTCTGCCGGGCTCCACGTGAATCGGAATCATCTCCCAATCGTTGCCCTCGTCGATCTGCGCCAAATGGCTGGTTCGCAGCGCATGATCGCTGTATTCGATCTTCTCCTTCAAGTCCTTCAATTCCTTTGACGCCTCATTTCGTTGCTTTTTGATGTCGTCGGAATCACGAAGAGCGTTGGCTAGTTCGGAAACTGCGCGATCGCGTTCCTTTCGCAATTTGTCGCACAGACTTCTTATGCCCTCTCGCTCCAGCACTATCTTGTCGCGCTCACTGAACGCCCAGTCCCTCCTTCTTTTCGATACTTCGGCCTCCTGAATGGCCTCCTCGAGCTCCACCTGGAGCGTATCCACGGTCTTCCTGAGTTTATCCAACTCAAGGTTGGCTTGCTCCAAATTATCCATGCGTTGTTTTTCTCGTGTCGCGTAATCCCTTGGGTTCGACTCTTTCTCGGCCTCCTTGCTGACGCTGTCGCGTTCGCGGCTTAACGAGTTGACTTCCAAACGATGTTTGTAGTCTCTGCTGGAACCATCGCCGGTGTAATCGCCGACCTTCTGCTGTAACTCATTGCACAGCTTCAAAGCTTCGTCCCTGTCTTGCAAGGCGGACGAGATCTCTCTCTTCAACGTCTCGATTTGATAAGATAAGGTTTTCTTCTGGAAATAAATTGCCGTCGATGTAATTACGTATAACAGATATCTTTTATAAATAATGTAAATCTCTCGGATTCCCTCAGATTTTCAACAATCTTATTTCAAATTTCTCTGATCGATCCGTGGAATGAGATTTTCACTAATTCGAAAAATAAACGTGTATAATAATGCAAGAAATTGTTTCTCTTTATCTTTGACTTTTGTTTTATGTTGCGTCAAGTATAAAATAAGTAGTGTTAATTTCTAGATTGAAATCCATGAAAGTTATACACGCGACAAACTGTGAGTTTCTCCAAAAAGATAATTATAAAATTAAATAATTGCTTCATACAGACGCTATCGTATATTCTTGTAATCATTCGCGATAACGTTTATTACAAAATAGGTAAACGCTTCAACAATACCGGAAGAGTACATTAAGATAGTGTTGATAAAGTGTTGATAAAGTTCGAATTTAAGTGCTTTTGGAAGGTGATTAAAAACTAATCTAACAATATCATGCTACTCTTTCTTCTCCATACGAAAAACAAATTTAATAGACGAATTAAAAAACAAATATATGAAAATTAATGACTAATTAGATGTGCGTTCCAATAATTGTTAAAACAAGCCAAAAATAGAGCTATTACGGTTCTCTACAGCTATCTATACAGAATATGAAGAATAACGATGGTGGAATGAGAGGATAAATTAATAATATTTTCATTACTTCTTCCATGAGCTGCTTATTCTGCGTTTCCAGATGCGTGACTTTTGTGTACGCTTGTGTGAGATCGTCGCCCAACTTCTCGATCTCCTTGTGCACCGTGTCCCGTTCTCCCATAATTAGACTGTATTCCTGCAGAGCGGCGTTTCGTTCCTCGGTAAGTCTTTTCATATCCTTGCTGGCCTTCATGCGCAGCACCATCGCCTGATTGATCTCCTTCACCGCCTCCTCGTGTTGCTGTTGCACCTTGGCGAGCGCTTCGCGATACTCGTTTCTCTCTCTTAATGCAATGTCCCACTGACGAATCGCGGCGGTGCACTGTTGCTTCAGACCGTTTCGCTCGCGGACCGCGCTGTTGCGCTCCTCCAGGACGCTGTCGTACTGTTTCTTCAGCCTCTTGGCTTCCTCTTGCGACAACTCTAGCTGTATTTATCGCACACACGTAATGTTGTTACGTTAAATTTCCATTATGTCAGAATAAAACGTGTTGGGAGGGGAGAGAAAGATAACACGTAGATAGAAATAATCGAATATAAAATAATAAAATCGAAAAGGCTCTGATGTTTAATATAAATTCTGGCATAAGAAGAGCTAAGAAAAGCAAGATATTAGGTTGCAACAAAATTATTTTTAATTTCTCTGTATTTATTTTTGGTCCTTCCTTCAATTAGTAAAAGAATCTCGTGTATAAAATCGCATCCCTATACTCTATATTCCTGGTAAGTTAACAATTGATATGCCAAAGATGGACTTCCAAAAGAAGGAACGTTGAAAATAAATATAAAAGCAATTAAAAATAATTTTGTCGCAGCTTAATATCTGTCTGGCTCTTAGTAGCTATAGCTTGCTATTATAATCGGATATACTTGCCTTATTAACGGCAGAGGAATGCGACGCGATCAAATCGTCGTATCGTTTCCTGAGGGAATCGTATTCGTCTTTAACAGCTTCGTATTTTCGTAGCGCAGATAGATAATGCTGATTCATAGAATCATTGCCCGATGCATCGGAGACGAGAACATCTTGGTTCTGTATGCGCTGCAATTCCGAGAGTTCCTTCTGTAGGCTCTGCACCTCCCGGTCCAATCGTTGCTTGTCATTTGCGAGATCACTATATTTCGCCCGTAACGCGGAGCTTTCTTGGGATGTCGCTTCTAGTTGATTCATGACTGCTATATGTTGCCCCCGATAATACTCCAATTCCTTCATAGTATGCTCACACCTGTGTTTTGTACATTTTGGGAGTTTTTCTTACAATGTACTTGAATCAAGATACATATCCTAAAAGCGAAGTTTCAAGCATATGTGAGAAAGATATGTGAAATGTGTGAATATATTAACTGAGGGAATTATATATATATATACATGCTAAAGTGAAAAAATAAGGAGAAATAAGGACGCAGGAGGGAGAAGCAAGGCGAAAAAAAGAAATGAAATAAAACCAAACCGTCTTATGGTATCGGAGTGCGTATGCCTAAGTAGTTGAAGCTGATGCATCGCTTGATCGCACTGAGCCTGCAAATTATCAAATTCGGCACTGCGACACTCGGGACCACCGACCGGGCTTCCGACACTGCCATAACTTCCGCTATCCCCCTCTGGTTTTGTGCCACCATAAGTGACAATTCCAACGGCAAACACGTCGAAAACATAATTGTAACTCAATATAAAAAGTGTGCATGAAAAATGACATACATTTGCTTTGGTGTAATAAATAAGAAACTTGTGGCAAAAAAAAAGAAATAAAAAAAAAAATACATACGTATAAAGAGAAAAATTGTGGAAAAAGATGTGTTTTGTACACCGATGTAATCTATTTAATCATTCTTTAGCAATACGCATAATAATAATGCTACAAAGGGATGTCACATATAGAGAATATATTAAAAAAGAAAAAAAAATGTGATGTACATAGAGATGTGTCTATATATGCACATGTATTTTTATAACTCTTGTTTAAAAATAATTCTTACCCATGTTAAGTGCACCATCTGGAAAATTAATTATAAACACCTGTATTACTTCAAGACATACATACCGATCATGTATAAAGGGAGAAGAGAAGCGCAAACAGAAGAAAAAAGCAGAAGTAAAACAAGTAAAAGTACAAATAATATCCGAATAGAAGCGCGTTAAAATTTCACAATGAAATTTAAAAGTCTGAATTGCTTGTTACACTAGATAGAACAACATAATCAGAGGTCTCGCTAGCTTTCACCAGGAAAGAAACTCTAGGTCACGCATCTAAGTACAAAGTGATTCATTATTTTCCTTAGAGCCAAAAAAGATTATCAACAATATTCCAAATTATATCGACATAACATCTCTGTTCCATCTCTCATTTACATCCAACATTTATTCATAATTCTTTCCTCATCGATGCATCTAGATACATGCAAATTTGTTCCGCAAGATCAAACAGAGAAAGTGATATGTTAAAAGAATCTTAATTACATTGAAAAACTAAATTGGAATTACTAATTACGATTTAGAATAGAATAGAAATCCTATAATTTTTTCTCTCTCGAATCACTCTCTTTGAAAGAGATATGCCAATATTTCAAAAGAACGCGTATAGAACGTGAAGCGAAGTCCCTCGAGAGCTTCTCTCGCCAAGTTGAATTTTCCGATAAAATATTTCTGCGGCGGCGAGACGGCGGTGTAACGAGAACGATAACGTGTCGTCCTGACGTCGTAATTAAAAATACAATGACGCGCTGACGTTAGCCGTAACGCAAAGACACATTATCGAGCCGGAGAGCGCGATGGCCGTTATTTTTTTCTCCCTTCTACAAAGAAAAAAAAAAAAAGAAGAACAGAAGAGAGGAGCGGAAGAAGACGAAAGAGAGGAGAGTTGAAAATAAAAAAATCTCGACTACTCACCGCTACTTCCAGCACTGTCCAAGGAGGATGCGCCAGAAGCCATGGCTCTCCGCGCCTGGATCACGGCTCTAGCCGCGGTTTCACGGGGAACTCGAGAGAGTGCGAGTTGTGCGATCACACAATCTACCAATACGGACGCTCGTCCTCGTACGACCAAGTACGAAGCGGGGCAGGTATCGCCTGGAAAAGTGTGCGCTATCGTACTTCACGGAAGAGCGAACCCTTTGTAAATTACTAAGAAGCAGCCTTCGGGATGACATTATGGCCACTATACGTGACACATAAGCTTTGTGTGTGTACACGGAGAATGGGAGAGGAGGGGGGAGGGCAATATGCACCTGACGCGCAAACATATATATATATGTATATAATATTATATCGATATTATTATATACACACCTCCTCCCGTTGTCGCCGTCGTCTACATCCCAACACACGTGTCTCGCGGCGTATCGTCCAAGGGATTTTCTTACGCATCACTTCTCCCGCGCGAGCGAGTGCGCGCTTAGCAGGAGTATTCTGCCTCGGGAGAGAGAGAGAGAGGAGAGAGAGCTCGGGCGGTCTCTCTCTCGCGCGCGCGCACATACATATACACGCCCGACCCGACTAACTGACCGAGCGACCGAGCGCGACACACACATACGCGCGCATATCGACGATGCGGGCTGGAGGGGAAAGGAGGGACGTATGTTTTCGAATGGACGTAATAGATATATAGATCGATCCTCGTCACCGTCCTTCTTTCTCCGGAAGCTACTCGAGGAAGGGAATGATGATGATGATGATGATGATGCTCCAGCACCAGCTCCGAAGTGCGAGGATCATCGGCGCGCTGGTGTGTATCGATCCCTCGATCCTCGATGTATATCTATGTCGATGATGATGATGATGATGATGATGATGATGATGACGTCTCACGAATTTTCACATTCGAGAGCTCTTCCCCGACGACGATGACGGTGATGACGTATACACTCGTAAGCTACGCGCTCGCTCACCTGCCGCGCCGACAAGAGAATCCAGTTATCTGACAATTAGCCATTTTGGTCCTCGTATGTCGCTTTCTTTCTTTCTCTCTTTTTCTCTCCGCCCGCGTTGTCGGTAACACGAACGAGACAGCGTGCGAACTCCGCGCACGGCGAGCGCCGACTGCGGTCGGTCACCGAGGAACCGCTATCGAGAAGCGGGTCTACGCTCGGATCCCTCTAGCTTGGAATTATCGAATTCTAGAATAGCGTCCTTTCGAGTTCACTCCGTTCTAATGGCGCATGCGCACGGCGCGCGTTCATTCGCTTTCGCTCTCCGCGCATGATCACGTGGCCGGTGGTCATGTGGTCGCGTATGTCAAACACGAAATGTCAAAACGCGCGTGGGGCGGCCAGCGAGCGGGAAGGGATTTTCAATTTACGGGACGAACAGCTGAGATCCAGAACAAGAGACTCTTGTACGTCTTTTATATCGAATTTCAAGGTAGGTACATCCTATTTTATTACATATTCGCATTCTTGTAAGAATTTTCGCGGCCGGAATAAACAAAATAATTTCGATGCAAACATAAAGTGTTATATATATATATATGATGAATGTCGAAATGTAATCAAGTTTTAGAGACTTAAAAAAAAGGATAAAATAGAAAGAAAATATATTTTCGTCATATAAATATATGTATGCCAAATATTTTTTGTATTTTTGCATACATGAGATGCATATATAATACTTGGCTTAATACGGAATTTTTTCCCTATTTTCTATCACATCCACAACTTTTGTTAATTAATAACGCGCGATCGGTACCGATAATGTTTTTGAGAATACGATATTCGTATAAAGTATTATTAAGCAGTTTTAATTTATCCTAACAAACTGCAATTCTATTATATAACACAAAAATATTAAAGAAATAACACATACATACGTATATATAAAATATATGAGAATTGATAACAAAAGAAAATTAGAAAATGAAAATTGTTTTTCTCTTCTCAATTTCGCTCAGTATTAAAATTTGCTTTAAAAACGCTTTAAATACATATATAATAAAACATTTAATTACAGATAAATATATATATGCATATATATATAATATATATATATATATATATATTATATATAATAAATAACAAAATGTATATAAAAATATCTAAAAAGTCAAGATTAAACGTATCGAAAAACGAATAATTGGTTTATTTCATCTATTTACTTTGTGATCTTATTTTTTTTTTTTTTTATATAATATGTAAGCTTATATATATACATATAGACACTACTCCAATGATCAGAGTTCATTACAGTTTTTTTCACGTAATATATTTTCAGAATTGGAGTTTAATCACATTCAGTTTGAAATATTCCCGTAGGAAATTGCGTTAAAATGGTTCTAATTTTTACTCATTGACATTTACTCGGTGCATATTTCCCTATATAATTGTGCTCCGAAGAAGAATTACTGTTCGCCATAAAATGATTGATCGCCGGATGTTGCGTAAAAAAAAAATCAATTGGCGCAATCGCGTATATCCCCGACTTTGGCATAAATTCATCAAAATTGTTCTGATTATTCACAGTTTTTAGGAAAAACGGAAAACTGTATCGCTCGCTCTTAATTTCACAAAATGATGGTCCTTTGCATTCTTTTGCGCAATTGTTTGGCAAGTTAGAAAAAAGACTTTCAAACAATTTCCTGAAACAGTTTTCACGTTTGGTCCAAGTTTCTTCTAGAGTTAGGAAACGTGTAGACAATCCTGATTCTAGATTCTAAAGTGGATGCATTTTCCGGTGCAACAACGAGCATTGAAAGAGTTTTACGCTAACGTTCTCCATGTATGCGTATACATATTTTTTTTTAATGCAGATCGCAATATATAGTAAATATATCTTAAGAATTGTAGTTTTTTTAGACGCGTGATCGCGAAGGAAGATACGCTTCAAGTGTTCCAAAACATGGACGTATCTCCTTTCTCATTGTATATCGTAAATATATTTTCTAAGACAGTTCGGTGGAGATTGAAGTACTCGGAGTAGTATTTGTGTCAGTGTCGTAGGAAATATACATTTCTTCGTATCGGAGAGTAATGTAGAGACAGATGAATGATATCACTGTTCAACAAAAAATTTAACCAGAACGAGATTAGTCGTTTCTTATAGCTTTTTGGATGCTCAATACGAATCTGGTTTCCAAATTATTCCATCACGTTGCAATTTTGAGAAATTTTTAATTAAAGCTGTAAAAAAGGTTTTCGTAAAAATAGCCTTTTTGCAACTTTAATTAAAAATTTCTCGTAATGGAAAATTGTAACGTAATGGAGCAAATTGGAAACTGGATTTGTATTCAGCACATTCAAAAAACTAAGAAACAATTAATCTTGTTACGGTGTTGGGAAAAAAGTCATTTTTTGTTGAACAGTAAGTGTTATAACGTAGATACAAAATATATTTATATATTTGTAGCAATAGTATTTTCTATCTCCTCTCTCCTTATTTTCTCTTTTCTTTCGCCTCGAATAATATATATAATATTATTAATATCTCTTTTTTTCTTGTATAATATAGATAATCTTTCTTTGACTCTTTGCAAGGCCAGCATAAAAATCACACTACAGAGTGGTGTAACTTAAGTCTCTCGAGAGATGTTGGACAACGATATCTCTATAATTAAACGCAATTCTCGATGTTATGTACATTCAAAGTAAGGAAGTCCTTTTCGAAATTCCTCACGACTCGTAATATAAATTTCTTTAGATATCTAACAGTTAATTAGAAACGCATTTCCGAAAATACTCAAATCATATACTCTATAATAATAATGTCCACAACAAGATGATCACATATTGATACTGTGCAGATATAAAGATCCTTGTCCAGTTGATCGTCCTATCGTAGCAAAATAAAAAAAAGAACAAATATCTTAGGATTAGGATTAGATTTTGAAGAATCTTGCAAGTTGAAAAATTTTGCTTATCATCCAAAGCAGTTTTATATTTTCTTTTTGTGAACAGCCAATTCATTTGATCACAAAAAATTACATTCTAAGGTGATTAACGTAAAATGTTTAATTTGTAGAGTTCAAAAGTTTCTAAATAGCTTCTAATTTTAAGATATTATTTTTTTTATTTTGTGGAAAGGACGATTAATTGGACAAGGAAGAGATATAAAGTGCGTGTTCGTTTGTAGACTTCGATACGTCGATTTTCGAGTTCTTTGGCTTATCTTTCACTTATCTCTTTCGGATGTTATCTTGAAGTATATCGCAATCGAATAATAACATCAACAATTGATCGAAACAGATCGCGCATATTATTTTATAGATTAACATTTCAATTTTTACATTTTTAATTTAGCATACTTTGAAACATTTACAGTTTTTTCTTTTTCCTAAAATAATGTAATCGTAAAAAACTGAAAAATATCCATAAAATCTTTGAGAGAATCTTTATACGATGACATATAGGGTGTTAATAAAAATCATTAAGTGTTTTTTTTTCAACTTATCCATACTACGATAGTCAATCGATATTTCGATTAATGAATGTACAACAAAAAGGTGTAAAAATTAATCTACCCAATTTCTTCCTTAACATCGCAACAATTCAATTGGAATGCTGGTTTAGTTTTAAAGTCATAATCTCTGAAGTACTGCGCTTTAGCATCTGCAATATTACACAGGTACTTATTGGTTTGCCTTCTTTTTCTTATAAAGTTCATAAAATTATTAAAAAGAATCTTCATGGCTTTTTTTCTCATTTCAATGGACAAAGGTTTTATGTATTTTGACGTAACAAAAACTAACATTTTTTTCTCTTTACTATGAATGATCGATACTATAGCGGCAGTATATCAGAAGTCGCGTTTTTCAGTACTGAAAGTGTCATTACGTTTTGTGACCAGTAAAATAGATGTGTATTCTCGAAAGAGAAATGTCGAGGCGTATAGGCAGTGATATATAAACGTGGTATTTTTGTCAAAGTATTTAGATAAAAATGATATTTCTACTTTCTTTTACATACAAAAGCACATTAGACAAAACAAACTTGTACTTAATTTTTCAGTTTAGCGACAATTACGGAAAGCGGGAAAAGAAGGAGAATGAGGAAGAAAATAAAAAGAGAATTGTGAATTTTTTACTACATTAAACTTTGGTATTATATGTGAGTGAACGTCGTTGTTCCTCCTCTTTGTGCCGGTCTGCTTAGCGCCTTTGAATGTTTGCCTATATCAACGATTATTTACAAAGATCATACAAAGTACAACATAAAGTTAATAAAAGTGCTATTAATAATAATAATAATAATAATGGTAAGAATCGTATTAATACTAGTCGTAAGAAGTAACAGAAGAATCGACGATTGTCAACCAAGAGCAAATACAAAATACTTAACTTAAGCGGTGAACGAGGACGCACCTTTTGCTTGCGTGTGTGCGAAGAAAAAAAAATGTCTATACTTCGTGGAAATATGTGATGCATATATTTAAATGATTTGGTGCTGTGCGCAATTGTTTAAAAATAGTTGGAAACCCCCAGTTGTTGCTCAAATTAACATGCGGGGATAGCGTTTTGAGGACGATTAAACCTCGTAGAAAGAGAGAGGCACTCTCTATAAAACTATTCTCTGATATCTAAATACTAGGAAATTAGTAAACGGATAAATGTGACGGGTAAGTCTACCGTGACAAATACTGTTAACTAACTAGCGATACATATTTACCTTTTCTACTAATCGCGACGATGAAAGAATCGCCCGATCGTGTGTAAGCTCGCATTATTAAAGTTTGAAAGAAATTTTTCGCAATTGTTTTCAATATTCTGTGCACTCGGAAGAATAAGCAAGAGCTACATATCGTTAGTTTTCTAACACAGAATCGATATACAGATATAATGTCTCTCTCGATGACCCCCGATAATTTTTGTCTCTTCTAAGAATATTGGCATCTGCGCCTCTAAAACAATTAATATTTCAGATATTTCTATTTGTTTCTTTTTTTCATGTCCATATAAGTGTATTTACTACGAGTGGTCAACTTAAATCTATTAATAAATTAATAGATAAATATTACACGTATATGTCTTATACAAGTCAAATAATAGCTCTAACAATCTTGAATTTATACTGCAAGTGTCCCGAGGACGCTTCGATCACTACACACAATTTTTTGCAAGATTTTCACTAATTCTACTATTTCGTATATGACTTATAGAACTTGTACCGATTTATACCTACGAGAAAGAAAACTTAATTTAAACGATTAATCAATAAAGCAAACTCTACTTTAATTGCAAACTCTACATGCTCCTATAAAGCACTAACGGTAGACCTTTGGAAGTGATGAACAATTCCTGATGAATGGAAGGTACATGGTGTTTAAGTATCGAGACTTGTCAAGCGTCGAAGAGACATCTTTCATTTAATGTCCTTTAGATTGGTATTCCGTATGTCGTTTGAATAATCTCGATATTAGACTATGCGCGAAAGTAAAAGGAAATAGCATGCATGTGAAGTTGGATGTTGCGACAGATATCTAATAAAAATGAAATTGATTTCGCGCATCGAAGATAATCTCCCGAATCTGTGACATACGCAATATTCGATATCAAGGGCCTTTCCATTTCATAATACTGACTCGCAATCGCACCTTCATTCGCACTCGCAAGCTCTCTACACGGTGGAAGTTTGCTGGTTATTGTTATCCAGCGGAATGCTAGTAGAGCACTCCTTCAGCATCGCTCGTAGACGCAGAATTTCTTTGGACGCCGCCGCTAAATCGGATTCCAATTGTAGTTCCTTCTCTCGGCGGCGTTTCAGTTCACGTTGGCATGTCTGTGACATAATAATAAATTAATATTAAATTATTTTTCTTTCATTGCAATCTTTTTTTTCAAGTCTCTAACAATTTATAATAATTATTAAATCATTTTAATCAATTTTTTTTACTTACCACATTCTGTCGCAGTAAATCCAGCTTGTCACACTTGAGCCTAGTGACCTCCATCCTCAGGGTATCGTTTTCCACGACTCCGTCCTTGCTTGTACATCTAGCTGTATCGTGAGTCTCTGCGGAACTCATGGATTCGAGGCCCGTATCGCTATCGGGATATACAGCCTGATCGAGCTCGAGTTCGCTGTTGAGCGAACTATCATCGCTCTCGGAGATCACTCGTTGTGTCACCTCTGTCGTCGCCGTTTTCTCCTGCGTACGTAGATTCTCATGCGTCAATCGCTGCACCGTTGTCGCCGATGTCGGTGCCGGACTCTTGTCAATGACGGTGGCGTCACTATCGGGACAGACAACGCTCGCACCCTGTTGCGACTCCCTGCGATCGTATTCATCTTGCTGCAACGTCGCTAAACTGCTGTCCTGATTGTCAGTGTTGGACAAACTGCTGTCCTGGCTGCCAAGACTACCGCGTTCCGAGTCTCTCCTCAGAGTTAGATCCGGCGAGCCGAGAGGACTGGACGGTTCCACCGAGCGCTTACTGTTGCCGCTCACCTAGACGTACAAAAGTCTACTTCTTAATCTGTTCCAGCTTCTTATTATTTATAGTTTCGTTTATAGTTAACAATTAAATTTATAGTTACATTTATAATTATAGATGTCGATGATATATTTTATACTGTCTAAATTTGTTATATAATTACTCTAGAAAATTATTGTCTATTTTTTTCTTGTGCTCATAATTGATTACTTCGATAGCATTTTACAGTCTACAGTGTGTAAATATCATTCATTCTCACCTTTATGGCGGTCGACTGCCTATTGCTCGGTGGACTAGGCTCTGTTCCTTGACCCTTCTTTGCCAGTTGTTGCGGTACACTCTCCGTCGATGCGTTCCTCACTCGCGAGATCAACGCCTTGCGTACGGTGTCTATGAATCGCGAGCCGCTGCTTCCCGAAGCGGATACATCACTCGTCGTTGGACTCACCGGACATACGGTTAAACCCGAGTTTCCCAGGCCGATCGGGCCGCCGAGAAATTCACTCGTTTTTGTCTGCAATTCCTCCGTTAGGGATTCCAACAAGGCCGATCTAGTCCGTAGCTGAAAATTACGCGATTAATTTATTTACAAGCAATGTTACTCTTCATGTTTTTAGAAAATTATCGTAACAGTAAGGTATTAGGTGCCGTTACGCGAGAACATGAACGCTATTCGATTACACAGGACGAAGGAAGCAAGACTTACCTCCAACTTGGAGAACTTCTCGGCTTTGTACGCTGCGTTCTCAGCGTTTACGAGCTTCGTGAGCAGGAACTCCTTGAATTCGACACCTCTGAGAAAGACCGCAGGTACCGGCAGGGTTGGTCCGAACCAAGGAACGTCGTCGCGCGCTGTTATACTGACTTTGTACCTTTATACAGAGATAAAGTCAACAATTATTTATTGCTTTTCGCGTTAATCAATTATTTAAATAAGAGCAGCAGTTGTTTGAAAAAGATATTTAAATAAGCAGTTCGATAATGGATACCGTTTGCTAATGTTTCAGCGACAGAGCGCAGGCGGCGTGTGGAAAGAGTGACTACGAATCTAAGAATATACCTCGTATTCGGAGTGCAGGGGTCGATGACTTGGACGACGATAAAGGCGTGTAAGAAGTGGCTGGCAATCATGTCTGGACTGAAGGGCGTCGGTTCCTCCTGGAATATAATGGCGACGATGTCGTTGCCGATGTGTCGTTTACGTTGTAATTGTTGCGAATCGCCTGGACTATACGGCAGCAACGAGGCCACATGGAACAACACCTCCCGACCTCGGAATACTTCGTACACTGCCGAATCGCCAGTCTGACCATGTCGAGTGTCTAATCCGCCTCGATAACTGAAAATACACAATCGAATTAGAAAATAAAAATAGAAAACAAGGTAAGAATGCAACAAATTTTTCTCTCGTTATATGATCAAAGTGCCCATTAAGCAAATATTCAAAATAAAAGTAGGAATTTTTTTTCATCACTGATTCCTCTTGCAATTCTATAGTTTTATATATATTTTCTATCAAAAATAAATTAAATATAAATTAAAGAAAATAAATCAAAAGATATATGGCGTAATTCCAACATAAAAAAAAAATTCCATTCTTTAAAAAAATAATTTTACCCCTTGTGATCCTTGAGATCGATTTTCTGGCCGAGTAAGTCGAGAAACTCCTGGAAGGCCGGGGTGATTTGCCGATTGCCAAAGAGTTGCTCCTCGGTGACTTGGCCGGCTCGCTGATGTAGAACGCCGAACTTGAACCTGGAGACCAGGGCATGCTCGTCGTATCGAGCGATTAGAGTGCCGGCACCGGGACACATGACCGGCATCAGAGGGCTGACGTTCAGGGCCTCGTTGATTGCCTGCGAACAATTTTTGTTCCTCGATTAGAAGAACGATACGCATACGAATGAATAATCGACGGCGACGATTGCGAAAAAGCGAGGCAAGGTCTTTCCTGTGCTTTATCGCGCCCCGGTGCGATGGCGCAAAGCCTCTTTCTCTTTCCTCTTCTTCGCCTTCTCTCGCTTCCTCCTGTCGGCCACGCGATCGCATACGTAACAGCCGAGAGATAAAGCATGCACACACGACGGACGTTAAATAATTCAGCCTGTTTATGCGTTTTTTTGCGCACTGACGAAGTATATAGAACTCAAGGCCAGATTATAGAGCATTTCCATAGTATGAAACTAATGATTTTTTAACAGCCTTTCTCTAGAAAAACGTTTTATCTACATTTTTAAATGCTTCAATTGTTTGATTTTAATATTTTTTACAGACGGTACAAAACAAGACGACGTACATTAAAAAAATGAAGTTATTTTATAGTTTTTTTAATATATTTTTAATAAAAATTGCGCTTTCGAATTATCACAAAAAAAAATGACAATTATTCTTTTCAAAATTTAATTTTTGATTCTTGTTCGTAATATTAGAATTTTTTATTTTATCCTTTTTATGGTAACGTTTATAAAAATTAAAAGAATATATGTTATACCACTTTAAAACTCGATGATTATTTTTGACAGTTATCAGCTGATTTCCGTCAAAAAATATATTAATCGAGTTTAAACAAACTTTATATTATTTTTCCAAAAATATTCTTTTCAATATAAAATCAAAGACTAACTTTATAATTATCGTGCGAATTATATTTTTAATAGGTTTTCCAGGTTTTTCTAGATGAGAAAAGTATACAGGTGCGATTGCACATTGCGTAGAGCTCATCCAACTATAGTTAATTATTCAAACACGCGGATGGTATCGCTTACAGGCGGAACGAGTCTCATCGTCGAGTTCGCTCTTCGCCGCGATATGTTCGATTGCACGCGAGTGATTGTTTGATCTTAAAACAACTTTGGAAAACTGGGCCTACAGAAAACGTTTCACATTTCTCGTGTATTAATATCGCTCTCCGTAAACACAGCGCGACTGTGTTGGCCCAGCCGTTTCTTATTATCTCTTCAAACACACAGGTAATCGAGTATGCCTAGTCTCGAGTACGCCACCCGGTATAAGCAACGTGTCCGATACGTAAACAGCGCATGATGTATTGCACAATATAGCTTATAGTAAAAGAAGCGTGAAACTCTGGAATAATTTCGTCGTAGATTTTTGAGAGGAAATTGGAACAACTCATATTTGATTTTAATGTTGCTGCCCTTTTTTGGGTTCAGAGGTTTATTAAAAATTTCAAGATTTTCAAAATTCTCCGCTTTAATTTCTGGATTTCTAGTATTTTATAATAAAATTTTGCGCTTTCGAATAACCACGAAAAAATGCTTTTCAAAATTTAATTTATGGTAATGTTTATAAAAATTAAAATAATATGTTATACTACTTAAAAACTCGATTATTATTTTTAACAATTAACAGCTGATTTCTGTCAAAAAAATATTCTAGTTTAAAGTATTATAACATATAATTTAAATGAAGAAAGGGAATCCAAAAATATCTTTGAAATGAGAATTTTAAATATAATTTTATATAATTAAGAAATACAATATAGGCATTAGAATTTTTGGCAAATTTACGTGCGCGCTTCCCGAGACGTTCTCTAATTTGAATTTTATTCGCGTGACGCATTCCGGATTGGCATTGTTCGCGAGAGAGAGAATAACATTATTACCTTGACCATTTTCGTCGGTGTAGGATTTGAGGTGAGATTCGAGGCTGGTACCAGGTCATGCGTCGATCCCGCTCGCAATCGGAGCAACACTCGCCAATGTTCCTGTCCGGCGACCGCCTCGGCCTTCACCGAGACCAGGACCGGGCCGTTCTCACCGTCTCTTCCCACGAGGTTCACGTGTTCCTGCGGATAAGAAAGAAGCCAAGGCGATAAGACGCGTATTTCACGCTCGTGCGGGGCAATTATGGCAGCAATTAGCTACGGTTTCCGGTACCCTTCGTTAGAAACCACACGTCACGTCTCGCGAGAATCGTCGAAAAAGTCATGGAAAACGTCGAGGATCAGGGTTTGATCCTTCGGTCGACGCATAATTTTTATACAAGTACCCGGGTACCAACGTATTTTCGACATATTGCACTGCAATTTTTTTTACAGCAAGACGTGGAACATTCTTTCTCGTTATTTTAAGTTTCCGAATACAAAGGCCCTTTGTATTTTGTTTCCGGCGCATTTTTAACGTTTAGAGTTTCCTTAGATGTCCCGAGTACCTGTTCATTGACGCAGGATTAAGGGGATATCCTAAAGAATTTTCAATTCTTTAATTTAAAAAAAAAATTTACATAAAATCGATAGGTTCGCGCTTCGCTTCGTCTAATCGTGGAAAAGCATTTATTGTTCTATTCAGCCTATAAAAAAAGGATCGTTTTGTCGAATTTTTCGATATATTTTCCGTAAATCTGGGATGAAAAAAAATTCTAAAAAATATATCCTTTTCGTCAAAATCGTCCAAAATCAAATCGTATTCGTGGGACGGAAAAATGACGTCGTCGTTGACGGACGACTACTTGATGTTGCAACGTGCTTCACAAGCGACAGGCATTAGAACAATTACGGTAGTGCGCGCGTTCCGGATTCAATTAGACATTGCGAAATTGCTGCGAGAGGAATAAAGCGCACATATGTATGTATGTAGGTGATTGCGGCCCTGAAACGCCATGCGCAGTAATACGCTTTTGCAAAATATATATACAATATATAGTTGGTGTGATTTTGTGCTACACGGTGTCTCGAAACACGAGACATCGTATCGAGGACAACGTATCATTATGCAAAGAGCGAGTTTATCGGAAAGTTCGGTCTGGATTGGCAGCTCTCTCTCGGGAGTCTAACGTCAAATGTAGGTCTCGTGTGATAAGCGGTCTCGGTTATAATAAATCTAAATTATCGATATAGATTTATATTCTATAGCTTCGTGCGTAATTGTAAAAGCAAATGTACGCAGAGAGAATTTTCTCTTAATAGTTACTTTGAAAATCACGGTAATCGTGCGACAATATGGTACTGGGAGAAATTTAATTTTATAAATTCTGTAGTAAGAAAAATATTAATATCTACCACAATAAGATATAAAATATGTTCAATTAATTTTACTATGTACATAATAAAAATATATCTACATAGTAAAAATATTAATAAAAATAATATTACATATTAATATTTTATTTTTATTCATAGTGGTAAATAGGTATTTAATCACAAAGAAACTTATAAATTCTTCCAATTTTTACACAATTACAGTAATTTTCAAGGTAAATTATCTCCGTGTACAACAATATAGTTATAATTCTTCATTCAAGCTTCTTAAAAAAATAATTATTCGAGGATGTAATAAAATGCTCAATCAACAGAGGGAAGTCGAAATTCGTCCAAGTAAAAATTTTGCCAAAGCAAACAACGCGTGACCTTGTTTCGCGCGGTACAAACAGTCGGAGTCGGCTAAATTTATACGCAGGTTTCTTTATTTAATTTATCTGGAAAGTGCCACGAGACCGCACACGCGATTCTGCACATTTTGCGATGTTCTTTATGAATATATTTTAAGAGATATTCCTTTTTTATGTAACATATTATTCTATCATTACACACATGCATGTTGTATTTTATAGATGTATATAATACCTCACCAATTTATTATGACCATCATCGTAATATCAATATACAAATAATTTTTTTAAAATTTATATTAAATATTAAACTTTTATAAAATAATCTCCACTTTTTGCAATTTTTTCGATTAGAAGATTTTTCTCTTTTATCAGTTTGTAAAATAATAATTTTTTTTATTTAATAATATCTTAAAATGATCCTAAAATATATCAACAAGAACATCGTTAATTTTGATTAATTTAATATTAATTAATGTTTAATTTAAAAAAATAATATGTTATATGTACTTTAAACTCGAATAATATTTTTTGACAGAAATCAGCTGATAACTGTCAAAAAAAATAAATCAAGTTTAAAGTACTACAATATGTTTAATAAATGTTTAAATAACAATATATGTTTAATTCACGTTCAAAATTAATATATACATACACAAACAATTAATTACGTAAAATTAATACCATGCTAATTACGATGACCCTAAGAAAAAAAAAACGTAGTCTCCCCGCGGACTTTAGACCTCTTAGGCTCTTCTCGGATACGGAACGGCTATACAAATTGCAATGCAAATAGGGAGTGTGCTTCCTCCTGCGTTTTGCAAAGCCGTGCAGTGGGGAATAAAAACGGTGCATCGTCGTCGTATGCAAAGCACGCGAATAAAAAAAAATGCGCTCCGCGATTTAGAAAGATACAACGAAAGGTCGGGTCGCGCATAGAGAATGATGCACGATATGAAATGCATACAGCACTACCCCTCTCTTCGTCTCCCTCTTCTTCCTCGCGGTGTTTCACTAACCTTCGGATGGAATGAATGGAGGGAGGGGGATTAGAAAGGGCAACGCGCCCAGAGTTCACAAGAGTTCACGCCATTCGTTGAACGTACACATTTATTATTGTTATATCGTTTGTTATTATTACCGTTACACATTAATTAAATATAATAATAATACATATTATACCTATTTGAGAGCATCACACTCTCTAGTGTGGATTTTAACGAGATTAATTAATTATGGAATTGCAGTTGTAAATTACGTAAGCTGATGTAAATTAATCGTGGATTTAAAAAAAATACAATCCATAAATCTTAAGTACAAATTAAATATAATAATAATATACATATACTACTTGAGAGCGTCACACTCTCTAGTGTGGATTTTAACGAGATTAATTAATTATGGAATTGCAGTTGTGAATTACGTAAGCTATAAATTAATCGTGAATTGAAAAAAAAATACAGTCCATAAATCTTAAGTACAAATTAAAGTATCTCGTCAATTGATGGCCACACCTTTTTATCTTTCCAATTTCATTAAATTATGTCAATATTGTAACGTGTTAATGTAATTAAAAATGTATTTCTGGATTATATGTAGTATAAAATTTTTATTGAAAACACTTGATGTGAGTTTAATTTCTGAAAAGTGATAACAGTGACATTTTATACAATGGAATATTATAAAAATGTAATTTAATATACTTTTTCGGCAAAAGCAATGATGATATTAGTTTTATGTGATTAATTGTTTATGTATATTAATTTTTCCCTGACTATTTTAAATATATTAAAAATCGAAACAATCAATAATATTCTTGACATTTCTTACAACCATTTTAAGAAATTAATCAAATAAAAAACCAATTATTTTGTGAAATGATAAAAGAGAAAGAAGCACGCAATTGAAAAAAATGAAGACTAATTATACATTTTATAAAAATTCAACATTTAATAAATATACAAAAATTACTTGTATATAATTATATATGTAAAAATAATGCATGTCTGATTGATAGAATAATGTGACAAACGTGTAGGAATATCTTGATATTTTTTTTTTAGGCGCGAAAGAATATACGCGCCAGTTATCTTCTCTAAGAGTTTTCTCTCTTTAATTCTTATCGAAGTGTCTATACACGTGCTTCTTCTCTTATCGGGCATAATCTATGGCATCTCACAAATGGGAAGAATATAATGTCCGACTTGATATTACGCGAACTCTTGGCGCGCCCTCTTCCATTGTAAGCGAGCGAATTTTTGCTCCGTACCCACGCGTCTCCCACTCCGGCTCTCGATTAATATCGTTAGCCGTTACTATCGACTGTAAGGTGTGTTAACCGTTTTGTTGTTACAGTTCGAATTATACTCGTGCACCGTTGTTGTTATCTGCCGCGAGTAATCGCCTCCTTCTTCCATATATGTGCGACTTCTCTGGGGGGTTTATGGTTTATTCTTCTGCTGTTTTACGAGTGTAACAAACGGCATTGCGATAACGCACGCGATATCGGTGTCGCCATGTATTAACGAAAGGCGTGCGTGTTTACGTTGTGTTTAGATACACGAAAAGATCGCGAATTCGTGTTTTGACAGGGAAAAATTAAATATACACCGATTCAATTCATCGTTAAATAATGTGTACAATTTTTGCTCTCTTAGGTTGAATTTCTTCTAAAAAGTTAGCAGGAAATTTAATTCATTTTATAATTCATAATTTAATTTAATTAAAAAAAATTAAATTAAAATAAAAATATAAAAATATCGCAATTATATATTATTTAATTTTTTCAACTTTATTCATTTTTCTCCACAAAATTCATAAAAACTGCGGGACAAAAATCGACAAGTTGGGACACATATTTCTTGAATTTTATTACTATGCGCCAAGTTTGAATTTTTTATCATTGAATGCGGGAGGAAATATTTCGGACATCGCAAAGTGAAAAATATATATATTTATTAAATTTGCGGGATATTTTCACAAGACAATTTTGATGAATTCGATTTTCTCGAAGCGAATATCGCGTTTCGATGTGCGTTACTTCGTACAGTTACGGACTTCAGCGTTCGCGTTGTAATGCAAAAAAAAAAGGAAAAAAAGGTGGAAAAAAACAATTACGAACCGAGCAAAGGTAACACTGTCGAGTAACAATAGGCGGAACGGGAACTCATCCGTCGAGCCTTATCTAGAAAAACCATTTGCGCGCACGCAATGCCGGAAGCGGAAAATACCGTGCTCCTTTTTCTTACAACCTATCCACACGGCTTAACGATTCACTAATTAGCAGACTTTCCGAGCAGATGCGCTGCCCTCGCAATACTCGCGATAATATATAGCAATATAGTGTCCCGAACAAGACTAGTGCGTAATAACAATTAATAATTAATTTCTCGGCTAAAAATTCCCGACCTTTTCCCGCAATTTTTGTCCTACATCTCTCGAAAATTTTCTCGATCACATACAGGGTGTCCCGTACTCGGCAAATCACCGATTTACAACAGAATCCTGACGTCATTTGGAGACGATTTTCCTCTGCGAAAATGTCGAGGCATCAATAATTTTCAAGTTATAAACAATTGAAAATAAAAAATTAGCAGGAAATTTAATTCATTTTATAATTCATAATTTATTTCATCATTCATAATTTTTTTCGCAAATTATCTTGTGGACGTAAAAAATATTAACAAAATCATATTCTTCAATTAATTTTAGCGAGAGTCTGCTTTAATAGAATTTTAATTTAAGGCTTACAAAAAGATACATGATGGCAAAAATTGGGAATCTGCAAAAAGAAGTGATGCCTCGACATTTTCGCTAAGGAAAAATCGTCTGCAAATGATGTCAGGAATCTAATCAAAAATATCTAATTTTCATTATTAATAGATATTTTTAAATCTCGCATGTATCTCTATTATTTTCAAGTATCTCTTCGTGCAGTATTTATACACGTATTAAATTGCATTTCTCTTTCTGCTGCGTTTTTCGTTATTCCCGCGAAAATGTGTCGCCAGGATGACGCGACAACAGGTAGAAAACGAGGATAAAAGGAATTCAGAAACTTAAATGAAGAAGAAAGAAAATTGCGAATAGGTATCGTCTCGAGAAAATGATCGACGACGACGACGGATGAATGAGAGGTGGAGAGAAGAAAAGGATTCCTTCTCCAGGCATCGGAGAAGACTCCCTCGGTGAAGACTATGAGAACGTTCCCACTCCCACGTCCAAAGTGCTCTTTTCCTTTTCCTATGCGCCTCTTTTTCCCTCCCTCCCCATCGATTCTCATCCTTTCCTTCTTCTCTCCCTCTCGTTATCTCCGTGCATGCGTCCTTCTTTCCACGTACACCTACGTGCGTCGGTTGAGCGATCGCAGTTCATCACGGTTCTCGAGTTCTCGAATACGGCTTCAGGGACGAGTCGGGAAGAAGGTTCGCGAGGCGCCCCCGAGATCTCGATTAATCGGATAAGTCGAAGCTCGCTCGACAACGAACGGCGGAAGAAAAAAGATCGATATTTTTTTTATTTAAGACTCCTGGATCCTCGCCGCGGCCATGAAACGTTAGATTTTGACGTCAGAAGCGAGATAACACACGCTAAAATATATTAGATGCCGTTTCGAAATAAAAAAAACATTTCGATAAAATAGCACTTCATGGTCGAATCCAACTTCGTGCTGCTTTCAATAAAACAGAACTTTAAGATCACCTTCAGGCTTCTGGATTCTAGCCGCGGCCATGTTGGATTTTTACGTCAGAAGCGAGAAAACACGCTAAAAATTATTAGATGTTTCGAAATAAAAAAATATTTCCATGAAATAGCACTTCATGGTCGAATCCAACTTCGTGCTGCTTTCAATAAAACAGAACTTTAAGATCACCTTAAGGCTCCTGGATTCTAGCCGCGGCTATGTTGGATTTTTACGTCAGAAGCGAGAAAACACGCTAAAAATTATTAGATGTTTCGAAATAAAAAAAATATTTCCATGAAATAGCACTTCATGGTCGAATCCAACTTCGTGCTGCTTTCAATAAAACAGAACTTTAAGATCACCTTCAGGCTTCTGGATTCTAGCCGCGGCCATGTTGGATTTTGACGTCAGAAGCGAGAAAACACGCTAAAAATTCTTAGATGCTATTTCGAAATAAAAAAAATATTTCCATGAAATAGCACTTCATGGTCGAATCCAACTTCGTGCTGCTTTCAATAAAACAGAACTTTAAGATCACCTTAAGGCTCCTGGATTCTAGCCGCGGCCATGTTGGATTTTTACGTCAAAAACGAGAAAACACGCTAAACATTTTTAGACACCATTTCGAAGTTAATAAAAGATATTTCGATGAAACAGCACTTCAGATGACTTTAGCACGCACTTAAAATACCTCGAAAACTATCCTTTTCCCTTTATAATCAATCAACACATGTAAAATGATGGTAATGAGGACGTCTACTCTTTGCATATGCGCAATCATTCCACATGACGAAGTCTAATATCATGGTTGTTGAGTGACTGTCAAGAATAGTTTTCGAGGTATTTTAAAAGTGTGTTAAAGTCATCTAAGAGTTGTGTTTGATTAAAATATCTTTTTATCTAAAAATGGAATGCAAGAACTTTCAGCGTGGATTTTCTCGCCTTTGACGTCACAATGTAACATGATGAGGATCCAGGAGCCTTAAGGTGATCCTAAAATTCTGTTTCTTTTTGATACCAACACAAAGTTGGATTCGACCATGAATCTTTTTATTGACCATACAGATTGATAAATCCGTTGCCACCATTAAAGTATTAATATTAACAAATAGGGAGCGTTATAAGTAAAAAAAATTACAGCCTTAAACAATTTTGTTTCTTTACATAAAATTCTAACGTTCACAGTTCGCTATCATTAGCAATTTAATAATGGGAAAAGATTTTGCTGATGAAGGATCACGTAAACTCGGGTTTTATCATGGAGAAGCAAAGTTCCAAAGTTGAAGAACATGTAAAAATATCAGGCAAGCTTCGTCCTTGATATTTGAATCTTATCGAGAGAAAACACTTACCCTGCCGACGAAGAAGCGCCGATAACACTTGGCGGTATCGTCTTGGTCTATCCTGGGCTGCCAGGCTGGCTGCGCCGGCAGCAACGCCCTGCCAGCCGAGTCGAGGGTATGTCGATGATCGGTACCATCGACCCAGTATCCGGACGGCGTGACGACTAAGGGCGGCTGGGCGCCGGTCGCGGCCTGCTGCTGCAGGGCTGCCTCCATGAGCGCCCTGCCCAAGGGCGCGTCGCCCACCGGCGACGGTGACAGCGCCGGAGTGTGATTGCTGCCTGCGCCGCCGGGACTCGACGTCGTCCTGTCATCCTGTCTCGGCGTCTGCAACCAAATTATAGGCGCCCGATTACTCATCCGGTCTCCGACTCGGTATTATCTGCGCGCGAGCTGGAATTCCAGCTTTGATATGGGGTTTTCATATGGAAAAAGAATTGAAAGACACAGTTCCATCTCTTAAATTCATTCATTTTTTTTCTCTGTCAGAGTCAGAGACCTTTTTGGGGATTTTTTTTCAATTTGCAAGATAAAAGCGTTACGATACATAGAGAATTTTCCCTGAAAATCATAGCAATCATGGCACAATATGGTATTGGAAAAATTTTATATAAGAGTTTCTCTGATTAATATTTATCACTATGAAAAATATTAAGATCTACTACAATAAGATATATTAAAAAATTGTGTAAATGGAAATTTGCACATTGCTTTTTTACCTTAAGAATAAATATTTTTTTAATCATTTGACAATGATACTATATTAATTATTAGTTTTACACAAAGAGAATTAGAATTTACTCCGAAACTCATAGTAATCGTGAGACAATATGGTATTGGAAAAATTTTATAAATTTTATGAGAGAAAAATATTAATACGATCATATTTTGTATCTTATTGCGGTAGATATTAATTTTTCTTATTGTGGTAAATATTAATCAGAAAAGTTCTTTAATTCTTTTAATACCATATTGTCTCACAATTACTGTGATTTTCAGAGTAAATTCTAAGAAAATATTTTCTCCATGAGGATGCTACTTTATTACGATATGAACTCCACTTTTAATTACTTATAGCTGATTCACTCATCGTAATGTCTCAGTTTGTGTTTGCTTGTCTATATCAGGATGTTTATTCATCTTGTAAAAAAAATTCCTTGAGAATTCCTTGGAATATACTGACGAGAATTCTTAAAGTTTCAAAGTATTTCGTCGGTGACCTTTTTTGGCACAGAATTACGTAAGGATTGCTAACACACAATAGGAGTGAAGTATCTTTTCTTGAATGAGATCTTTTCTTATGTTATTCTTTATGTGCCTGTAAGTTTCTTAATTTATTTTATTATTATTTTTCTTACTCCAATTTTAAATATAATTTAGTTGACTTCGAGAACAAATCTCAATGTTTGTGTTCCTCAAAAATCCCGAATTAAAAAGAAATTAAATACAATAATATTGTAAAAATTTCTGAACTTATTTTATTATTATCTTCCAATTTTATAAATATAATTCATTGTCAGTCGACTTGAAGGAAAAATCTCAATGTTTAATGTTTCTCTCAAAAATCCCTTAAAAAAAGAAATTAAATAATATATTACCAAGATTGTGATAAAAATAATTTCCACGAAATAGCTCCAAGTGTTTTCGCATACAGTAATCAAAATACTTGTGTGCTCGTCGACAAATGTCAGCCGGACCACTTGTTTATCAATCGCCGATAGCAAATGTCGATTGCCTCGTGCTGCTCGCCTTTCCCGAGGCCGCAGCACACGATCGATCGATCGATCGGCACCGAGGGGTCTCGAATGTTGTAAACGTCAAGAGGAGAGATCGAGGCGAGTAGGTCGAACTGTAGACGCGACATATAAGAGAGATCCTGTAGAAGAGAGGAGTGCGCGCACATTCGTTGGTGAAACGGAAACGAAATCCACGTCCACGTGTCACCGAACACCCGGGCCACCCACGCGAAGATCTTCACCACGGACCAAACTCGAATATCGACTGTCACCCGATGTTCGGGGATCTTCACACCTATCGACGCGCGGAACTTTGAGTATCTCTTCTCTCATCTCGCCCACGTGCGGGAAATACGAATAATTTTATTATTGCTTCATACCTTATAAGATGACTTTCTCCGAAATTGGTGAGGAAAAGTCATCTTATAAGGTATGAAGCAATAATAAAATTATTCGTCATCATTTTTTATATATGTTCTCGATTTTTGCCATCTCATGTATCTTTTTGTAACTAAGTCTTAAATGAACATTTTATTAAAGTAAACTCTACCTGAAATTAACTGAAGAATGTGATTTGGAAAAATCGTCTCTAAATGACGTCAGAAATCTACTATAAATTATAAGATGATTTTTCCTCTGCGAAAATTTCGGGTAAAGTCAGCATTTTTTTATACATTCTCGATTTTTGCCATCATTTATCTTTTTGTAACTAAACTTTAAATGAAAATTTGATTAAATCTTATTAAACTCTACCTGGAATTTACTGAAGAATGTGATTTCGAAAAATCTTCTCCAAATGACATCAGAAATCTACTATAAATCTGATGATTTTTTATATTTATATATCAGAGCCTTTTCAATTTATTTTGTTTATTTTTTTATTATTTTATTCATATCACGGTGAAATTTTAATATCCGCGCGCAAATGTCGACAGTAAATTTTCTCTACATTTAGCAAGTCACAGCTGAATCATTTCTCATTAATATATAATTGGTACACGGCAATTGACATTTTTGTTCTTAATCACTTAAAAATGAATAATAAATTAATTTTTTTCGTGTGTCTCTAGAAACTTTTGTTAATAATCACTCATTGTCACCGTTAAATTTTTACATTCCTACATTTAATTTTCTTTATTCCAATTTGACGGCATTTTATGTTCTATATAAATTTTTTATTATTCGATAAAATGTTCTGTCTTTTTTTAGCATCTTATATTACTGTGTCGTTTGTCGACGTTAGTAATTGTAAATTATTTGTACAAGAGAGATTTCTCTTTTCCCGTTTATACATAAATAAATAAGTTATAGTCAATTATTTTAATACAAAGAGAGAAACGGAGGGAAAAAGCGAGAACTCTAGAATGAATAGAGCTTTCGAATGTTCTCCACTCGCGATTAATCGCGCATAGTTAAGCTATCATTTGTGCATTTAATGTGAACCGAGAGAGCTTTCTCCGACGCGTAAGAGCGGTCGCGCGTAAACGCGCATTTTCTCCCGATCTTCATTAGGGAAGATTGCGACTTATTCGTGTCGCGCGAACTGTAATCGGTTTTCACACTCACAACCAGGTATATATATATATACATATATATATATCTGAATTCGACCCCGATTCGCTTCTGCGAAGTTTAAACGCCGCTTTCCGCGTATCTCTATTATCATCATCGTATTACACTTTCTGGAATTTAACTCTCAAGTTGCATTAATCGCGCGTTTGCAAATATAAACATGCATATTTCCAGGAAAATGTGCATTTTATTTCAATTACCATTCTAAAGAGGAAAATATTACAGGAATCGAGCCTTGTCAGGGTTTCCACAGACTGGTATGAGAAAAGTTTAACCGAGTCTTTGGGGAGAGACAATCGATCGCGAAATCGATATTATTATTATTATTATTATTACCCTCTCTCTCTCTCGACGGAATAATTCCATCTTCGTGATATCCCGCGATAGCTTCATCGATCAGTGACGCGCATCGCGAATGGGATTGCATTACCATCGCGTGTATGTTATAATATCATGCACACGTGCATATGCACCGCTAAATGCATGCGCACGTGCATGTCACTGTATGCACGTTCGCTACCAGAACAGCGACATCGAAATATATCCGGCGCGATTTAGTTATCGGATATCGCTTCAAACTGAGATGATGGCGTAATTCGGTCACCTCGATCAAATCTTGTCAGTTCAATAGGAAATTATTAACGCGTCGATCGCGAGAATTATTATGCGATCTTTCGAAATCCCAGCAAGCCAAGTCAGCGCTGAAAAATTGTATTCTCACTTTGGAAGAATTTCTCGCGCTTATTTTTAGAATATCCTGTTCTAAAATAGGCGCCACAAAAATCCTCTTATCTTTAGAGAATTCTTCTAAAGATAGTATATATCAGATGTTCCTAATTTATGAAAACTTGGACAAAAGTGGATTTATTTTTATGCAGTAACTGCATTTTCCACATTTTTATATTTTTCTTTATTTTTGCACATTAAATATTCAGTTTTTATTGTAATTTAAATTAAATTTTTTTTAAATAACACTTTAAATCTTACAGAACTAATAAATTTGCATCTGCTCCGGTTCTATAAAAGTTGAATAAAATGACAGAAAATTTTGACACGTTTCATAAAGCCATTCCATATATGGATCACATTATTTTACAACACACAAGCAAAGAAAGATCATAAAGAAAGCATGACATGGTACATGTAAATCGAGCATGAAGCACGAGACCTAAGTCCTGAACGATTAAATTATGTTACACGTGACTCATTCTTGAATACTTCTTAAATAGCTTGAGTCTTCTTTTTCGAGAGCGACACTGAAAAAATGTGTTAACTTGAATAAACCTTTCGATTAAATTATTATTTTATTACTTAAACATATATTAGTACTTAAGTCAAATATACATTTTGTGCTAAATTTAATATTTTATATTTAATTTAAATCTTTTTATTTTTATTTTCAATTAACGAAATAATATTTACACGGAGAAAATTTTCTCTTACAATTTACTCTGAAAATCATGGTAATCATGGACGATATGATATTGGAAGAATTTTATAAGAATTTCTCTGATTAATATTTATCACAATAAGAAATATTAATATGTGCATAGTAAAATTCATCGAACATATTTTATATTTTATTGTAGTAGATATTACTATTTTTATAGTGGTAATTAATCAGAGAAATTCTTATAAAATTTTTCCATCACCATATATCCATGATTACCATGATTTTCAGGGTAAATTCTAAGAGAAAATTCCCTCTGCGTAGTTAAAAAGTTTGGCCAAGTTAACACATTTCTTTTCAGTGCATTTATTAACTTTCCATTTATCTAAGAAACTAAAACCATCGAGTGACAAATACTGCGCTGCATTGTAAATCGGATTAACGACGAATCATATTATCCTCTAAAAGAAACAAGATTGATTCTTTCAAGTATTGATTTTCGCGGTCTTGCTTAGATGAAATGGTCTTTTTATAGCCTCTTCATCTTATACGTGCGAGAAATCGTTGCGGTCATCGTCGATTATTATCCGGACGTCATCAAAGTCGCGTCCCAGAACCTGAACGTTCTC